GGATCTGCCGAGCTTCCAATGGGGGTTCCAGCAGCTCTGTTTGGAGAGGCCGGCGGTCCTGTCGAGACAAAGCGATGTTCACGGGCAGGGAAATGTTGCCAAGAATGTTGCAAAACTCGCTCAATAGTTGAGATGAAACGGCAAAAGGAATTGTGCGATCTCCGCATTGTTGTCGAACATGCCGAACCACAGAGGTAAACATACACAACTGGCACAACAAGCTTCGGGCCTTGAATGTGCCCTTTACCACTCGCTTTCCGCTTTTTGTGCGGGCTTCTTCGTCGCTGGCTGCAGCGCCCAGTTCTGCTAGGCTTTCAGTGGCGCATGGGCTGCCAGTAGAGTTGGGCACGTCGACAGTTGCAACCATTTGTGTCTCCATTTGCGAAGGGTCGATGACGCTTTCAGCGGGGCGATCCTGCCAGGGGCTCAGTTAGTTGCAACTCTGAAGTCTAGAGAAGTGAGAACTGGAGGCTTAGCTGTCAACATTGATTCCAACTTCAACGCCACTAGCGTGTGTACACACATATATAATCACATTCTCCAGTGAAGCGAAGGCACTCATGATCTTGAAACATGTGCGCAAAGCCCTGGACCCTAGCCTGGTTTGTTTTTTCCTTGCTTTGAATATTGCTTCGCTTCTCCCAGCTTGTTTTGAACTTGGCCCAACCCTGCCACACTGGCAAATCATCTTGGCTGCGTAAGCTAGCGGCGGCAACTCTTTGGCGCAAGTCTTCGGGCGTTGGTAGGTTGGCTGGCTTGAAAAAACATCGCTTGGCTCTTCTGTACTTGGCCCATCCCGGCCAAATTTCCAGCAAACCGTGCGTTCCATCCATAGCCGGCCTTGGAGTTGAAAACTCACAATGAGCCTTTTGAAGCGCAGTCGTTGCAAGTTTTAGTTTTGGCGCAATTGTGAGATGCTCCCAACCCACCCAAACCTGCACCTTCTTGCTTGGCTTTGCTTGGTCTTGGTCTGGCGTTGCAACCGCTGCTTGTGAAGCTGCCTTGCTTGCTCTAGCATCTTGGTTCTGCTCCTCGCCCTGCTTTTCAGTCTCCTGAACAGCCTCTCCAGCCCCCTCGCCCGCCTTCTCTTCTTCAGCCTTCCCTTCTTCATCTTTCTCCTCCTCATCTCTCTTCTCTGCAGCCTCCTCACGGGCCTCCTCGTTGGCCTCCTCTTGAAACATCTCATCAGCTTTCTCTTCGGCCTCCTCTTCACCTTCCTCGTCGGCTCCATCGTCAGCCTCCTCTTCAACCCTCTCACCAGCCTTTTCTTCAGCCTCCTCGTCCTCTTCAGCCTCCTCACCGTCTTCAACTTCAACGTCCTCAGCCTTTTCTTCAGCCTCCTCTTCCCGAGCAGCCATCTCTGCTTCTCCCCCAACCGCTTCACAACCACCTTCCTGATTGTCATCCTCCTCCTCGTTGGCTTCAGACTCCTCATCAGCCTTCTCTTCCGCCTTCTCTTCGTCGCTGTCGTCGCCCTCCCCTGATCCTTCAGCCTCTGCATCATGATCAGTCTGCTCCTCAACTGCGGCTTCAGCCTCCTGGTCAGCCTCCTCTTTACTCTTCTCATCAGCCGCTTCTTCAACTACCTCCTCAACCTCCTCTTCAGCCTCCTCGTTTTTGCTCTTCTCATCCGCCTCTTCTTCGACCTCCTCTTCAGCTTCCTCTTCAGCCTCCTCGTCGGTCTCCTTTTTGCTCTTCTCATCCGCCTCTTCTTCAACCTCCTCTTCAGCTTCCTCTTCAGCCTCCTCTTCCGCCTCCTCTTCAGGCTCCTTCTCATCCGCCTCCTCATCAGTCTTCTCACCAGCCTCCTCCGGAGTTTCCTCAGCAGCCTCCTCTTCAGCCACAGCCTTCTCTTCCGCCTCCTCTGCAACCTCCTCACCAGCCTCCTCATCAGTCTCCTCTTCAACCTCCTCACCGGCCTCCTCGCCAGCCTCCTCTTCCTTCTCACAAATAACATCCTCTTCCACCTCCTCCTCAACAGCCTCGTCGTGAGCCTCGTCCGCGTTTTCTTCAGCCTTCACCTCCTCTTCTGGCTTCTCCTCCTCATCAGTCTCCTCAGCCTCCTCTTCAGCCTCCTCATCGCTCTTCTCCTCTGGCTCTTCAGCCTCCTGTCCATTGGCTGCTGCTCTTTCTGCTGCTGCCTGGCTGCCTTCTTTTGCGTTCTTCTTCTGCGCGTCCTGTCCAGGGAGCGTCGTGGGACAAGACTGTGGCTCAACGAAGCTGGAGCTGGACCAACATGTTATGTCATTGATTGAATTCACTTGCGCATGTTGCATGATGTTTCAACCTAGAAAACAGTTCCCAGCCACTCCATCAGGGCAAGAAGTTGGTGTGTGTTTACAGGCTGAGTGTTTTCAAGAGCGAGGATCGAGAATGCGATGGCAAAACGTGTTCAGGAATTGATTCCCAGGAGCGCACTCCACGCAATTCGACTGTTTCTTATCATTAGATTAAGCGCTATCCATTAATGAAAGAGTTCCGTGAACATCAGCGACACCCAGCCTTTTTCCTTGGACCTGAGACACGGCGGATGATGGTCTTGAGCTCGCTGATTTCAGCAAAGTATGGGCCAATCCTGCAACGTAGCAAGATTGAACCTTGTTTTGACATCAAGATCGGGAATTGATGCACGCATGATTGAACTTGAAGCTTGAATTGTGCATCGATATGCAAACGATATGTTGAGGAAGGCCTCGTTCCCTCACTGCGGCGTTCGGTTATGAGGAAGTCCGAAATCAGACTCCGGAACTCCAAGGCCATCTCATAGGCTTCGGCCTGTTGTCACTTGCAACCATGTCCAACAAAGTAGTTGCAAAGGGTAAACCAGCAGTCCCAGCCACCACGCCTTTCTGTCCTTGAGAAGCACACCTGTCAGGAACTCGTGACGATCATGAGCTTCCATGATGGCCGCCTGGTCAGGATGGGAGATGGGCGCTTTAGTGACGCCGGAATCATGGCAACAAACAAATTTATTTGAATTAGAACAAGCTTTGATTATTGGCGAGGGATGGAGGGTGCAATAGATCGGAAGTCTCTGTAAATTGAAGGCATGGAGTACGGTGCACAATTCAATATAACCAAGCTTGAGGGTCCGGATCTAGACATCATCTTGAAAACAATATATTGGATGAGTTCCCCTCTTCACAATATGGGCGACCATCAAGCCGTCTTTGGCGGGCTGGCCAATCCAGTTGCTTTGCTGAATTGAAAATCTGTTCCGCTCACTTCCGAATATTCTGGGACTGGGTCGTTGAAATCAAGCCACAAAGTCTGGTGTTAGGTGCGATGTAGCCATCAACCGCTTAAGTCGATCTGGCATCCGGGCCTCCATCTCCTTGCCTGTCGGCGTGTCTCGGCCAAAAGCCGCAAACCACTTCTTCAGGCGGTCAAAGTTGCAGCGGACCTTAACCGGGAATTCGAAGAATGGACATCAAGAACAATTCCAAGGACTAACTTGTGCAGAAGCGTGCCCAAGCTGGGAGATTAAGTCGATCTGGCTTCATGAAAATCAATTTCAGCTGCAACAGTTTGTCAGCGTGATTGGTAGAGCAAGGGCACCTGCGCCTCAAGCTTCTCATCCGCAGAGTCAACTATCAGTTGTAGCCGGGGTCGATCTGCGGACAATCCCTGCGCCACTGGTTTCCAAGCAGTACAGTAGCACATGCGCATATTGGTTTCCAACTCTAGCTGAATTGCAGTAAGCATGCAAGCCCTGAAAATGGCCTGCTTCTTGCCCGAGGCAGCTTGCTTTTGCTTAGACCGGAGCTTTGCCAGATTGTCCGCTTCCAAGATGCCAATGGATGTCATCCACTCCTGGCGGGTCTTCAATTGTTTTCAAATGTGCCCTGCCCGAACACATGAAGGGATTGAAGAAAAACAGTTCCAATCTTGCCAGGAGCACATACAGCTTGGCACATATCTCTTGCCGGCACTGCCTCTCTGCATACTTAAACGAGGGAGCCTTTTGGAGCGCCATGGACCGGTTGCACACACCCTCACCCCTTGATCTGGCCACAGCAGAGCCAGCATGAAGCAAGTCTACCCAGCGCACGCCAACAAATGCCACTCACACATGCTCGCACACCACTCGCTGAGGCTGTGCGCCAGAAGATTCGCGCTGACCTGTGCCGGCGTGAGGCAAAAAGGTGTCCTTTTAGCAGGGGTAATCCAAGGGCCGGGCGTTTGTTCCTCCATCTGGCCCGATTCATAGCAAACCATTGCCATCAACGCCGGACACGTTGTCTCGCCCAAGCTCTTTTGAACTTTAAGCGTTTGCATCATGTTGGTTTGCAATTGTCAAATCATTTGGGCAAATTCAGTCGACCCCGGATTCCAGAGTCGTCTCTTTGAGCCAGCCTCGCCCCCTTCACACACCCTCGCACTGGTCGCCCACGTATAACACATGCATTGGAAGCCCTGGGACACGAGCTGCTGTTGTCCACAATGCACCAAAGTTTTCCGCATTGTCCGCGAACTGGACCCATTCGGGTGTTTCGCAGAATAGGGATCTTCTTTTGCACGGCTGCAAGTGGAAGCCCAAAGGAACGCACCTCCCGAATTTTCAGACAACAACCTGTCTCTGTTTGGTGGGCACCCTTTTGAGCGCAACCGCCTGAAGGGCTTGGTCCCGAATTTTGAGCAACCTGCCTTGGATTGGTGGGCACGGTACCCACCCTTTTCGGGCTACTCCCTTCTTTCAATTCAACCACCCGCCTTTTTTTGGTGGGAAAGCATCTCTCTTTTTGGCTTGGTCGGGGCTTCCCAGCAAGGAACACCCTCCGCCCTTTACTTTTTTTCGGTGGGAGACCCCTTTGTGGTGGTCGCTTCTTTTATTTTTACTTTTAAATGGGGAACACCGCCCCGCCCATAGGTGTCCTTTTAGGGGAAATAGATGGCCCTAGATGATTAAACCACCAGGGAAACCAGGAATCGCCCTCTTTTTTTGTTCTACCAAAACAACCAAGGACACCTACGGCCCCGCCCCGCTTTTTCCAAGGCGCACGAAGAGCCAGGAGAAGGTGGTGGCTGCCAGCGCCAGCAACGCCACCAGCGTGACCTCGGCTCGCCGCGGAGGCGATCTTTCGAAGAGCCAGCCCGAAGGGCACCGAAAAGGCGCCGGTGATGCGAAATCTGCGCCCCTGCTAAAAGTGACTAACTTTTAGTGGTTTAACACGCAAAACCCATTTGGCAAAAAGTTAAGGTCCTAACATACAAGCAAAATGCACCAAAGTTATGGGCATGTTTTCTTTTTATAATCGGAGCCTTTGGTGGACATCATTTAGGTGGGAATGTATGTCCACCAACCACTTTTCAGGGGGTTCCCCATTAAAACTCATAGCCATATTCATTGAAGCCAGCTATGCTTTTACCCCTGAGTTTTTGACCCAGTGCATCCATTTACTTGGTTAAAGTAGGGAAAGGAAACCACCCGATATGAAAGCCAAAAGGAAAGCAGCTGGTTACCTACAATTTACGGGGCACTGGAATCCACAGGGAGAGACTATCACGTATTTAAGTAAATAATGTTCTTTCACTTGCTTAAGTCCACTGGCAAAAAACAAACACTGTATATTTCCAGTAGTGATAGATTCCGATTGACCAACAGGGGAAATACCACACATTATTAAGCACATGCAAGTGTTCATGTGTAGGCCTTCCGATTCAGAGGCGAGTTGGTAAGCCCGGGTCCGGGGTGCCCGTATTGTCACGCACCGCCACTTGTTGGGTTAGCTTCTTTGGAGAGTAATGTTGCCTCTGATCAATCCAGGCCTGAGGCTGAATCATGGCGAACGCTCCCTCGGTGCTGCTGCATTTCATCTCGTTGTGCTTTTTTGATACGAGGCCGAATTCATCTCGCAAAGTGAGGCTAACAGAGTCCCGAAAGGCCATGCTTCAAATCGGCCCCGACTGGGCGTGACTATTTACTTTAGGCCCTCGGTTTCAGAGATCCCGACCAGCTTTCCAATGGCGTCCCTTTTGGTCACACCGACAAGAACCTGGGTCAATTCCTTGACTCACAAGCCGGCAATGTGTCAAAGCCTCAAGCCATGAGCAGCAGCCTGATATGAGGGGTAGATACTGCGTGCTCCCTACTGTGGATTGACGAAATCCATTTCACACCACCTAAGAAACCCTCGTTTCTGATGATTGGCCTGTAAATATCAACAAACGTTATGGTTTCAACCTTGGATTCATTTCATGGTGCGGTCTCGGATTTCGCAACCATCCACAGTATGGCTCACCATGTGTGTTGGTATTTACGGGCCAATCATCAGAAACGAGGGTTTCTCAGGTCCTATGGCTCAATGCACGTCCTATCCAATTCCCAAGCCTTGGCCAAACTCACCTCTCCGAGGCACCAAGAAGTCCAGAAGCTTTCGCTCCCTGCAGGGTCGGGGTAGGTGGGTAGGTGGAGGGAGCGCTGTTTTCCAACCCCACGGTGCTTCCATTTGCGTGTCTGCCCCCTGAAAAAACATCCAGTAGTGATCGATTCCGTTCAAAACCAACAGAGGAAAGTAAACCATATTCTTAAACAAATGGAAGGGTGGGAATCTCCTTCGGAAATGGGCCTTTTGACATGTCCTTCCGATCTGCGGTGGCATTTCAGGTAAGCCAAATCAACTGTGATTTGACATTGCCCACCTTAAATGCCAACCAGTCAGTTTCAAAAGCTGAATGTATGATCTCATGCACTCCCTGGTATGAACCGCCAGTTTATCGGTTCGTGAACCACTAAGTATATAGCTATGTAACCACCAAGAACAGCCATGGGTTTGACAGCTTGGGTACGCAGGCTAGCTCACGCAAGTTGGTCGGGTTGAGACCAGTCTCTCCGAATCTGGGGCGGAAAAGACCCGCAGGGAATGTGGGATTGAATGCTAATTGAGAAACCCTTTAGTGGACATCTAGGTGGGGATTCATGTCCACAGGCCACCCTTGAGGTGGTTTCTCAAGCAAACAGTTCCACCGCATGGATCGAGCTTTAGAACTACTTACCACCAAACTGAGTTTCCCAAAAAGTTTAATGTCTGGAAGCTAGGGGTGTGATGACGCCGTACAAAACCAACATGAAATCCTGATGCTGACGCCTGCTGAATTAAACCGCTTGACAGGCCTTTTGGAATCCTATCTTGATATGAGAAACCCGTCTATAGAGCAACCAGGGTGGTATGAATCCCAGGTCCCGATCGCGATCGGGACCCAGGAATAACACACACACACACACACCGCATTTGAGGGGAATCCTGGACACCAGTTGTGAGTTCTTTGCCCCACAAAAGGTGTGCACCGAGAATCATGTTTTCTGACTCTGTTCCCCGAAATATCACACCGAAACTAGACACCCAAAATGCTTGCTTTGCTGTTGGTTCCCATGCAAATTAGCCAGAAGTGGCTCCCCAGATTCTGGGAGGAGACCCCAAGGTTCCCTAACTGATTAGACAAACTCGCACATCTGAAGCAAATGGCCACCAGGGTACTTAGTGGACTCTGGTTACCCACTGAACGACCTCTTGGTGGGTTATACTCACCAGACAAAAGGAGTTAACCTTTGGATTTTCTAAGAGACCAACACCGCAGCAAACGGTTTCATTGAACACCTCCTTCAAGGAGCAGAGCCAGGAGCGGGACGACAAGGCCTTTGTAGGGTCCCAACTTCATTTGCGTAAGTCTCACTTCCCGCGTGGAGTCGCCAAAAAATGCTAGGTTGTTTTTCCCCCCGCTAGAACTGTGACTTCGAAGCTCGGTAACTGGGGAAGTGAGAAGCCAAGCGGGAATGGAACGATCCATCAAAGGACCCCAATTGCGATCGAATCGGAATGGAATCCCAAGAGGGACCCGTCATGGATTTCAGGGGTCTGGTGAACAAATTGGGGGATGGAGTGGTCCAATTTGGAGCTTCCACCCCTTGAAGCTCATAGCTCGGCGAACCACTGGTTACAATTTGCGAATCCAATTTCATGGGGCTCACATCCGTGGATTGGCCAAGACTTCAAGCCTTTGGCCACTCGAATTCGTCTTCTCGAGGCCAGGAACCAAAAAGCTGCAGAGCTCAAGCTTTTTGTTGGTGCAAAACAAAAGGTTTAGCATGTTGCTGCTGGGTCAACTTGCGATCGGCGCGATAGGTAGGGAATGCGAAATGGAATGAACCCAGGGGTCCCCATAAAGGAAAGCAGTTGGATGGCTTTTACAAAAGGTCATTCCCTCATTTCCTGCCGAAAACCAGCAAGTCAAATAGTTAAAGTCTCATCCAGCCAAATAGCAGCCAAGCCAGGAAGCAAACTTTTGGGAGCTTCCTGCCTGATGCCGAAGAGATAGTCCGCCAAGTGGGCGATGCCCGAAGATGAGCGGACCAAGACGGGGAAGAAGGCAAAGACCACCTGGGAGACTTGGGGCTTTAAGGATTCCTTGGCTTTTCCTAAGCCGAAGCTTCCAGTTACCTCTAGGGAAGGCATTGTTACGTCTAGGTGATACATCAATGTGTGGTCAAAATTAAACCACCAGACCGCCTGTGTTAGTCATGGGTTCCATTTACCAGGGCAAGCCATTTTGGGTACCCGTTTTGGACCCACAGCCACATGATGGCTTCCTGTGGTGTCCTACAAAAGTGGCTTGCCTAGCACTAGGTAAGCCACAGGTCCATTCGTGGAAGCCTTCAGGCCCGAAGCTAGGCTTCTCTTATTGCCTTTCTTGCAATCAACAAGTTCTTTCCTGAGTGCAAACATAAAAAAAGGCCAACTAATGTCAGGAGACGATTAGTAAACCCCCCCCAGATTAAAGGTTCCCCCTTTTCCCCCCCAGATTCTCACCAATACTAAAGTAAAGTGCCAACAAGGTTTCCCCAAAAAACCCTACCCAATTATTTTTAGGCCCTCCCCAAAACCCCCCTGATTAAAGGTATCCCTCTGCAGCCCCCAAGCCAACAAAAACCTGCCAGAAAAGGTGCTTTCCTTCTTGCTTAGTATTTGCTTAGTATTTGCTTAGTCTGTGCTTAAACCCACCAATACTAAGTCACTATTGAACCCCTCAAGTTTTTCCCAAAAATGTGCTTCCCCCGAAATGCATTTTTCTTTATTAAAATTTGTTTAAAATGACAAGGTTTTCAAGCTCACTAATCAGGTTTACTAATCAGTTGTCCGGCTTCAGTAATCACAATCCTTAATCCGCGTAATCCTTGCTCTGGTTGGTAACCTCCTTCATCCGCAATCCGAGCGGCAAATTGTGGGTCAAGACCTTCTGCTGAAGCATCGAAAACCCCCGCAACCCATAATCCGCAAACCGCAAACCGCATAGTCCAATCCATAAACCGCGTAATCCGCAAACTGCTAATCGATGAGGATGCGAGAATACCTACACATCCCCTGTTGGTTTCTAGCAAAATCAAACATTGTGCCAGATTCCCATGCAGAAGCATATATGAGTCATGAGTAGTGGCTTTTTGTTTTTCCCCCCTCTTTTCGAATGGTATTTTTCGAGGGTGCCTTTTTTTGATTGTTTCGAAGGCAACCTACAGCCACATCCATCTGTTTGGGTGCCTCCCTACGTTTAGACACACCCAGAGCCCAAGCCGGAACTTCTCCCCAGAACCTGTGAGAGCCCCCGCACCAGGGCCCGAAACGCATCAGATGGACTCAATACGGATTGAGAACCCGCGCCCAAAACTTATGTGAAAATGGGTCGTTGAGTGGTTGGACTTTGTTTCCAGAGAATGCAGGGGAAGAATGAAAGAAGCTGGCCAAAATGAATTCCAACAAGGAGCCTCTAGCAGAGATCTTCATGAGGGGCTTCCTTTTACCACGAGATGACTGATGAGCTCATCAACATTTGTGCAGAATCGACAGTCCACTGAGGTTTGATTTGGGGTTTTGTGTAATACCCTTTCAAATTGGGGATCTTTTGGAGGAGCTCGTCTTGCAACGCTCGGTAGGCGGTAACATATATATATATATTGTTATGTCTATATATGTTATACATGTAGATATGTATGTATATATATATATATATATGGTTCGGCCGAAGATGTCAGGGTACGATTTCCAGAGCTACCACTCTGGAGCCTTTGCGTTGATATCAACACAAACCAGCAAAACATCTTGTCAAAGATTATGGCAAGCCACCGGTTTCAAGTATCCCCCTTCAGTTGGTTCCCAGTACCCGCACCAAGAGCTTCAATTTATTGAACTCCAAATCCAAACCAGCACTTAAGGGTTACCTGATGTGGGGTACAAGTACACCAAACATCTTAACTTCTTATTTTGGTCGAGTCTACCCCTAAAATCTAAAGTCGTATCTGAAATAGAAGATAGCTCTGGGATGGAAAGAGGCTCAACCCTAACCTAGGGGTTTAATTATATCGCTTCTTTGTTTATCATTCAGTCCAGAGCAAAGATGTAAGATGGTCCAAAACGCCGACCCAGTAGACGCTACCTCGAATGGGTACTACAAGGGCCGAAAGAGTCAGAATGGAGTTGCAGGGTACTTTGAGACCAAGTTAAGACATGGGAGAATCATGTGATACTTAAAGGGGCAGGTTACTTACTAAGTCGTCAGTGAGCCCGGTCATAACCCACTTGGGAGACTTTAATCATGGTAAGTGGGTTATAAAGTACCATGTCCCCTTTAAGCATGTGTAATCGAAACCGTCCGAAGCCTATTCGAAACCCGGCGGTTTGAGTCGCTGAGGCCCCGGCAGAGGCGTAGAAGAAGGTGAGACGTAGGCCAGGGCCCACGGGCAAGGTGCTCAGAAGGTGAAAGCCTGTGTGCAAAACCAGGACTCGCATGAGTGTTTCTCCAAATGGATGCCAAAAATGTTAGTTTCCACGTGGTTGCCCTGGAACAAAACGAAAAATACAAAAGGCTCACAGAAACACTCACATGGGTGTGCGATGTTTCGTCGATTGTGCCCGTTTTGCGTTGGTGTGAAAGGGACACCAAACAGGAAACCACAATGTCGGGACTGACGCAAATAGACTGCAACTCATTTTGTCATGTGCTCATGGGTCACCTGATATAGTGTACATGGAGGTGTCTGAAAACAAAAAAACTCAAACTACAGGCTGTGGTCCCACCGAAAGGAGTCCCATTTTCTCCAATATGGGGTGAGTCGTTCTCAACGCCAAGGAGTTTGACGGCCAGCTTCTGATGGCCAGCTTCTGATTTTGAGGTGTGGGCCCTGTTTCTTGCGGTGGCAGGGACGAGTTGCTCAAGCTGGTTTAGGGTGAGTTTGAGGCTGCCTGAGATCTTTACGAGGGCAGGTCTTGGTTTGGGCTGCATGGCTCAGCATGGCTCAGCAAAGGGCTGATATCCATCTGTTGGGTGGATGCAGTAAGTATGTAACCCAGTGCTTCCAGTTACCATTGTAAAGAATCGCCAGGGAAGGAACCATCATGGGTTTTTGCTCTTCTACTGGGGAATCCATTCATAACCCTTGCAAAATGGGGGGGGGTCGTTCTCCAGGAACCACCAAGGAGCCGACAGTGCCACTGGAGAACTGGGCTGTTTTTCCACCCCACCAGTTTGCGCAGCTTTTGGTTTGTGCAAACCGGTTCGGTCGAAAACCACCGGGTTTTCCGCTCAAGTTTCGGCAACGACTTGCCAGCAACAAGCCCTCCGTCGGAACTCAATGGGAACCCCCCCCCCGGATTGAAACACCAACTTACCCCTTAAAACTCCAAGCATTGGGGAAGTTAATCTTTTACAGACATATAGCCCATGTTACCCAAAAAGTTGAAAAGTTGTGGTTTTAAGAGGGAAGCCCATAGTACCAACAGGGAACACCCCCTGTGAACCAACCAGACGTTGACATCATCCGATGCTTGTTGCCGACGCACATTTCCACAGCGTTGTCGCAAGGGCCAAATGCCAGACGTTGGTCTCTAGGGTTCGGCCATATTTTGTCCGCGGCGTTATGAGGTTTGGATTGTAACGTTGAACTTGAGAGTATGATTGATCTGTAAAAAAAAAAAGAACTACCATCCCCATATCTACTTTATCACTTTAAAACGAGTTCCCTTAATCTCACAGAAAAGCATCACAATAACGACACCCTAACAAAATACCCTCAAACAAACTACAAATAAATGAAAATACCCTCAAACAAACAAACCCATACTGGCCCATACTGAACTGTATCCATACAACTCCAAGGGGCGATCGCAAATATAAAAGCAGGCGGGCAGAGTTGCTGCCATCGCCAGGCTATACCTGGCCGAACCGAGATGTCGGACCCGAATTCAGAAGGGCAAACGAGAATTTAGATCTGCGCGAACTAACAAAATACAGGAAACGAGAAAGCACAAATTAGAGAATCATGAGCAAAGGGTAGAATATACGAGTCTCCAATCGGGTTGTTACTCCTTTTGGGCAACAGTCCGATTTCCTCATCTTTGAAAGTGTCACGGAGACTCCAGGCAGTGCTATTCCCACCTTTTCTTGGCCATCTTCTGCATCCAGGAAACCGGCAATATGTTTGGGGACCGTTTCCCCGACGGGTTTCCTTTGCCCTTACTCCAGAACTTCCATTTGCAGTGGAGCCCCCTGAAAACAAAAATGTTCAGTAGTAGGGGACATAAAGAACATTCATTTCGGGAAATGGACATCTTCCCATACTAACCCCTGAACAAGGCCTTAGTAAGGGCTTATCCTTGGCTGATCCTAATCCTCCCCGAAAACATATAAAAACATGTTTCCAGTAGTGATAGATTCCCTTTAAAACCAAATGGGGAAAAAACCAATATTCTTAAGAAACTGGAAGTATTCCAGGGATAGTCCCCCCCTTCCTGCCCCCCCCCCTCTAGAGGTTGAGTGTCCTTTTCCTTGGTTGACGTTGGAAGGGGAGCAAAAAAAAAGTGTTTAGCAGTTAAGTGGGAATTCCCACTAAACCACCATAAGCAACAATGTAAAATGGTTCCCAACAACAACCATGTTTCCCTCACTCCAAAACGGGTGGAACACTCCACGTCCGCCGAGCTGCTTGACTTGCGAGCCGCCCACCTTCCGCAGCAGGTAATGCCCAAAGACCTCCTGCACGTAGCCTAGGCTGCGAACCCAGCGGAAGACCGGAACATGGGGCACAACTGTTTCCGGAGATTTCTGGGAATCCAGAAGGAAAACCCGGAGGAAAACCATTTTGGGCCACCCATTGTAGGGGAAAACATCTGCAAACCTTGGTTGCTGCAACCGACGCCTCTGCAAAAAGCTTCACTTTGGGAGGGTCCAATGGAAACATTCATACATACATACATCTATCCATGCATACATACATCCGACGTTTCCACTGTTTCCCCAAAAAATTGAAAGATCCAACCAACTAGCCTAAAGAAACCACCCGGAGGGGATCCTCTAAATCGGGAGGTGATGTTTTCACGGCCCAAGCGCATCCTTTGAGGGATGCTGGTTTCGTGCCGATCCGGATGGCTCTGAGGACCCTTGCACAAATTGCACAATGGCAACTTGGCAACAAACACGAGGTGGTAGGGAAAACGGAATTCGATCCAACGTTTCACCCTTTTGTTTTTTACTTTGGAGCTAGGGGGGCCATTGCAACCCATTGACCGGAGACTCTAGCGAAGGCTCATTGACCACAGCTCCCCCCATGGCTTCGAATCACCTCACAGCAAACCGGATGCACAAGAAAGAAACACTGCACAACTCTTCGGACCGGCGATAAGTCATTTGTACCGGAGAAATACAGGGGTCCCTTTTCGGTGATTTTAAACATCATCTTTTTGGCCCAAAGGTGAGTGTCCCTTGGGTTCCTTGGTGGGGGTGATGTTTTAAGGGGAAATATGGGGAGCCCTGAAAAAAACAGCAAACTGTTAAACTCCACCCTTGCCGTGGCTTTTCGCACTCCCAATCACAAGTTTGAATGGACGAGGCGCGAAGTGTCCCTTTTGACTGTTGCAAAGTGGAGCGGGCAATGAAGGCCGAGATCGAAATGGGACAAAGCGGACGAGTTGCGCTTTCCGTAAGGACGGCCCTTTTGGCTCGACCGAAACCCGGAAAGGGCCGCGGTTTCGCCCAAGAATCATTTGTGTCCGATCTCCGACGTGAGCAAGACTCTGTTCAGGCACCACACCCTGCCTGTGCCATGCCACTTTATGGGTGTGATTTGAATCCAGAACTCTTTGGTGGACATCATTTAGGTTGGGGTTTGTCCACCAAAGATTGGAGTCGCTAAACTTCATCGGCTTCGATTGGCTCCGCGACTGATACGTGAAAGGTGTGACAGGCGAACATCCAACAAGCTGCTGGTTTCAGTATTCACTGCCGCTTCTGCCCAACAAGAATAACATGTTCCGATGCTGGTTCATGTGGGTTTGTCTCAAAAATGGTGGACCTGGAACACGAGTGGTTGCCTGTTGGTTGCCCTTTTCAAACCGCTGCAAAAAGGGGACCATCATTTCTGCTATCTAATAATTGAGTCAACCTTAGCCAACTGCAATGTGATGTCATTTGAGTGACGGTCGACATACACGCCTCAGATTTGGGCAGACTTCGGCAAATATGGTGTTGGACAGAGCAGAGGACAAAGCACCTACGAACAGGTGCGACTTGGACTTTGTTCATCACCAGGATGAAAGGGTGTCGACCAAATCCGACAGATTTTGCACCCCTCCAACCCCAAAAAACTGGGTCTGTACTTATGCGACCGAAAAGGAAAACGCCCATGTTGGGGTTCAAACGAAGAAACAAACCGTGGCGAGGAACGATTAAAGAGGTCCTGCGCTGACTCCCCCGCTGTCATCCGCGTGTTGGACTTGCTGAGTGCCACATAGAGCCTCGAAAGTCGAACGACCCGCGCCTGTTCGGAGTTCAACATGGGCCCCCAAAATGTGGGCCCCCGACCACAAGGGGACATAGTGCGCAGTTGATCATGTCCGCTGGTTTTGAGAGTCCAACCATGATAAGCCAATTCCGAATTTTGTGATTGAACAAAGTGCTGCACGAGCATATTTGGGCCTACTGACCGCACAGCCTTCAGCAGCTAGGGAAAAAACACGGAAAAGTGTGGTTCCTTTGGTTTCTGAAGGTGTGGTTCCTTTGGTTTCTCTTCAAACTACAAAAAAAGGATGCCCTCAAGAAAGCATACTCAGCTTCCCTCTTTTCGGTGGGTTGGATTTGTGTCTCGGTGGTGAAGCTTGCTCTTTCCAAGATCTGTGGGTTCAAATCCCCAAAACCACCAATCCAAACCAATTCAGGGTCACCTGAGATACACCCACATGGGTCCAAAGTTTAATCTGGCACCCTTTGGCGGACATGATGTCGGTTGGGGATCCGTGTCCACCCACCACGGATCAGGTTCCCCATCCAAACTCATAGCCATATTCATTCGAAGCCGGTTGTGTTTTTACCTCTGAGTTTTTGACCCTGTGCATCCATTTACCTTGTAAAAGTAGGGAAAGGAAACCAAATAGAAAAGCCAAAGAGAAAGTAGCTGGTTACCTACAATTTACGGGTCACTGGAATGTACGAAAAGAGGCTAACACCCACCTCTCAGGAGTTCCCTATTGAAATTCACACCCACCTCTGGAAATCCTCCCAATGGACAAAGAGAAACCGCTGAGCTGGAGTGCAAGGCACTCCTTGGCCATGTCCTGGCGGATCACCCCGGAGGAGGAGGGCCCGAACCAGGCCTCCAGCTTATCGCCTCGGGGAAAAAAAGAAGACTCCGGCCCCCCCTTCCCCCCCAAAAAAAAATGTGGACCCACGTTCGACCACTGAGCGAGGCCATGGCTGCCAAACCCCCCCCCCCAATTTCACCATCGCTGGATGGGAGCTTGCGTGATGTGCTTGGTCACCACCAATGCCCCAACCCTTGTAACTAGGCTCTTACCTATTGACGCAGCGTCCAAATGCTGGACATGTTCTTGGCCCACAAAAACGGGGTACACAGAAAACCATATCAGATGTCGTTGCATATTTCCTTCCTGTTAGGAGGGCTGTGGGAAATGACAACTTCTGTGATACAAACAAAAGGGCCTCCCGAAGACCAACCCGCCATAAGAGGGGATTCCCAAAAGTATCACAGAAGTGGTTGGATAAACCCTTGGGTGCTGTAGATCCCCCAGCAAAAAGTTTGGTTAAAAGGAAATACGAGGGGAATCCAAAAAACAAGTTGAAGTATAAAGATCCAACCCAATAGCAGTAGAGAACCCCGAGCGATCCCACAACCCGGGTCCTAAACGTACCCACATGCCATCGGGCGCCCATAAAGTCGGAGCCGCTGATGATGTCGCGATCACATGGGATGGGCCGCCCATCGGAGAGGTGGTTCTCACTGCAGCAGAAGCATTGAGACTCCCTGAGTCACGGCCAAAAGCCTTGCTGGTGCTCAGCAGGTAATGAGGGAATGAACCTGCAAAATTCCTTGAAAGGAAACCACAAGGGATGGTTTCTCTTGGGTCATTCCATTTCTCATTCCCTAAGCACCAGCAAGCAATCCACAGTGGTCCCAAACCCCATGGGATTAAAACTGGGCTGTCCGTTTTCAGATCCCCCGGCAAAAAGTGACTAACTGTTAGTGGGTGAAATGGAAATCCAACCACAAAACACTGAAACAAGAATAATTACTCCAGCATAGACCCCAGAGAGCAAAAATGTGTTGTCATTCCATGAAGTCACCAGAAACCAATGAATCTTACGGCGCCGCTAACAAGAACACGCAACCAACCCTTCCTTATGTTGCATATTTTGTCATCGAAGGATTTGTTGAATGTGGAAGCCTTGTGTTTGTCGAGCCCTAGCTAAGGAAAACTGGATGGCTGGGGACCACCAAGTAAAAACCAGCACAGAATCCAGAGGCCGGACATCCTCACCGATTTTCTGGGAGGAGAGTCCCTTCTACCTGCTTCGACTGCTTAGCACCCCTGAGCGCAATTTTGGGGGGGCCATTGACAGATGGGGCGGCCCTGCAACTGGATTCCACAACTACTGGATTCCACCCCAAAAGCCAGTTCTTTCTTTCTCCTGCAGGAGGCAAGTAAATTTCCCAGAGAACCAGGAGAGTGCGTCTTTGCACTCAAGAAAGCAGCTGTTAAAGCCGTTTAGAAGGGACCTGACAAGTTCCGTGAGTTCTGACCGGTTGGATTACCGAGTTCGACGATAGCAGGAATTACAAAGGGTCGAAGGGCTCTCCAACCTTCAGTTTTTGTTCGGGGGGTGGGGACCTGCTGCCATTTGTGCCATGATGCCTGGTTTCCTTTGTAGGAACCCGGCCTACCATCCCCACTCGCCCCAAACAAATGTGCGTTTGGACCACATTTGGTGAACAGTAGCCCAGCAGGGTTCAATGAGCGCCTTAAACATGCTTTGATTTGACCACCAAACTGTTCGAACAATATGTTTGTTTCTGAATGGGAACTAGGATCTGGCTGGCTGCGACGGATGTTCTCAAGGTAGGGAGTTCTTAAGATTGGTCAGAAAAGGCAACCCCTTCTTGTTTAATCACCGCTAAGCAGACCTCAATAAGTTTAAAGGAAGCAACTGAACGCAGATCAACCAACAGGACCCCCCCTAGTATGTCAGCAAACAAATGGGTGTGATTGCTTGCAGCAGTGCTCCGTGCAAATTGAAGAGATCCAAAGATGAACTCAGCTGAGAAACGTGCAAAGAATGGTGCATCATGGTTGTGGGTGTGTGTTGCCCAAAGATGTGAGTTACTTTTTTTCGAGGGTACCTTGTTTTGGTGGTTTTAAGTGGAAACCTACAGGAAAACCACCATTTTGGGGGGTCCCCTAAACAAAGACACCCAAATTGCCTTTATCCCCTGCTTCTTCTCCCGGGCGCACCAAAACCACAATGGGTTGCGAGTTGTGTGAGGGAAGGCAGGCCTCCCCGAACAGCCGGGCATATTCGCAACATTCTGTTGCAACCAAGCATGTGTAGACCACTGAAACCCTAAACCGAGCAAAACATGCCAAGATCGGTGGAAGAATTAAAGGGCCGGGACTTGCTTGGACACGGTAGGTCGGTTTTGGCTGACATGAGCAAGGCAAGCTTGTTTGAAGCCCATAGGCCAAATACTGGTGCGTCTTTTCGAGCTTGTGGATCCGTGGTCCGTCCGTTTGAAACATGAACTCGTTTGAAGCACTCGCTTCCTCAGTGGAGTGGCCAAAAGTTCAAACTTGTCGCTTGCCAAAAAATGGTCTCGAAGAGTAATTCAGGGTGTGAGAGAAGTGGCGCACTTTTTGGGGTACCTTCCGTCCCGCAAACATGGAAACTGGCATAAGGCCCTTCAAGAGAAAACAATCTTCCGAGACCCCATAATGGATCTGGGCAAATTGTTTAACCAACTCTACGGAATCCCCAACAAAGGACACCCCCAGGTGCTCGTGAAAAATGATGAGCATCCGTGCCCACAGGGCCGCAGGAAGATACCCTTCTTTTCAACCAGCCGCCTTTCCCGCAGTTTTTGCGAGGTCTGCAAAAACCGGAACGGGCCCCGTTCAGAATTAAAAAGTCCAGGTTTCTACCCCAATGGAATGGCGGGGACTCGATCCCACTTGCCCATTCTGAATGCAGCTCTTTTCAACCAGCCCTTTCCGGTGAAGATGTTTTTTCTTTCTGTTGTTTTCTTCTTTGTTTTTCCCGGTGGTTCTGGAGTTTTTTGGCTGGTGGTTCGATTTCTGGAGTTTATGGATTTTCGCCGGGGCGCAGAAAGGTGAAGTTCTTGATCTGGATGGGCATCTGCCGCAGATCTCTCACCAAGTGCCTCACCACGTGCAGGGGCCCCGCCATGATGCAGGTGATCGCCTCGGCTTTCCGGACACAGAGCCCCGGACCAGACCATCTGCATATGGCTGGTCAAAAGCAGGGTAACCCCGAAATGGGGTGGCCGGGTAGATGGAAAAGTAGACTAAAATCCTGCGGTCCCCTGGTGGTGAAAACTTTGACCCATACTTCTATGGCACCCCCGAAATGGATGGTTCTCCTTTTGTTTCTTCTCTGAAAGCACCAAAAAAGGGGTGCCCTCACAAAAAAAGGCACGGCCATATGGCTTATAGTTGGGTTTGCCCAGTGATCCCCAGTGATCCTAGCATATAGGTTCTTGCAGTTCTGACTCACTACCGAGGGAGTGGATTCTGAAATCGCCCGTATGCACCCCAATGTAGCCCAGGGCATGTAAGAGAGGTGGCACAAAATTTAGTCGTCTTCCTTTTCGTCCGTCTAGAGTCTAGACCGACCTAACCTTGATGGCTAGTACCCTTACCAAACAAGTTGAGCATTTTGCAGGTTAGTGGAGGAACATGGCAATTTTCCCAAACAACTAAACTTCCATTTGCTCAAGCCCCCCTGGAAAAAGTAAACATATTTCTAGTGGTGATAGATTCCCTTTAGAACCAACAAGGGACAATAAACAAACACCTGCTTCAGCGAATGGTAGGTAAAGGGTTGAAGCACCAACCCACGCGTGCCGGTGGACCGGGTACCCCAAAAACGAAACCCAACGCCCAGGCGCGAAGCCTAAAATCAGAGCATACAGCTCCCAACTCTCGATGGTCGCGGCCAGTGTCATCAGCACCTCGCACGCTGAACTTCGATACACTGCCGGGCTGTCCGTTTTCAGATCCCCCGCTAAAAGTTGAGAACTTCTAGTGGCTGAAATACAACCACTACACACTAAAAGGATCTAAAAAGCGAAGATCCAAAGGGCATGGGAACCACCACGACTGGCGAAAATGAGAAGGAACTTCTCAAGCTCAAGGAAGCGAGCGGAGTTGGAGTAGCGTCTGGCTTTCTTGCGCGAAAGTGCCAACTGTTTGGCGAACGCTTGGTGTGCCGCCTTGGCCGGCTGTGGAAACGGAGATGCCCTAAGGCCAAGGGACCTTCCGGGATCCACGGACGGAAGTCACTTGCTATGTGCATCCGGGGATCTTTGTAGTTTCCCTTCAATCACCAATAGTGGAATGTCGATCCGAGCCTCCGACCCTGAGAAAGAAGCGAGTGAGCGCCCGTGTCACGCATTGACTTTGGGTTTTACCACCTAACATTGGCTCGCCTACCGGCCTACCGTACTTGACGCCACTTGACGCCACGTTGGTGGGGCTGGTTCTTGCTGCCGTTGCTTCGCGGAAAGCCATTCATGGCCGGCTCTGCCGAGTTTTCGACATCGGCGGTTCCCGCAACACGGACACTGACCTTCAACCTTGCCCTCTAGATCACCCATCTTTCCGGAGATCCAGGGAACGAGCCTACCTTCGTCCCATCACGCCAGCCATGCTCTTTCAACTACGAAAAGGGTTGAATCTGCCATGGCAAAAGGCCTATGCAGCATTCTGTTAGATCAAGCCATGGCAAACAAAGGTTGTTCTATCACTGAGAATGCTTTGGGTGCCACGTCTCTGACACCAATGCCTCAGGCCCTGGGACACGAGCCCAGAATTCACAAGCAACAGCTCCTGCTGTCAGAAGCACACCCTTCGGTAGCTTGTACTGCTTAAGCCCGTTGGTCTGAAGCGGGGTATGGGGGAGGGAAAAGGGTGAGGCACATGGTATGCAGCAAAACACATGCTCTGTGGAATTGCCGCATATATTGCTCTGATTTTGTCCTACGTAGGACGTGAGTTTTCGCACAAACCAATGTTGTTTGCTATTGGGCGCTCGTATTTTGGGTAGAAAGAAGCAAGCGAGGAAAAACACAAAAGGGGTGGGTTCGGGCGCTCGACTGGGGAACCAAAGGGGAACGGATCAATCGACACGTCCCGCTTTTCTCGTCTCAGACCCGACGCCTTTTGGCTTTGACTCGGTCAGAACAGGTGGACCAAAGCTTGGCAGCTGTTGACCCCTCTGCTTGTGGGTCCAATGGAAATCCACGTTTTCCAAAAAGCTAAAGTCCACAAATCCAACCAAATAGCCAGAAAGAAAGCAGGGCCTACCCCTTCCCAGGAATTCTTGAAGGACGGGAGCATGGTGCGAACTCAACTTTTGTTGCGGCCGGCTGCATGGCCCCTTGTTGAGAAGCATCTCCGACCGTTTGCGCATAGGTGTGTCTTAAAATATGAAAACCAAAATGTGTCATTGGTCTCACATGGTTTCCCTTCAAACCCAATCAAAAAAGGATTCCACCCTCACTTGCCTGGCATAACCTGCCTTGAGTTCAATACTAAGTGAAAGCCATAGCGGGAGCCTTTGCTTACTGACTACTAGCGACTAGCACTGTGGATGGACGAAATCCTGCACCACTTTACTTTGAAACCATGATTGAAGCCATTGCTTATTGGTATTTACAGGGGTATCATTCATTCCAGGGTTTCTTAGGTCATGCGAAATGGATCTCGTCCATCCACAGTAGCGACCATTCGAGGCTTAGCCCTGCCCTTGCGACTCGTCAACAGGAAGTGGAGCCCGCCAGCCCATTTTGCCGGTATTGCAAGCAGGCAGCCGTCACCAACCAAACCCCGCACAGCACGAGAGACCCGAAGCTTCCTCGCAGTGCTCAAAAGAAAATTCAGCTTCCGTGCGCGAGTGCCAAAGAGAAGTATCTGTAAAGAAAAACAAATGCCCATCCCATGTGCTTCCCCATGGTGGGCTATGAATTGCCAAACTCAACGCGTAGACTCTGCGCAAGAGGAAGCAAAGTGAAAAAGTGATGGTGGGAAAATTGCAAAACAACCACAGCCAGAGGTGCAACCCCCAGAAAAAGACTTCGCCAGAATGGTTAAAGCTTTAAGAAGGGTTCCCTACACAGAGTAGAATCGCCCGCATTCAGCTGGCCATAACTGGGGCTTTGGGGCACTCTGGCGCGAAAGGAATCTTAGGAATCGTGGCTGAAATCATTTGAGAGCGATGCGGTTCCCAAAACCAAAGGATTTCAGGGGGATGTCAAGCAGCACGCTAAGCAAGCTGTCTGGGAATCCCCCGGTTGCGTGCTCAACGCGCTCCTTGAGCAACGGGGGCGATGATGATCTGGCTCAAGGGCCTGAGAGCAAAGGCACCATTTCCCGACCCCGACCCGACCTTCCATTTGGTTAAGACCCCTGGAAAAAAACAATATGTCCAGTAGTGATAGATCCCCTTTAAAACCAACAGTGGAAAAACAAAAATATTCTTAAGCAAATGGAAGCGACCCGACCCAAACCGGGGGGGAGGGTTTGGGGGGAAGGGTTTCAACCGCGTCGGCCAAGAAGTTTCGGCCCAAAGCTTTCGGCCCACAACACGGACACCTGGAAGCCTCTTTCGAGTTGTGTAAGAAAAATTGGGCGGCCCCGACGTAAAAGACACACCCGGTTTGTCAGCTGCCCCAGTGGTTTGGATTGGTGGGGTCGGGCTGTTAGGGATGCTTTCTCATTTGCCCTCAGAAAGAACCAGGGTTCAAATCCCCAATCCAAACCACCAATTTGGGGTTGCAGATTGGAGGAAGACTCAGTCCACATCGAGAAAAACATAAGCAGTCCTGGGTTTGCCACATCGAAGTCCCTGATTGAAAAAATGTGGTCCTTCTGGAGATGAGGCGGTTGGCTCAAATGACCGCTGTTCTCAAGCAGCTGATGGTGACAGCGAGTCCATTGCAGGGACACCTGCCTGCTTCTTTTTGTGACAAGTTGAAGCACGCTTCTTGGTGATCCTGATCTATATGGCCATGGATGTCAAAAGCCAAGTCGGTTATCCCCCAGTGAACATCCGATTCATCGGTCGCGTTGCAGGCCTGACAAGGCCAGCGACCGCTGGAACCTGTTGCTGGCTTCGAGCTTTTGACAGATTTGTTTTCTGCCTGGACTTTCTACAGATTTTTGAAGGGCTGGATGCGCGATGAGCACCAGAAGGAAGGACCTCAATCGCATCGTTGGGACTTATTCATACACCACCCAGCTTTTGCACATGCGGACCTGCTCCAAATTGATTAGTCATAGCCTGCGGTTCTTTCAGGTTGGGGTGGCGCATTTAGTAGTGGATATCATATCATCTTACGGCCACACAGAGCAACCAAACAGTGGTTTCACAGTCTGCTAGTTGGTCGGGACCCGTCAACCTGGCATTCGACCTGGAACTTGGCCGGGCTAGTAAACACGTTTCCTCTCAAGGGCCTAGCCAAATCCGCGCCGTAAGACCCGGGATGCCGGCCATCCGGTTGGAACTGCACGAACTGAGGCTCCGGCTTCTTCAGATGCATCCAGGTGGCGATTTCCTGGGAGCGAATCTCGGCCCGCGAGATTGATTGGTCGACTGCGTGCGAATCAAAGGTCGAGTGGGCAATACTTAGCTGAGTTACCTGTGAGAATCATGTTTGCAATCTGGTATAAAGGGTGGTTCCCTTGGTTGCCTACTTTACAAGTAAACGGATCCAATGGGAAGACGTAACCTTATCATGATGTCGATGTTTGGGAGGTCCCAATCATTTGCCGACCTTCGCCTTACCTTGTTTGCAGTTTGGCTCGTTTGGCCAGGCGTTTGCTGATGGATACGCAGAATTGAAACCGCAGCCAAGGAATTGGATGTCCCACCGACTCACGAAACTTCCCGGAAGAAATTATTCTTTCAGGTGAGTGCAATATAGTACATCGTTAGCACATAGACCCCCCTGGCCCACCCTTTTCTTGGTTGAACATCTGCAACATAGTTGCTAACTGCACCCATTGGTTTATGTGTGCTAACTGATTGTTACTATAATTTGATCAAACACTTGGACATCCGTGTTGGGATGTGTTTCCAAGCGCTTTTAGGGAACTTGATTTGGGTGTTGGGCAAACCTGAAACGGCTCATATGGTCTTAGTTTCTGGACTCGATACCTTTGGGGAATTCCATGAACTGGGCCGCCATCATGCATATATGCAAACGTGGTAGAGAAGGCTATACGCATGTGTCTCAAGGGGAACCGCAATAAAGGTGGTGTCCCTATCATATCTCCTTTAAAGCAGCCTCCGAAATGGCACCCTCAAAAAAGACACATATTTGGGGCACGTATGTCAGGCGCCCCTTGATTTAGATCCGCCCAGTTCTGAATATGGAGGTCCCAAGTTAGGAAACACCATGCGACTCATATCAAATATCAGGCCCGTTTCTTGATCAGCGGTCAAGCTACCTACTCTATGGGATTGCCTAGGATCCACTGGGCTTGCAATGAAACTACAAACGGGACAAAAACAACTCAACTGGCTGCAGCCTTGCCGCATAGACGCACCAGAGTCTCGTAAAATACCTGGTGCGACACGACGACTCCGCTCTCCAAATGCGGTCAGTCACTTCAGCTCAAAAGTGCAGGTGGGCGCCGCTGGGTACGCCAATCCGTGCAAAAGAAGGTCAATGAAGGCAAAAAATGGTTGTGGCTCAAGATGTGCAACAATTGGCACCTTGGCAAGTGGAAAGACGAAATCCCGCGTAATAGCTCCGTTATTTTGACAAATGGAAAGCCCAGCCCACAACATGTTGATGGGGGTCTGGCTGAAAACTGCTTCTGTTGAGGGCGCAAAGGGCCTGAACATAGATGCGAGCGTTTCTTTCTTCCGGGAATTGCACAGAGTTCCATATGTCCAATTCAGTAAATACCGAAATATATCCAAACGATTTGGAGAGAACCCCAAAAAACAATTATTGATCCAAAGGTCAAGGTGGATTTCCGTCGCGCAGTTTTTCTGCACGAAAGCGGGAAAGACATGAACAAGTATGCTACTGTAAGAAGCAAAGTTGGAGAACATGTGTCTAAACCACCAGGCCCTGGAGCATGCGATGGTTCCCTTAAGAGCAACCAACAGATTGTATTTAAACAAGCAGGCATCGGCTCCAACCCTGCCAAAAGCACCTGGCACGTCGTTTTGCCCATCGAAACACTTGGGTGTGTGTGTGTGTGATTTTTTCAGGCTCCCTTATTTGGGGCTGGATGAACCAAAAGAAAAACCTAAGATGTGTGTTTTTCTTCAGGCTCCCCTGTAACCAATGCATAGGGCCCCCGAACGCATACCCAAATGGCCCCATTTTGAGTCATCGCACGCGACTCGAGCTCGAGAGCTGCAAGCCTCGGGCTCCAAAGAACTACGAGTCGTCCTGAGAGCCTCGGCGACGGCAAGCGAGTTCCAAGGAAAAGGTCACCTGCCATTTGCAGAAATACCCCTCCCTGGAGTTGTTTTTTTGTTTTTAACACATATGTCATATGTCCAGTAGTGATAGGTTCCCACTTTTAAACCAGGGGGAAATAACAAGTGTTCTTAAGCAAATGTTGCAACACCGTAAGAAAGAGCGTCCGTTTCACTCATGGACTTTGGGTTCTAGCATTGTACAGGTGTATATGGATTCACATGCGCGAAGGAAAACCGAATCATCCAGCCCCGCGTGCACCAAGGGTCTCAATCCACTCAGAATTGGTCCCACCAGGTTTGACACATCAGGACAAAAATAACCAAACAGCCATGTTCACATGGCTATAACATGAGCTTCATTTGTTGAAGCCTCCAAAGTGGTTGGTGGACAAATTCATCACCAAATTTCCACCATTTCGGGTCCCGAATCAAAACTAATTCCCTCTACATGGGTCGCTCTTAAAAAATGGGGAGCCCCCAAAATGGGGCTGATGCCTTGAGTTTCCCTTTGAACCCCCGCGAGCAACCCAAAACTTCAGCGCTTTTCCTCTCGACACCTGGAGCTGTGCGTTGCAGTTGAGAGGCTTCAGGAAGCCGGCGAGACCCATGATGCCCTTCTTTTTCCTAGCGACGTCTGGGTGGCTCGGCCTTTGAAACTCCTCGGTACACCCTTTTTTGGGGGGTCCCTTTAATGGGGAAACAAAAGCAAACAAGCCCTGTGGGGGGGTTCCCCTATTTGAGACAAACCCAGCTGTTTGTGGTTTGGATTGGTGGCAAAGCCGGGCAATCCTGCTGACTCAAAGACATCCCCCCAACCCACGAGACACCTCACATCTCCGGAGCTCAGCAAACTGAGGGCTCAACTCGCGGTTCTGTGATTCTTTGCGGCCTATCAAAAATGATTATGTAAATACCCGGTATATGTATATATATATATATATATATATATATGTATATATACATTATATACATATTATAATATGTATACATGTGCGCACATATCTGCAAACATGTGTGTGCTGGTACCCGAAGTCTAAAGTAATTTATGTTGCTGGGGCACAGAACAATCCTTCCCTTGTAAGGGACAACAAAAGTCGGCCCAGTCCTCAAAATGGACTAGGGGCGAAAGAAGCTACTCTTGGCTGATGTTCAAGGGAACCCAACCCCAATAAACTTAAGCCCAAAGAACTCAAAGAACACCCCAAAATCCTCACGAACTGGCCCAGCTGTCGCTGGGGAAAGGGGAAAAAACCAACTGCAGGTCTGAGTTGGGAAGACGCCTCATGGAAAAATGGATCCATTCCACCCCCCCTCCCGGGCCCAACGTAAGGGTTACACAAACTGAATCTAGAGGATCATGACACAACTATCCCCCAAGCTGTCACTAGGAAGCTGCATGGAACCAACACAAGCACGGGAGATTGCCGGACTCCTGTTCTCCTACGATAGCGCTTTCCTCAATCACAACTGGTTTATAGCGCTTGACTCAATCATACCTGGTTTGTTTGACCAGGTAAACACCCAAACAAAAAGTTTTAACATTTGCTGCTTTGGCTCTGTCCCAGTCAAAGGCGCGCAGTACCCGAATCAAAGGCCCTAAGGCTGCCGAGCGTCTTCTCCGGGTTGCTCTGTGAAATGCAAAGCCTGCGAGATAATTTCGAGCTCACAGGTGAGGTGCAGTCGCAACGCAGGTTCTCTCATGAGGTCAAGCAAATTCAGAAGTCCCTTGTTGGGAAATGTCGTGAGCCCCCATCTCGCGAACTCCAACTGGACCATAGACTACTGGTAATAATGAGCCAGCAACAGGAATACTGGCAATGAGCCAGTAATGATAAGTGGGTAACTAGTAGTCTATTGGTCTAATGACCCACCAACCATATTGCTGACTATTGGTAATCATGACCCAAGTCAAAACCTCAAGGACTCTACCAATGCCAAGTGGCAAAGCGGCCTCGTTTCAAACACATAGCTTACCTGCACTTCAGTCTCACCTTGGGCGAAACTACCACCCTTCAAGGGCATTGTCCGATATGGGTGTTGTAGGTATGGCGGTTGTATGCCACCTACATCAGGGGTATTGCCGTACAAGCTAATATTAGTCATATTGGTGGCAGAACCCATACCTGACAATGCCCTACCCTTATCTCGGAGACCTCCCAAAGGCTGAAGGCTTAATGTTTGTCTAAAGGCCTCGGTTGCCGGCAGCGGCATTTTTGAAAAGGTCATCCGAGCGGCCGACCCCATGAGCTGGCAGCATTTTGCTTTCCATGGCACACGCTTTTGCGAAATGGTTGCCCCCTGTGATGGCGCTTTCGTGTCCCATTCACGGCAACCTTTTGGCCAAAAGGCGAAAGATTGGTGCGCTAAGTGAACGCTGTGATAGTGGGGCTGGTGCGGTTCATGCGTGTTGCTTCAAACAAAGGAGCAAGAGTGCTGCTGTTGGGCAGCAAAGCACCGCCCCCTTGTACCTGGAGTCAGACAGGGAATTTGGATGTAAATCAACGGGGGTCCCAAAGTACAAATTAATACTACTCTGGTCTGAACTCTTGGAGAGCCATCGCGCCTGTCCATAAAGACCATGCGCGGACTCATCACCTCGCGACGAGTCTGCGACAAGGTGGGCTGTCGGACCGATATGGGTGTATGCCTTCTTTGAGGGTGCCATTTGTTGGTTGGTTCAAATCAAAATCGAAAGAACAACAATCATTTTGCGGGGGGCCAAATCCCTTATGTTGACCGGAACGTGATTCCAATCCAGATCATTGGGCGTGTGATTGGTCCAAAACTGGTTGTCGTTTCTGTCAAAAAGGAAGGGTCCCAGCTTTTGGCTGAAGTGCCCTGAGCGAGATGTCACAATAAGCAGGGATCCTTACATTATACACCTGAACATTGCCTTGTCAATGGTGCTTTCCCTTTATTTTGGTGGAAAAAGCCATGCTTCAAATGGGCAAAATGTATCTTTTAAGGAGCCCTGATAAGGGCCCTTGGAACATGAAACTCAACCCCAAATCCAAGTTGCGCGCATCGGGAAAAACGTGTTGGCATACATTTGCTTAAACACCTATCATTTGTTTCATGATTGGTTTGGCCAACCGTCCATTTCGAACAGAGGATTGTTCAAAAAGGGCTTGACAGGAACAATCCCAAGGCGGTGATGTGGACGTAGGCAGGAGGAGCTTGAAAGGAAAGCCCCAAGGAAAACAACCATTTTGGGGCGTCCCCTAACACATGACACACCCCAGATTCTCTCCAGGGCATTGCCTTTCCAGGAACTAAGCGAACAAGCCAAGGGTACAAGTACCACCCATAGGTGTTCGCCTGTGACCGGCGGAATAATTTTGAAGCCAGGTGCCCTCCACCAAACAGGCATGGCCCCTTGAGAAGAAACAATGGCAACCAAACCAGGAACCTTCAGTAAATTGGCTGCGGCTCAAAAAACCGGTACCAAAATGGAACCTTGGTAAGTGGAAACACGGACCACAACCAATTGACCACCGCTCCACATACCTACCTTGCTTCAGGTTGGGGTATCATGTTACCCCCTGACTACAAAAGGGGAGGCATTTACCGCAGCAAACTGGGGAACCTTAAACCCTGGTGTTGGCTAATTGGAGGTTTTTAGCCCTAGGTTTCATTTCAAACCAGAGGGGGAAGGAAGTTCGTAATTTGAGGTGGTTGGCTTCAGACTTGGTGTCCCTCTAGAGCATCCTGACAAAAAAGAGGGTCCAATCAACTATTGGATGCCGCATCTCGATTTGTTTGGAGATGCCACGAAAATGGCCGCCCTGCGACTCAAGTCCAGGATCCCGGGAGTGAGACATGAAGCTGCCTGCATAATACCTCCCCCCCATCCCCCATCCCCCATCTCCCCATCTCCGGGACCCGTGCCAAGTGCCGTAGCCGCTGCCAAAAGAACAGCATAAAGAGGTAGGTGCCTCAGACAGGACCTTTTTTCAATCGGGGCTTAACCCCCTAGGGCCACATTAAGAGCATAAGCTAATCCTTGTCCCACGACATGTTTCCTTGCCTCCTAGAGAGTCATCCATCCCAACTGCGAAGTGGATGTTGTCCATCAAAACCTCCTGGTTTTGGGGTCCCCCCCAAAAGAAAAAAGGGCCCCCCCAATGCTGCTCCAATTCAGCAAAAAGATCGCAAGGCCCAGAACTCCGGGCACTGAAAATGCATTCTTTGACCCTTGATTTATGTAAAAAGAAGCAGCCTCGGACAGAACTGGTTTCATGTGTTGACACCAAGGTAGACTTAAAACCAGAGGTGTCATGGGTATCGTTTCGCATTTAGTTGGAAATATCATATTGTGTGGTTGTTTCTAGTGGTCATCCCATGTAAAGGACCTTTTGATGAACCTCCAAATGAACCACCATGAACCACCCATAGGTTCTGCAATAAACACCTGGAACCCTGCCAGAATGCATCAACCCTGGTGCATTAGTAGGGAACGCTTTCCCACCAAAAGCAGTCCGGATTGCCTCTTAAATAGGATGCAACCACCACCTCTTCAAACAGGAGTTTATTACTCCTGGGCTCCCATTCCCAATCGTCGGCCAAACAGTTGGCCCCTGGAAAAGCAAGAGACCTCACTGCGCCAGATTTGTCCCTCGTAAGTTGAACCCCCAAAAATAAAGTGATTGATGGCTTTGGAGTGTTTGGATTGAAATTCACACCATAGAGCATCTGGATCTTTGATCGGCTTGTCTTAGGCCGCGTGGACGGAATCCAAACGTGTAAGTGTTGTGTTCCTGCTTGGTTGATCAGTTGGTCCTTCAGGAGTGACGTTCAACACGTGAAATACTATCCTTTCTGTGGCTCCTTCTTTCACTAGCATTGTTTTGCTTGAGAAACGCATATTGTGGCTCCTTTTTCAAACATATCCTTCATGTGACCTTCAGCAGCATGACCACCATAGTATCCTCTTGGCCGCCAGGTGACTTCTAAGGCTGCGTTTCCCTTGCCAAGGCACTCATGCCCAACAGCACGCCCAAGCAACCTGGCACACATGCAAAGGCAGAACAGCACCCGGGGGGGGGGGGTGGGTTCCGCGGGGAGACGGTTGGTCCGTTGTTCACCCTTGTGTGGTTTCTGTTTTTTGAGGAGTGGGAGGGGGCGATGTTGGTTCGCTGTGAAATAGAAACCAAATGGAAGTCGATCAAGTTGAGGGAAACAATGAAGCGTGTAGCCGCTGGGGTCTGATTTCAGGTAGACCAAAAGTGACCCATGAATTCAGCGAGCCTTATTTTAGGAAACGCTGTGTCAAGGGCAAGCTAAACTTGATGGCGGACGTGGGAAAAACGAAAGATGCCAAGTAGCACATACACAAGGCTGATCAAAATGGGTTGGCCAATCCTAAATCATAATCCTTGTGGTTGACATCTTGCCAAAACAATGTGATACCAACCTATGCCGAAGGCCACCTTGTTTCCTCCCACGGAGTTTGTGAGGGAGGACTATCTTGCAACCAAACACCCGCAAACAAACATGAACGGCGATCCCTTTTGGATGGAGTGAAAAGTAGACCAAAGGGTTCTGGCTACAATTTGGTGCGAGAAGCCCCCGCCTTAGGCCTTGTTTCCTCTGCTCCTTTGAGACCTGGAAAAAGGTTTCCACATTAGGGGTATACGGAAAATCATAATGTCTGACTCTGGCAATATTTGTCTATTATGAATGATGACATAGTTTCGGAGGATACTTTTTGGGGGACCTTGACCTTGCGTTTGCTTATATAAGTCCCCTGCAACAAGTAAACATATGTCCAGTAATGATAGATTCCAATGGAAACCAGCAGGGGACATCAAAACATATTCATTTCAGCAAATTGAAGTCACTTAGTCACCATTTGGGCAATGCAAAAAAACTTGTCTGACCCTGAAATGATGGTTGTCCCTTGAAAATACTCAAAGGCTTTCCTTCAAATCAGCGCCAAATCCCAAACTGCAACCAAAGACCGAAGGAAGCCCAAAGGTCTTGATTGACTCCCCGACCAACAAACCACCTTGCAACCGATAGGGAACCACCAAAACTAAAATATGGGGGTATGTATGAAACAAGGCGATCCCACCATGGGTGGTGTTTGTTTGGATCGTCGATTCGCGGGCGACTAAGACAAACACTCATCATGATATTGGTGCAGGCTTCTTGGTTAGACGTGCTTGTACACGACTCAAGATGGGACGTTCTCAAAATGGTGGACTCCCTTTTAGTTAGTATGTAAAGGACTACCCAAGCGCACCAACCATTTTAGGGACCCCTATCTTGAGAATCATCCAACCTCTATCTGGTGTGACGGATTTGCGTTTTCATGGCGAGTCATTTCAATGGGTCCGAGGCTTGACCCTATACTTCTCATGTGTCTGTGCAAAGAAGGAAATCAGACCAAACCACTAAACACCTCTTTGAGCAAACTTGTTCAGGTATCCCCCATACATTTCTCCGGAACCCTTCCAGAACCCTTCCGGAACCCTAGCTCTTCCGGCTCCAACCGAATCCGGAGCCTATTTAGGCAAAAAAAACAAGAAGCTTTCAGCTGGGGATAGCTGGGTTTTTTGTTGAAGACCCCAGCCTGCCGATTCCACGTCATACCTCACACGGCCCACCAAGACCTCGGACGCAGATCCACCCTCCCCGCTTGAAAGCCCGACAAAGGGCTCACTTCCTAAGATTGGCCGAAGAAAGTCTGAGTTGTGTCTCACCGCCTGAGTGGATTGGCCCCAAAGAAGTAAAAACTGGTTACTTTCGGGTAAAATGGTCTTCCCAATACACGTTGAAAGTCCCAGAACTCAGGAAGTGCGTTGCTGTTTGCCAATCAAATGCTTTGACCAAGTGACGAAAGCCAAGAAACAAAAGAAGGGAAGTTGGACGATTACTTGTCTACTTGAAGGAAGAAACTCAAGAGGTGCAGACAAAAATGAAGAAAACAAAACATACATCCACCGTTGGGAGGGCCAAATGCCTTCCTGGCAGCACACTAACAGTTTTGTCCATGGTGAAAACCGGGCCTTTTCCGGCCCTCGAAACGAAACAAACGCCAGAGGTCTGGGAAGAAAGGGATAGCAGTTGTGGGCCGAAGGATGGATCTGGCCAGTTGCCCAATGGGTGAGCCAGGATCGTATTGCGTCTTTCTCATTTTTTCCCCCGCCCCTTTGGCAGTAACCACCCTACATAATGTTTCGTGTGACCTAGAATCAGAAGTGTTTTCATGTTTGTTCCCTTAGCCAAACAACAGGTAATCAACAGCCCACCTTGCCAGCTGGTATCGAGTGGAATTTCCCAAGCCCTCATTCCCAACAAACAACAACTGTGAGCGCGTCCCCGGCGTTCCCCTCGTTGGGAAGGTGGAATTCCAATAGCCACAACCTCGACAAGTGGGTTTGGTGAAATTTTGAGCTCCCGGCTCGTCCCATGTCGACTGGAATTTGTTGACCTACCCTGTTCGAACTTTCACGTAGTTGGCGCTGGGAAGCCAAAAGGCCAGCCAGGAACCCTTCCGGATCTTCGTGGCCCCATTACCCAATGTCCAAATCCTCACAAAAGAACGGACTCTGAGCTCCAGTGCGACATGAGATCAATATGAGACAATTCAGGTAATCCACTCCCCCCGATCAAAAAAAAGAAGTTCCAGGCTTCCTCAAGATGCTTCTGGTTTCGCCAGTCTTGGCCCACCCCTGCCGATCGGCGGGAAAAAACAACAAACACTGCGTGATACCAAAGTAGAAATTCGCCACCGTCTTCCTCAACAATGGTTGCCAACCTTGAGGCGAAGATCTAAGCTTCAAACAGTGCATGGCACACTTCCATTATTTTGGCTACATCCCCTTACCTGTGTGAAAGGCATGGTGCCATCTACGGAAACCACCCTGGCGGAATCCCCCAAACCAAATGCATTACCAGCGAGCGGCATAAAAGCCCGGGAGAAAGCGACTGCTTTCCAGAAAGATCTGCAGGACCCCGCCGAAGACCGCGGCCTCAGTTGATGGGTGAGAGTTGGTCGCTTCATTTGCTGGTTTTTGTTTTGTTTGTTCATTGGTTGGTTGATTGGGTGGGCGGGCGGGTGGGTTGGTTGGTCGGTTGGTTGCCCGGCTGGAACAGTGCCAAGTTGGCTGTCTGTGTTGGCTGTCTGGATGGGTGGCTTTTGTTGACTCTAATTGTTTTATCGGTGGATTGAAATCCTTGTGAAACCGTTGAAATTTGGAGGTCTGCTCATTTCGAGACATGGTCGGTTGCTAAAAGGCATTGTAATGTAGACGGGAGCGAGCGAGCGAGCGAGCGAGCAAGTCAGTGAGTGTGTGCGTGCGTGTGTGTGTGTGTGGGGTGTGTGTGTGTGTGTGGGTGTCTGTGTGTGTGTGGTGTGTGTGTGTGTGTGGTAGTGATAGTGACAGTGATTGTAAGGGGAGTCATAAGGGATAATATGCTACTTAGTGGTCCAGAATGGCCCCATCAAGGTACATATGAAACAGCAAGTAGGTTGAAATCCCCACTAAACCCTAAAAGCCTCAGGGGATGGCTGGGACCCACCAAGTCATTTTACGGGCAAAACGCCGGGATGGGCTATGCTGGACAAGGCATCTCGAACTGAGCAACCAACACCTTGGTAGGGCAAGCATCTACAGGGGGTCTGCACACAACCCAAAGCTCCCCAACTTGCAACAGGGTCCCAACTAGACTTTCAGCCTAACATCACCCAAACGGAACTCACATGTGTCAAATCCGCCCTTCCAAAAGGCAATGTTTAAAATTGGAAAAAGGAGCAAACAACATATTCTTTGCAGGAACATCCGGCCCTTTTGAGGGCAATTGGTAATTCCGTCTCAAAATAGAGTAACCCTCAAATGCTGTTGTTCTTCTTGGCTCCCCTTTCCTCCGCGTGGTCCCTCGTCGACTCTGTGCCTATTGCTTGGCACGCTCTCGAAAATCAGCTGCTTGCTTTGCTGGCAGCACACCTTTCCCCCCCTCTCTTGCCTGGCTTGGTTTCCATCTCCAAGCGCGTACTGGCAGAAAGTCGAAGAATTTGCGGAACCTTCAACTTCGATGACCTGCAATCTTCAGAAAAATGCGGTTGGCAGTGCGGTTCACAAGCGGGTGAGTTCTGGTCCAGGATGGTGCGACGAATTGAATGTCCAAGTGCTCGTTCCTCGAGCTGAATGGTTCTTGGGCAGGTTTGTGGGCTGGCTTCAGAGATTGAGTTGTTCAATCCTTCGGGGGTGGTTTGTGTTTGATTGATTCGATTTGATCGGGGCACAAAGTTTCAAAATCAGAATCGGACAACCAGGACGTCCTCTAGCGCTTCATCGCTGGAAACTATATTTCTGAAGAGCCAATAGGACAGCAACATGAGGGTTGATCAATATTCCTGGCCCACAAATGACCATGAGCAACTTTTCTCATTAAGTGGGACGTAAAATCTGTTTAGGGGTTTCCCCCAATAGTCATCCTATGTAAACTAAATTCCTCCAATTGAGAGGTTAGCATAAGGGTACCCTTTCTTCTGCAGTCTATTTAGTAGCCTAGGGGAACCCTCCCCCAAAACAAGGTAAAAGGGACTGGGAGACCTAGTAAAGGTCCTTTTGATCACCCCCATGTCCAAATGGCCATGGGTCAAAATCCAGCCACTGAAGTAGGAAGCCTAAAATGGGTGGTGAAATCACCAATCCCAACCAAAATGGGATTTTCCACAACGGTTTTGACCACAGCCAAATGGTGCTCAAACTCATCGGGCCATTGCTGGAATCTGGGCTCCGGGCAACCACTGCCTGAGAGTCGCCGACAGCGGCTCACACGAATGGATCCACGGGGATTTGTGACCCCTGAAATGGCTGCGGGTTCCTCTGGGGTTCCTTTTTTCCAACCAAGAACTACTGAACATAGGGGACCCTCAACATGGAGGTCCTGTTGGTTTCCCGAGAAAAGGTGACAGTGATACCGGGATACCCTTCAAAACACAGACACAGACACAAACACAGATGGCTTCGTCTTAATGGTGGACCCACCCCAACGGGGTGGTTACAATTTGGTCTCGGGGTGTAAACTTATGCGGCCATGGACAAATGGCCCAAAGCAGAACCATTCCTTCAGCAACCTTACTGAAGCTTGGCTAAAGGGGGACACGGAAAGTATGTTTTATGCTCAGATGATCATTCATATGTCGTCCTTAAAATCGTTGTGGAGGAGACTTTTCTGGGCTGCCCTCAGATCCCCCGCTAAAAGTTTAACTTTTAGTGGGTTCAATGGAAGCTACAACTAAACACTACAAGGCTAAAAAGCTAAGGGGATGGCAGGGAGCCACCAAGTTTTGGAGGTTCTGATCCAAGGTTTCGCTGTGAACAGCGAAACTTATGCTCTGACTCCCTCACCTCCCGAAGCGCTTCGGGTTTGCAAGTGGCAGGGTTTGTCCTTGGACCACTGCACCTCAAGTCCAAATGACTGGGCGGGGTTTTGGTTGGTTTTAGGGGAAGCCAGCAGCAAAGCAACTTTTTTGTTTGGGGGGGGGTTCCCAAAAAGACACACCCAAGTGGATCTGGGATTGTCCTGTCAAGTGTGTCTCGCACAGTTGCGCTTCCAAGCAGGCCATCCTCGGGATGTCGCCTGCGCCCTGTGTCATCACGGAATGTGCGCAGTTTGTGCTGTCGATGGGTGGGCCCTTGAACATGACGACCAATGACCAACTGACAGCTTGGCGCCGTGAGGAGGGCCTTCACCGCCCTCTAAAGATTTCTTGGCCAACATGTTTTTCACGAACCGGGGGATCGCTATGAAGCAACCCTTCATGGACGTCGCAAACCAATTAGAAATGACATCGCTAGGACTTGCCCATTTGGAACTGCAACGGCTCCCCAAAATTGTGGGGTTGTTCACTTAGAAACCTCAGTGTGTGCCATGACATCACGTTCAAAGAACCAACACGAAACCAAGAAGGACAAACATGACAATACAAAGAAGAAGAAGAAGAAGAAGAAGCTCAAAACTCTCAAATGGTTCCTCAATATGCCTGCCCACTTTTGTTGCCCCGACTGACGCCCTGCATCATATCTTGCCCACAGAAGAGAGACCTTTGATTTGTCATTTTCTTAAAGGTCAATGTCCTCGGGGAAACCACCCTGGGATGGATACCCATAGTTGAGGGCCTTTCGTTTGATCCCCAATGAATGTAGTTGCGATCCTGAAACTTAAAGCAACCCAAGTGCACGCCCAAGAGTCCCCCTCCTAAATGGGTTGCACCCTGTCTTTTTTTTCTGCAGGAGTCTGGGTCAACAATCGGAAAGGACGAAAGCGGGGAGGCCACAAGAGAGGCGGAGGAGAGCTTACTGAAAAATTGCCTTCAACCAGTAAGGAAAGTCGATTGATTTGGGATTGTTCAACTAAAACAACAACTGAACAAACATAATCCTTCGCCCCATTCAAAGGACCTTCATCCTAGGTGACCTCGTGCTCAGAGCTCGTTATACTTTGCTTCATCTCCGCTCAAAAAAAGACCGGCTTGGTGGCTAATTCCCCGTGAGCAAAGCTTTCATCTCTTGGTCTTGGGGTGCCCCAAAGCATTTCAAGATTCTGAATTTCAGCAACCAACCAAATAGTGAAGGGGCCTGCTTCATATGAAACTCAAAATCGGATCCCCTAAAATTGTTGTTCTAGATACAATCCCAAAGAGCTCCACCAGCTTGAGAACTCTCATACATATGAAAATGTACGTGTATATGTGTCAATCTATACATATATATATACATATATATATATATATACATGCGTACACCTATATGTAATATATATATATATATGTATATTGTATCTGTCTGAATAGCAGCTAAGCCGAGAGGTCCGTCGAAGAGAAGCCGTCAAGTCGCCAAGCCGTCGCCGCGGTCAAGCCGAGGTACTGCGATCACGGCGGCCCGGCCGTTGTAGAGAGCGCACCTCAGGCGCATTTTCGAGTTTGGACCCCCACAAAGACGTGACCCAGCAAACGTTGCTGGCTGCAAACTCGCACATGTACCGACATTTAGCTCTACTTTTAGTGGGCCAAACTTAGACTCTCACAAGTTGCTCTCCGCAGGCTGAACACCAAGCTTGTAAAGACGTTCAAGGCAAGCCAAGTCTGGCAATGGAAAACAACGGTATGTTTGGCACCTGGAAACAAGCAAAATGAGAAACACCTGACATTTCGGCTCTGGCAATGCCGGGGTTCAAGGCATGGCAAAAGCGAGCCCAAACACTCCGGGATCCCCTCGGGACACCCAGGTTAAGACTCTTGTTGTTTGTTTCTTTTTTCCCCCTCGAATTACTCACTTCCTGAGTGTGTTGGCAAAAAAAACTGGTCTATTTACAACTAAACTGGTCTTACCAAAAAGTTTAAAGTCCAGGAACTCAGGAAGTCAAATTCATACTCAAAAAGGGAACTGACGTTTACCCTAAACTTTTCGAAGCCCTTTCAAGTAGTCTACCAGAAAGGGTTATAGAGGCTTATCGTTGGGGCAGCATCCCACCACTTTCAGCCTCCGAGTTTGAGAGCAAATCTATGGGAATGAGTGGTTTTGCTTGTACCCTCTCGCGGTGTTGGTGCCTTTTTTGGGGGAATACCCCATTTGCTGAGGTTTTGAACTAACATCAGGGTTGAAGTAGCTTGCTTCCCACGGTGATAGCAAGGAACCTCAGCCTTGTGAAGTCATAATTGCTACAAAAAGGGGATCCATTGCAGCCTAAGAGTGAGTAGTATTGACTGGTGGTGACTGATGCCTATTAACGAGATATTAATATAACCTTCCCAAGGCTATCTGCCAATATTGGACTGTAGAGATACTCGGTCAACAAAAAAAACATATTGCAGAACACAACCAAAACCAATAACATAGATGAACACAAACCAACTTCATGATTTCACATATTGGTGTGTCACAAAAGGGGGCCCCTGTTTTAAAGGTTGTCCCCTGCAGTCCAAGTCACAGGGTCAGGTACTTCACGAGGCCCCGGGTCGCCCAGTCGTGGGAAATGAAGTCGTCGATCTCGCTGACGATCTCCGCTTTGTCCTGTGGCGGGTGAGGGCCCAGTGGCTGACAAACGTCTTGCTGCTTCGTGAAAACGTGTGACATGTTGCTGTCTAGCGGGAAAACATGCGTTTCCAAACAAAAAACTGAAGACCTAACCAACTAGCCAGGAACCTGAAGGGAATACAGTACCTCATGAAGTTCGTACACATGAGTAAGATAATCACTCTTTGTGTGTTGGAGTCACCCCATTGTTCAGACATAAGCAAGAGAGTAATCGTTTCACTCCATTGAAATACCATTGTTCATGAGTGAAATGATTACCATGGTTCTGAACACTTCAGACATAAGCAAGTGAGGCCCCCCGGCACGCCCCCTGCAGCAAGGTGAGGCTCAGTGCTCAGGAAGCGGCCCTGCAAAACCTGTCCAACCCCTGGCATTGTTTTAAAAACGACGGTCTTTCGTGCAGCCCACCACCAAAAGTGAGCAGAACCAACAAACAATGAGAAGGAAAAAACAACTCAACCCATGCCAACAGTCAATGAGCAGAACCCCCCCCCAAAAAAAAAGAACAAAAACAACTCAACCACGTGCCGACAGTGAAGAATTTCCACGCATCCTCGCTGAATGAACCCCGTCGGCTCCCATGAAAACAGCGCTGCGAAGACCAACTCAAGACCGGAAGAGGCCCACCGGACTGGCCGAAATTGTGTGTTGTTTGTCCGACGAAAGACTCGCAAACATCAAACCAGCCCTGATTTTAAAGGCTCTTTCGGTAAAATGATATTTGTGGAAATGGTAGAAGCGGGTGTTTCCGTGCTCAATAGGGATTCTGTCATAGAGGGTATACTTTTGCTTAGCATTCCCTTTCCATAATTGTTGTCTGCTATGCGGGTTCTACTTATATCCGGGGTCGACATTATCCCTTTTCAAGGACCCCAACACTGGGATGGTTTCATGTGGATTCATGTCGGGTTCCATTTGGTCCGTTTTGCTTCCCTTGAAAACAGACCCTAAAGGGGGTCCCTGACAAAACGCACCCGCACCGAAAATTGGTAAAGCTCGAACTCTTTGGCCCAAGTTGAGCCCACATTCTTCTTGGCCAAATTGGTCGCTGAGTATATTCCAAGCTCCTCCGTCGCCTTTTGCTTTTTAATCTTCTTGATTCATGGGGCCTGGAGGAAAGGACTCGCTTCAGCTCTCAGGTCTCCAATAGGGCACCACAAACACCAGCCACACCCACCTGAACATTCCCCCCGAACAAGTGTATCGATTGCACTGGGGAATATGGTCGGAGAAATGTCCGAGATATGGTTGGGCTATGGTTGGGATATGGCTGGGATTGGTGGGAAGGTGGTTGGGATATTGTTGGAATTTGGTTGGGCTATGGTGGGGATTGGTTGGCCTGCGGATGGAATATGGTTGGGCATGGATGAACAGCAGCGGGGGCGCGTTGCGCTGCCAGTTGCGCGTGCACTGCCGAGCACCTTAGGCACCTTGGCAAATGGAGCCAAAGACTGAAACCTGCGTAACCCTATCTCTTGAATCTTGAACCACACCCAAGTGGCTGTGGGTCAAAAATGGATACCCAAAATGGAACCCTGGTAAATGGAACCCAAGACTAAAACCTGTGGTCCCCTGGTGGTTTTATTTTGACTCATACCCAAGTCTTTCCATACCGCCCAAAGACCGTCGCTCCTCCGTAGAGCTGGTGTCCAAACCCTGCCAGTGAACGCCTGAAGCGGTTGGATGCGCCAGCCGCAGGGACCGCGCCAAACAGTGGAGGGCTCCATTTCCATTGTGCAATTCTGCAAAGTTTGCTTCCGCCTGCCTTGGAGGAGACCCCAGTTTTGCCAGGGTGGGATTTGCCAGAAAGGACAAGCTTGTCACTAAAATGGTCTTCCCAAGAAGTGCCTAAATCCGGGAACTTGCGGGAGTGAATGGATTGCTTTTGAAGAAGCCTTGCAAACAGAAGGCTTGCATGTTTCCCGAACGATTGCACAGGAAAAACTGGAAAATCCTATACAATGCCTGCAATAGTTGGTCCTTCCAACAAGGGACGCATCATGACCCCTTCAACCCGCGGTAAAGCAAATCACCCTGTGGGGGGGCTGTGCGTCACTTAAGCCAATGGGTGTAAGGGAACCAGCCACAGAAGGAAACCAACATCACACATGGGTCCAGCAAAGTTCCTTCCAAAGTCATGATCGAAGGAGGTATGCGTGATTCAGCACCCATGCACGAATCCTGGTGATTCCATCTACTTGCAAAGGCAACAAGGACTTGTCCCCCGCCTCAAAAACTGGAGGAAGCAATGGTTGAGTACCTCTTTTTGGCGCGTTGGGCCAACACCAATTTATAAAGTTGCAGCTACTCCCCACTTGCTTTTTACGCGGGTTTTGATTGCAACTCATCAGTCTCGCGATTTCCACGACAACGAGCGCCAAGCTTTGCAACTCTCAGGCGTCCAAACACCATGCACTTTGCCACTATCTCTTTGTGAGCAACCAAAAGCAACAATCCAGCGCTTGAATGGTACGAGCATCAGGTGTCTGATCGAATGCCTTTTTGAGGTGTCCATGGCCAAGTGAAGCACTCTCATTCCTTTAGAACAATCTCAGAAGGGTGTGGGTCAAACATGGGGAACCCCAAAATGGAGCCCTAAACGGAACCAAGAACAACCTGCGGTCCTTGTTTGTTTTTTTGGACCCATACTCATAACTTCCAAAACCCGCCGGTATGGGAAAGCAGCCATTTTCCTCTGGCCTTGGGGCTGAATCTTTTGGTTGCCTTCACAATGGAATCGCGCTGCTACACAATATGCTCGTTCGGAAATTTGGCAAGCAGAAGGAACTTTTAAGTTGCCATCGCCACAACAAGAAATATGCATGATCGCATGATTCCATTGTTTGACAGAGGGTTCTACGGTCCTGCTCAGCCTCTGTTTAGATATGGCTCATGCGAGTGCATTTCGTTTAAATGTGCTTTAGCTGCTTCAGCCTCTAGATCTGCCCACGTGAGCTTGGAATCTTGCAAACAAGCTTTTGCAGAGCCAATACAGCCAATACTCCATGGACGAACATGCCAATCGGGGCTTAACAGCTTTGTGTGCAACTACTTCAGACCCTTGTCACGCAAACAATGCTTGTTGTTGGTCTTGTAAGCAAGCAAAGTGTAGAGGCTCGACTCCTCCCAGCCCCCTTTGGCAGTAACCGCGCGACAATTGTTTTCGTTCGCAACGGTCCTGGCAGAAGCCTCGTTTGCAGTTGATTCCGTTGGGTGCTGCACCTAAAGCGCAGTCCACTGAACAGGGTGCATGCTAGGAAAATACTTCGATTGGCCAACAAGGCAACCAAATTCTCGCTTTCTCTTCCCAACACCCAACTAACACACACACACACACACACACACACCTTGTCTTGCCTTGATCATTCAAAAAAGACAGAAAAAAACAAAAATAAAACCTTCGACGACGTGAACAACAACTTGGCACCATCCCCAAGACATTCCGTCAATGCGAAGGTGGCTTGGCACCAAAGAGGCAGAGAAACCAGGCCACGCGCACCCATACTGCGGTGTCAAGGCATTCTCCAGGCCTAGTTCCGCTGTACCTCCCGGGCGGCAAACCCCGGTCGTCACCTGCCATGAGCTTCTCCAGAATATGTTTACGAACTTTCATGGCGCTAGCACGGTCACGTACGTGCACGAAAGTGTCCAGCAGCATTGTGAACCTCTCGCCGCCTGACAGGCCCTGAATACCGAGTCGACCGCAAACGTCAGCGTCTTCGCCGCACTATGATTGGAAAGATGATAAGAGCGCTGGGAAAATTAAGAAGGCAACTAGGTCCTCCAGTAGAGAGGATAGAATAAGGGTACCCTTTTTTCAGTAGTCCATTTTAGTAGGGGAACCCTCCCAAAAAAAAGGGGTGAGAAAGGGCACTACTGGGGGACCTAGTAAGGGAATCCCCAAAGAAACTTTACTGGTGACGACGCAACCCGGGACCCGGGAGCCCAGGGAGTGAGCCCCAAACGGGCGCCCGGGCCAAATCGCTCCAAGCACACCAGGAGGCTTACAGCCTGCACGGAAAACGGGCGAAATCGAGGGGCTGGGAAAAAACAAAAAATACTCGTTGTTGTTTTGTATTTCTATTGTTTTATATATATTTTTTCCGCACCAGTTGGCTTTTCAATTTCTACTGTTCTCATGTCATGTGACTAGGCTGGTGGGTGAGCTGTGTTGCCAACCCCTTTTAGTTTCGGAGATTCTTCCAAAGAACTGACCGGCCTCCAATAGCCGTTGGGAAAAGAACGTGCACAGATATATCTGCCTCCTCTGCATATGTAGAAAGGGGAGATGAAAGACTTGATATGGCAACAGTTTAAAAAGGGTAGCTGAGCCAGGCAAGGTTTTAGATTGGTTCATTTTCTAGGGAAGCCTCCTCCAAAACAAAGGGAAACAAGGGCACTGCCGGAGGTTTGAGTGGGCTCTGGGTCGCAATCAGGGGAGGCGACCATCCAAGATAGAAAAGAGAGAGTCAAAACTCCTCACTTGGGTTGCGGTCATGCTTCTCTCAACAGGAATCCTATATGATCGTCTACAATTGTCTAAAGTTCACTCCGATTGAGGGTCCATGACCACCCCCACCCGTTTCCAAGAAGTGGCGACATAAAATCCGCTTCTCCACAGCCAGAGTTGTCTTCACCCACTTCTTATCGTGAACACTTCGGCACGGCATAGCTGTTGGCAGGTCCTAAGTGATACTTCTGGCAAATTAGCCCACGTGAGAGGGCGCAGCGTCATGTCTTGAAACGTTTAGGATCTCGCTTGTTTCATTTCTCGAAGGCCTGCGACCAAGCCAAACATCCCCAAAAGGAGAGGTCAAAACTTCTGACTCCCCTTGTTTGTGTGGGACATTTGCAGTTCGTCCCTCCCAACTGAACCACTGACTACCAATAATTTCGACCAAACCTCACGCCATCGGACAACAAGATGTTACGGATTTGCATCTCTTCGAGATACGCTTCAGTGACCCTGGGGAAAAACGGGAACCCTTTTTGGGGAAGACCATGTTTAGTGGGGCAGCAACCAAAAAAAAAAGGACAAATAATTGGTGCCGCTGAACAACTGGGTTCAGGCTCGTTCACGACTAGATGCACGGAAAGAACTCATGTCCAGCAAGAGTCTGGAGATCAAAGGAGACCTTTGGGGAGACCAAAAGTGGCTAGGATACATCCCCAAGTTGCCTTGAGGAGTGGTTGTGGGCAACAAAAGGTCTGGGAACTAGGGTACCCTTTTTCAGAACAGGAATTGGGTGTGTATGTGTTGATTGTACCCTTGTTAGGGTTGATTGCTAAAAGAAGACACACCCAAATCAACCACCTGATTTGGGTCCCTTTGGAGAACCCACTTGCAACACCGAAGTGGCGTAATGTTTTTCCAGCTTGGCACAGGGAAACCCGATTCGGGGCAACGTGATCTGGTCACCCTAATGTTGTGACAAAGGGAACAGGCTTCCCAGACGTGATCTGGCAGTCCCCTAATTTTGTGACAAAGAAGGGAAAAGGCTTCCTAAGTCCCAGTTCCATTTCCCCTAGGTTGTTGTACGCGGACAGGATATGTGCTTGCCGTGCAAAATGAGTGAGCAAGTCCTCTTCCATGTGACTGCTCCCAAACAGAACGTAGACTACTATGTTGACCGAACCTCCCATCACCGTTTGGAAAAGTCAAGCTTGCAGTCAAAGAACCCTTTCGAGGCCGACTTTTGTCTGTCTACCAGTGAAAATTCCCTCACGTGCAGCCAGCGACGCTTTAACAAAGCAATTCCAAGAAGAGCTCTGAAGCAGACGTCTCTCGGAACAAAGAAGCGAGAGTCTTAATATTCTGAATGTTTTAGTGTACACCCCGAATAAGTCAACCGCAGTTCATTGATAGTGGGGTGTTCCCTTGCAAAAGTGTGATTCTCCACTAAACCCGGAAACCCCACAAGAGGGGTGCGAGAAATGTCAAACAGTACCGGATAAATGGTGCATGGTCTGGGATGTCCTCAGAACACCGGCCAAGAACACAACTTTAGTGGGTTCAATGGAAATCCCCGCTAAACCCAAAAAGCCTCAATAACTAAGGGGATGGCTGGGAAGCCCTGAGTGGTGCAGGTGAAAGATCAAACACTTTCGCCTCTGAGAAGGGACTTGCACAGGTCTAGCCCTTTCAGACGTCGGAAAGAGAGCCGGCGCCAAGATCTGTGCGATGCCCATGCCTTTTGGATTCTGTTTGGCAACTGGAGTGTGTTTCGAAAGGGCAAACTCCAAAATGGGTGTCCTTCTCGTTCCCCACTCAAGCCATTGATCGAAGTGGATTCAGATTCTTTTTGCCACCGCCTTGCGAATGCCTGGATCCAAGGTCTCTTCGAGCGCCATGTTCCTAGGCAAAGAAGGAAGTCAGGCCAAAGTGATGTGGGTCTCCTGGGAACATAGAAGACTTGCCCAGGGTGTGAGACTTCTGCCAAACAAGGGCTCGGACCAACAGTGTGGCCTTGATCTGGACGACACAAGGGTCAAACAGCCATATCCACTTTTTGCAAAAGACAGTGAGTTCTGTCTTTTGGGGTACCCTTTCAGGTCGATTGAAAGTGATTCCAAAAGCAAACCCATCATTTTGGAGGTCCCAAGTAGGCCTCAGGAGAACCACAGTTTGTGCCTCTGATGCTTGCAAATGGATAAAGGTGAAATAGTACACATCTACGCGTGTCTGAAAATTGGAGACCCCTCTTCAGATGCTTTGAAAGGGAAACCAAAAGGAAACCACCTGCCTGGATGGGGTTTGCAATCTTGACCAGCAAACACACACGTGATATTCCGCAATTTTCACGGGCACCCACGGTGAGCGGGCCAGACCGTGGGCTGTAAATGGAGAAGGGCACCCACGACCGCTGGTAGACCTTACCGAAGGGATTGAATCGGCCCAACGCGTCCATCAGCACGCCAAGAGCATGGGGATTGTTTTTTTCTCACAGAACCTACCCATTCAGGATCCCGAATGAGTTACTCACTTCCTGAGTTGATGGTCCAAAACAAGTTAAGCTTTTGGTTTGTCGCCAACATGCTAAAATAAAATGCCCAAACAGTGACTAAAGTCCAAACACTCAGGCAGTGATATTATTCCACAATCGAGGAAATGGAAAGCCACGAGCGCACCCTCTCCATGGAACATGAATGATTTTCGGAAGGACATGTTCCTCTGGTAGGTTCCAATTGGACAGGAGTGCAAATACTGGTCAGTATCAAAACCTGGCACTTAATTGGTCTACCCAGAACCATGTACAGAATTGACAAGGCGGCTGCATGTGTCTACCTGGGTGACTCATATTGAATGGTCAACGTACACTGAACAAACTTCCACAAACCAGCAACTACTCGCTGGCAGATTGACTTGGAAGCCCCAACAAAAAACCATCGTCTGTAGTTGAACCCCCTTTTGCGGCAACCCTGCAAGGCTTCTTTCCTCCTATTTGCAGCGGAGGAGCTTCTGGTTGACAACCCGTGAAGCATATTGGCGATGGGCTCTTACTTGCCCAATGGCCATAGAGAAAGACACATGGATCGGAGTTGCCGGGCTGCGCAACCCATTTCCGCCTTTGGTGTTCGGGCTGACTGCCCCGGGAATTGGTCCACAAGCCCTCCCTTCTGACATAGCACGTGTGGCACACCCTTCGCCGACCAAGTCTGGCCCGGAAGCGGCAATGGGTACCTGGATGATAATTTTCCTCTAGGGAGCCCCTGTCCGGTATGTTAGTGGGAGTGAGGGTATACAGTCCAGCAACTCAGGTAGTGAGCAGCGTCCCAAGCCTGGTTCCCGTGGCTACCTTGGGCAAATGCACATGGGAACGACTCGTTTGTTCAATGGTTGATCCGAAAGGAACTCACATTCGGAAAGGAATAAACACACCTGTCATCTGTGCTGTTTTCGCTTTGGCAACAAAGGGTACCAATGTCCAACTGAGACTGATACTTAACCCTTCAAACAGGGTCATCACTTGTTGACATGTCGAATCTGGCTCTGTGTGCGCGTTAGGGGTGGGTCCCAGTGGGGCACTCGAACCAATCCCAAGTTGACGGTCGTGCAAACCAAGCGTCATCATCTGCGCAAAAACCGGGTCGTGCACCGTTGCGATATCGTCCTTCGGACGTTTTGTCTTCGGTCTGTTTCCAGGGCATGTTTTCTGAAGCTTGATTGGACCCCCCCCACCCCCCACCCCGGAGGTGGTTTTACGGCTCCCTGTTAGGATAGAAACGCCCAGCCACGGTTTGGTTTAGGCGACGAGTTCTAAGCCAAGCTGCAACAAAGGAAGCCTTCCGCAAAGCCCGTCTCGCGGATTTGGGGAACAGCACATGTGCCGCTCACCCAGCAAAAGGAAGCAGTGGGACAGGGGAAGCTCGGTGAAGCGAAACAAAAACAAACAGGTCCCCTACAAGAGAGGCTGGCTGCACACTAACAAAGAAACCAAGAGAGCCAGGGGGACATGTTTCAAGCACTCCTTTATGCACACACCCCACTCATATTCACTAAGGGATAGGGACGGAGGTTGAAAGATGAGCCTGGCCCTCTCATTTGGCCCCGTAAGGTCTGGGTTTGGCACTAAAGTATCTCACTTCCTGAGTGGACAGGTCGCCCAACATTCCAAACTTTTGGTTCGCCACTAAACCATTCTTGTCAACAAGTATAAGTAGGTCCAGGACCTCGGGAGTGAGGTAAGTCACCACGGATTGGGATGGCGTTGATGCGACTGCCCAAATGGATGCCCCAACGATTGGCGGGACGGCGGGCGGACGAAGGGACCGATCACCATAAAGCTCAAGCTCGTCGTGATGAAGTTGGTCTTGTTGAAACCCTTACTCGGTTGCTTTCTGCCCCCTGCTAAAAGTTTAACTTTGAGTGGTTTAATGGAGAACACACTAGTTGGCAAAAAGTGAAAGTCCTAACATCCAAGCAAACGCGCCAAAGCTTAGACATCAGCACCTTCTTGTGTAGGTCAATCAGGGCGAACGTTTGACTGGTGGCGCAGGCGTTGATCCTCACATCACATTCCACACCATCAAGGAAACTCTTTGTCCTCCGAGCCTTTGGTCTTCTTCATCTCGCCCAGCGCCTTCTTGAAATAAACTGTGTTGATGGCTTTGATGTTGAGAGGAAACTTGGGAAGTGCGCACGAATCGGAAAGGTGGGAAGCAGAAAGGAGAAACTATCTCTAGATTGGTTCGGGTGTCCCATTTACGCTGTACAAGAACCAGGGGGTCAAATCCCCAAACCACCAATCCAAACAGTCAAATAGGGGTTACGTGAGAAGCGTGCGGAAAACAAAATCAAAAACGTTGGATTTCGGAACTCGGTGCTTGTTTCCTCTGTAATTGTACCCTGGCTGCCCACCCCACACCCGACGTTCGTCCGGTCGTCCTCTGTTTCCCCTTTTTCCTGAGATGGGCAAACTCGCAGCGACGCATGGTGCGCTAAGCCCCGGATCTCAGGCGAGCCGGCGTGGCAAAAACAACCAGCCCGCTTGTCTTTGCTAAGAAAATAATGCCCTTGGTTTCCTATACTACACTGTGAAAGGTTTGCTCAATAAAATAGTCATTTCAGCCAATGGAAGTCATAGGGGCCTGTATGGCTCCAAGGATTGAAGGCAAGCACTGGCCAATGTGTTTGAATCTTGCATGCTACTTGGTGGTCCGCCATAATTGGAATGGGCTTGCCGAGGACTATAAACATCAAACCAAGACATGATCATAGGAGACTGCGACAGTTCCTGTCGGTGGTGGTGTTGGGGTCGGCGGAAACCATCTTAGGACCAAATAATTCCGGCGGTGATATGACAATGGGTTGGATGCGCTTTTGTGCATGCCCGCCTGGTCTGACTTCCTGAGTGGATTGGCCAAGCAAAGTGCGCACTTGTTGTTTGCCACTAACACGGTATTCCCACAAAGTGACTAAATTCGGCTTGTCTGGGGAGATTTAGTGTTCCTTTCTAGAAAATCCAAAACAAAATGGGGCCAGTACAGTGGATGCCCCAGTTTTTGGCAAATAGACCTACCACATGCAAGACACACGCACTCAACTCGCGGTAACTTCGAGGCCTCGTTTCCGTGTTCCGCCGTTGCTACACTTAGGGAAGCCGTAGAGGACCCAACCCTGGGAACAGCAAAGCATCAATTGCAGCCAGGTGGAGAGGACCAAAGGGTTAAACACATCCGGGAACAGCTAAGACAAGTAGAAGCCTTCAAGACCCATAGACGATCGAAGCTAGAAGAACGGCGGCGGCCCGCAAGCACAACATATAGCGAGCGCGGCGTGTGATGTCAAATGCGGTCTTTGATTTTGTGCGCGATATAGGGTCCATCAAGGGCACTACAGAGCAATGTTTGATCGTAACTATCAAGGGCACTGCAGAGCAAATGCTAATCTTAATCTCTCGCGTAGGTGTTATTGCGCAAGTGTGCTCGCGCAAAGTTGCTTGCGTCCGTGTCTTCGTGTGAGTTTGCTCGCACAAGTGTGTCGTGCAAGTGTGCTCGTGCAAGTTTTCTCGTGCATGTGTGCTCGTGCAAGTTGTCTCGAGCACGTGTTCTCGTGCGAGATCGCTAGCGACTTTTCCGGAAACAAACCCTTCGCAATGCTTTCGGGAACAAAGCAAATCAAGCCTCACAACAAAAAATGATGTAAATGTTACCATGGGATCCTTTGGTAGACATCATTTAGGTTGGGGTTTATGTCAACCAAGCACTGTTTAGGTGGTTCCGCATTGCAACTCATGGCCGGCTGGTACACGCAATCAAAAGGCAATCCCATGCAACAAAGTGTGAAGCAAAGGGCCAGACGTAAACCTTGCCTTTTCGTCCCTTCGCAGCTTGTGAGGCCACTCTCTCGCTCTCTCTCTCTGCCAAGTCTCCTGTGATTCCTCGCCTTAGCAAAGGCGAGCAGTTGAGGCGTTTCACGAAAAAAGAAGAAGATGAAACACATCAAATTGAGTACCACGTCGGGTTTGTGTGAAAAATCTACACATACACGTGTGTGTGTGCACATGTACACACATATGCACATATATGTATATGTTCACATATGTACACATCAGTCTAGTCTGTCTGTTTGTGTGCATGCATGCGTATATACATACATATATATATACACATATTCGCTTGATTGTTTCAGAGGCCGGGCAAGAGGTTTGAGTACGGGGTATGATTCGCGGGTATGATTCGGGGTATGATTCGGGGGCATGATTCGCGGAAGCAGCAGCAGCAGCAGTAGTAGTAGTAGCAGTAGTAGGAGTAGTAGTAGTAGTAGTAGAAATATTGTAGTAGTAACAATAGTAGTAGTAGTGGTAGTAGTAGTAGTAGGAGTAGTAGTAGAAGCAGCGACTGTAGTGGCGCGGAAGCTTTGAAAAGACTTGGCGCTGGCCTTGGCAAGGCAAGTTCATTGCGCGGGTATGATTCGGGTATGGTTCGCGGGTATGATTTGGCTAGGTACAAAACGGACTGATTACAAACTCAGAATGATGAATGTAGTAGTAGCTGTGGTAGTAGTAGTAGTAGTAGTAGTAGTAGTAGTAGTAGTAGTAGTATAGTGGTAGTAGTAGTAGTAGCAGTTGCAGAAGTAGTGGTAGCAGCTGTAGCATAAGCAGCAGCGGTTGTAGTGGTGCGGACGCTTTGAAAAAGACTTGGCACTAGCATTGGCAGGGGAAGCTCATTGTCCAGGTATGATTCGGGTATGATTCGCGGGTATGATTCGGCTAGGTGCAAAACGGCACTGATTGCAGACTCAGAATCATGTGTGTAGTAGTAGTGAGTAGCAGCAGCAGCAGCAGCAGCAGGAGGAGGAGGAGGAGGAGGAGGAGTAGTAGCAGTAGTACTAGTAAAGGTCGTAGTCGTAGTAGTAGTAATAGTAGTAGTAGTAGTAGTAGTAGTAATAGAGGTAGAAATTTCGTAGTAGTAGTAGTAGAAGTAGTAGATAGTAGTCAGGGTAGCAGAAGCAGAAGTAGAAGCAGTAGAGTGGTAGTAGCAGCGGTAGTAGCGGTGGTAGTGGTAGTAATACTCGTAGTCGCGGTAGTAGCAGTATTAGTAGTAGTAGTAATAGTAGTAGTAGTAGTAGTAGTAGTAGTAGTAGTAGTAGTAGTAGTGGTGGTGGTGGTAGTAGCAGTAGTAGTAGTAGTAGTAACATGTATATACATTATGGAACGACGTATATATATATATATAGAAACGCTTTTTCCCCACCCTGCAGAAACCTATCTTTTGAGAGAACTCACTTGTATTTGCAGTGGGTTCTGCCTTGTTGGGGGCTTTGGGGATTGAAGCCCACAAAGAAAGCGCAATTTCAAAAGCTCTGGGATTTGGGGAATCAAAATTGACAATCGATTGTCAATCCCCCTCCCCCCACACACATAACATGTCATTCGGGTTCCCGTACAAAACCAAATGAATACGATTGAATAAAACACATTCGGGGCCCCGGATTCAAGATAAGAAACTGAGATTTCATTACAACTATGCTCAGGGAATGTGGAACTGCAGTATTGCATCGAGGCCCGAATGAACCTTTATTCGGTTTCAGTCGGTTGCATTCCGGGTTTGGCCCGAATCCTAGTTGGGAGGTCCTTGGTTCTAGTTCTAGTTTGGTCCTAGTCCTAGTTGAGAAACCCTTGGTTCTAGTCCTAGTTTGGTCCTTGTCTAGTTGAAAGATCTTTGGTTCTAGTCCTAGTTTGGTCCTAGTCTGGGCCTAGTCCTAGTCCTAGTTTGGTCCTAATCCTAGCTGAGAGATCCTTCGTTCTAGCCCTAGTTTGGTCCTAGTCCTAGTTGAGAGATCCTTGGTTCTAGTTGAGAGGTCTACTCCTAGTTTGGTCCTACGCCTGGTTGACAGAGTTTTGTCTTAGCCTCAGTTGAAAGATTCTTTGTTCTACTCCTAGATGGGCAAAATGCTGAACTGGAGAGGAAACGGTAGGTCCCTGGGGGCGGGTGTCACAACTACAACACGTGATGTCCGCGTGTACGCATATGCATGTAAGTACACTGTTATGTATGTGTGTGCGCACATGAGCATGTAATGATAGACCTGCCTGAAGCCACGTTCGACCAGAACCAACACTGGTTGACAACCCGATCGGCTCTGGGAAAATGAGCAAGGCCACACTTTACGACCAAGGGGGGAAGCCCACTGTCGGGCATCTGCGGCAATAGTGCCTTTTGCCGAGGCCCGACAAACCCTTGCCACATGGTGGTTAAAGGTTCAACACGGTTTGCTTTGTAGCGAAAGGCAAAGGGCACATGGGGCAAAGGGCACCCTTGCTAAGCGAAACCTTGAGGGGCCCCTTGGAGACCCAACCAGGAACTCACGTGAGTGGATCGGCCAAGGAAAGTCCTAGCTTTGGCCTGCGAGACTCAAGTAGACACTGACCTGCGGAGTTGACCCGCCAGACCAAGTTTGAACTTCTTGGCCCTTGGCCAAAAATGACGAGAAGCGCCACCGCGGAAAAATTATAGATAGTTGGCCCTAGGTTAAAAGCATGACAAGAAGGCTGACAGCGTGAACATCATTCTTGCCAACTCGCCGAACATAAGTCAGGAAGTGAGTTTGACTCACTTTCTGGGTGGACTAAACAACTATTTTTTATTTACCACGAAAATGGCCAGTCCACCCGTAACGTCCGAACAAAGCGCACCACCGCGACTCTCCTGGGCCCTGGCTGATGACGGCCACAGAAGGCACGGAGGAGTCAGCTTCGGAGGCTGCTCTGATCATATCCTCGCAGAAAACCGATGAGGCTGTTTTTGGGGAGGGAAGAAGAGGTGATGTCGGGTAGGGATGAGTAAATACCAGGAGCCACAAAAACACATGAAAACGTCATGCCTAGTCATGCCTAAAAAACACGAGGCTTTTTTGGGAAAACATGATGTTTCGGAAAACACAATGCTTCGAGTTCAAGCAGTTTCTCATTGGTTCCTTCAACTTATCATCCGGTCCCAAAAACATCATCTCACCCTCAGAATCTCCCATTGCCCTCTCCCCTTTTGCGCTCACAGTGAAACTCGCTTCGCATTCGCAACTCGTCATTGGCAATTCCAATCTGAAAGAGGGAAGCCGGGGATGTAAATAGTCAAAAGTACCACCTTGATCCTTCCAAGATCCTTCCAAGATCCTTCCAAGATCCTTCCAAGATCCTTCCAAGATCCTTCCAAGAAGGCTGCCCGGGCTTCGAACAGCGCAAGCCCAGGCAAAGACCGATTTTTGTTGCCCGCGACTTCGTTGATTTCCATCCATCCAAAATCTCGAGTTAGCGCATCAGGGGTTGACCCGAAAAAATCCCGGTTTGCTACGGGTTACTGCGAGCTTTCTGTGATTTAGCTACGGGTCGCGATGTTTTCGATAGGGCTTCTACGGGTTCCCTACGGGTTCCCTACGGGTTTCTACGGGTTTCTACGGGTTGTCACAATCTCCAAAAGTGTCACCCGCGTCTGTTTTTGCACCCCAAAGAAGGCTTCGGGATTCCAGCGCTCCCTTCAAACTGGTTGCGGCATGACCTGGCGCCAGTCTTCAGGGATCTTCAGGTGCCTGTTGCGGCGAAGGTAATTAAAGACTGAAGCCAGCTGGGCACCCTGGCTGTCAGGCTCATCAATGTGGGCCTTAAAAAATGAAGCATATTTAGTATAGAGCCCTTCCCCTCATTTGGACGCTTAATGGGCAATAGCTCTCTCGACCCTTGCCTTTGCTCCTTTGCTGCAAATGTTTGTTTGGCCCCGGAAGCCAATGTTTAAGAGTTTGTTGCTTTTGATCAAGGAACACAATATGTCTTTCCTGAAAACACATTGCATCGGTGTTGGTCACGACATTTTTCACAGGTTCTTGGAGCCCTAGGTAGGGAGGAAATTCGGAAACGCGTTCCCCACATTACCGTGATAAGAACAAATACAGAAAAGTATCTTTTCCTGGGAAAAAATATGCGGGGGAGACCGTTTTGGGCGTGAAGTGTCAAGGGAAACCAAAACGAAACCTTTGCAAATACAAAAAAGGGTTCATGTGGATGTGACATCCGAACAAACAAACAGCAGTGTTTACAGGGATTTCCACCGGGATCCAATGACCCAACAAATAGTTTTGAAAACCCTCAACACCGACATTGCCCTTTTGTTGGGGGCGATACCAGTGTCTTTTCAAGGATACAGCGAAGCTACCAATTGTCTGGGCTCCGGATTCCAAATCCCATCAAACACAATTCACACAAACCTGAACCCACACCATTTCCCAATTGATGTCTGTTTTAGGGCGAACCTTTGTTGGCCAGTTTTACATAGCTTTACATGAAAACCGACAGGAACCTCCCATCATGTTGGGTTCATTGCGTTCGTCGAAGTTTGTTTCTGCGTTTCTTTGCAAACCAACAAAATCGGGTGTCCCAGTCGCCCGAGTTTTCCACCATTGTGGCTCACATGTCCTCTAACGGGGACCTCAAGCAAACTTGCCCAAACGAAACGATAGGTTGGACCCTTTGAGACCTGGACCAAGTATGGCTGTGGGTCAAAAAAAGGGACCCAAAAATGGGACCCAAAATGGAACTAAGGACTAAACTTCGCAGTTCCCAGGTGTTGTCATTTTGACCCATACCCATATGGACCAGGGGGAAACCCAAAGGTCCAAAGGTTGGCTTGGCCACAGCCTCTCAGTTTCCATGTCATTTTGACTCAATCATCCACCACCCCCCCAACCCGGGGGGGGGGGTTGGTTCGAACCCCATGAAAAGGGTCGCTCACAGTGAGCTCGGGCTTACCCGAGCCAAATCGCTGGAATCGCTCGCCATAAAATAGGCAGTCAAATGAAGTCAAATGATATATATATATATATAAAGGGCTAACTTATGGCGTGGGGTACCATAAAACCAAATTAAGTCATGACCATGGGAACATCATGATAGTAGTTCTTTACACCCTTGAAATCACCCAGCGCTTTCAGTTTCCAGTATAGCAACCAGGATGTGTTGCCTCTGGGCTTTACATGATTGGCCTTGGGGGAAAAAACACTGTGGTTTCTTGCAGTTGTGGGCCATCCCCTTGAAGAAAAACACTTAAAACAGGGCACCACAACAGGTCTAGGTACTGGTGCTGTCACCAAAAGCAACTGGGCTGCCCTCAGATCCCCCGCTAAAAGTTTCACTTTTAGTGGGCTAAATGGAAACTACCACTAATCACTAAAGGTCTAAAAAGCTAAGGGGATGGCTGGGAGGCAATAGGCCCTACCACGCCTCAGTGCCGCCAACGCGCCATCAGCCGCTTCGCGCGCGAAGCGCCAGCGGCGATTCGCGCTTTCGGCCCGTGGGCTCCAACCGCTTGGCTCGCCCGAAGCCAATGACCAAATTGAGAGCTGTGAAATGAATCCCTAAAACATCAAGGCCGAATCCGTTCTAAACCACTCGTAGACATATACGTGAAACAAGATGAGACACATATGATGGCAGTGCAACTGTGCCAGGCTGCTTCGTGCAACTGGTGAGCCTGTGGCAAGCTTACAGGGCCCATGTTTCCCGGTGCACATCCACGCATTGAGAGCAAGCCGATCTTCACCTTGTCTCTGGAGCCGGGAGGAAGCACAGCGACATGTGCGGCACGATGGGGTGAAGTAGGAAGCCCCCTGTATTTGGTGGGAAATCTAGGGAGGCCCCCAAGGTGATCCCTAACCGTCAACTGAACCAGCATCAGCAAGGACTCAGATTCTTCCATATCTTCAACACATTGCAACCAATAATTTGCACGTAATCTGGTCCAAGTCATCAAATGGATCCGTGGATGTCCAACCCATCGACACGTGGAAGCTGCAAGCCCCTTGGATGGATCTAAACTCCCCAAGTAAACAGATCTTGCATCTTAGCCCCGAGCTTGTTTTACTCCCGGATCGGTGAGTCCGCAAAAACAAAAGTTACCACCCTCCCCCCAAAACAAACAAACAATCAATCAAACAAACAAGCAACAAACAAAACAAAACAAACAACAACACAATCAATTAAACAATCAATTAAACAAATCAACAAGCAAACAAACAAACAAACAATCAATCAATCAATCAGTCAATCAGTCAATCAATGAATCAATGAATCAATGAATCAATGAATCAATGAATCAATGAATGAATGAATGAATGAATGAATGAATGAATGAATGAATGAATGAATGAATGAATGAATGAATGAATGAATGAATGAATGAATGAATGAATGAATCAATGAATCAATGAATCAATGAATCAATGAATCAATGAATCAATGAATCAATGAATCAATCAATGAACCAATGAACCAATTAACAAATCAACCAATCAACCAATCCATCCATCCATCCATCAAGTCAAATCAAATCAAATCAAATCAAATCAATTCAATCCATCAATCACACAATCAACATAACAAACAAACAAACAAACAAAAAACAAACAAACAAACAAACAAACCAACAAAAAAACAACCGACCCCCCGACCCAACCCGACCCAACCCAACCCAACCCAACCAAACAAACACACAAACACATACAGACAAACCAACCAACCAACCAACCAACCAACCAAGAAACCAACCAACCAAACAACCAACCAACAAACAAACAAACAAACAAAAACGCAACCAAAAAACAAAACAAGAAAGCAACGAGCTAAATAAACACATAAATCCACACAGAACGGAACACAGTAACAATAACAAAAAAAACAGAAAGGAACAAAACGAACAAAACAAATCAGGAAAGAAGGAGCGAAGCACAAGCAAAACAAAAAGGGATTCACTAACGAAATCAAGTAAAAAAGCAAAAACACAAAACAAAAACAGAACCCTCAAAACTGGAATATGGACAAGTTAAACGAATACATCAACACATATGTAGAGACACATAGGACATACACAAAAACACAAAGAAGTAAACACGAAACACAAAACACAACAAACCAATCAAACCATAAACACATGTTAAAAGACATGAATGAAATAAAGACATACATCAACAATAAACAGCAATAACAAAACGCAAGAACAAACACGCACAACATGATAAGACTACATACACACAAACAAAACCAAGCAATAAAACTACAGTCATGGTCCATGGTGCTTGACACTCGTCGAATCTGACTTGTGGCTTAAACGTCATCTACCCCATACCCCAAAAAGGATAGCTCTTTTCAGGCTTGCGTGCAAGTAGTTCATGTGGCCAAACAGTCCAAGGTGAAATATCCGGCCCAACAGCATTCAATATGTTTTTGGTTGGCTGTCTGGGTGATTTGTGAAGCTCAGGTGGCTGCCAGATCTGCAGAGGGACCAAACTTACCCAAGCTCTGACGGAGGCTCCACAAACGATGTGCTGCTTGTATATGTCCCACCCAAACCACGCACTATTCACGGGGAAGCCAATTCAAACTGGCAACATTTGGTCCTTCCAAAAGGGCAAACAAGCTGGGCGGAAGCGCTTCAGGAACAATCAACCGCACCTGTCCGTTTCATTTCACGATGCCGGCAGCTCGAACACCGGCCTGGCATGGCCCGGTAAACGACATGGACCTGCGTGCCCGGAGTGCGGCTTGGCGAGCAGGTCGACCCGGTTTGGGCAACTCAGCAATAAGGTTTTATCTATGATGGCTTACGCTACCTCCAGGTAAAGCAGGGTAAAAATCCCTCTATATTCTGGCTACATAGTGGTTGTTTATCACATTACACCCTTGGGGGTAGAAATTTGGGGCTAGCGGACACCATCATATACATTCGATTACCCCTAAATGTGATTGAACCCAGACGAATGTGCCCCTGTTTAGGATCCTGGGTCTTGTTGGCTGCAATGAAATGATAAACCTCTCGACCGATTTGCTTTGGACACTTCCCGCCTGGAAACAAGCTCCCCGAGATCCACTCGCCGAATTCGTCTCGCTATGACCGGGTGGCTCGCTCCGGTAATTTACAAGCTGAAGGTCTGGGAGCTGCCGCAAAGACTTTCGGAGTCAGTTCATTGGAAAGGTTGTCCTGAGAAGTTCGCACAAGCCACACCATTTATGTGTATCATTGCATGCAATCTATATATATATATATATGTATATATATATATATATATATTATATATGTACATATGTAGGAAATGTCTCCAGGTCCACAATTGGAGTATCGCAGTGGTCTGTGGTTGCTTTGTTTAACTTGCATCTTGCAGTTCTTTCTACGGGCACCCACAGCGGGTGTCCGATTGCTGCGAGCCACAAAAGCCGCGCGGCTTGCGCCTTGTGCTGCCAGAACCGGAGCCAGGAGTGGCAAGAAGATATGTCCCATACTGACTCAGAGCCATGGAAAGGAACTCGGTTGCTTTTTGCTCCCCTGCTAAAAGTTTAACTTTAGTGGTTTAATGGAAAACCCATTAGTTGGCAAAAAGTTAAAGTCCTAACATCCCTGCAAGATGCACCAAAGGGAAGCTATGGAAGGAGTGTGGTCTTTGATGGTCCTTCATGGCCCCTATTGGCCGCTATTGGTCACCAATGGTCGATAGGAGGCTGCAATCTTGGTTTCTGTTGCCCCCTCTGCAACCAGTTTAACTTGTCGCCCAATCGAAAATCCTCTGTTTCCGACAAAAGCCAAAGTCCGAGGATCCAACCAAATTCCCACACTGCATTGGCTCTTGCCATGACTCGGAATCAGTGCATGAAACCGAAGTGGGTAACAATCAGTTCGCGTGTGCAGCAAGGTACTTAGGTACAGTACGTTTCGCACGCATTCGAAGGGACTTCCAGAAATTGGATAGCACCTCCAAAGCCTCCTGGACAAGGAGGTTCAATCGGCAATACTAAGAGAATTTCAGGATGTGAAGCCACGTCTAAGCAACTAGCTGGGTCTTAATCTTTGCCCCCTGAGCACCAACTCGCTTCCTGAGTGTAGTGGCCACAAAAAGTACAAGCTGTTTGTTCGCCACTAAATGGTCTTCCAAAAAAAGTTGAAAGTCCAGAACACACATGTTGCGAACGAGTTGAAGGTGTAAAGCTCCAAGCTGGGTGCTAAATAGGGTGACTGGGAAAAACAACTTCTGCATCCTCTTTTGATTTGTTTCCTTTAGCCGAAACTAAGGCTAAAAGTTATGGTTGCCAATGGTTGCCATTGATCGCACCCAATCAGCAACAAAGCAGCTCGCGCTTGAATGTGTGGCTTTTAACAGATCCGCGCCGCTGTCGGCCCTTCGGGCTCTCTGGGGAAGAGTGTCCGCTCGCCCAAGAGTAGTCCCAGCTCGCCTCGCGACAGAGATGGGTTGGTGCTTCCTTTTGCGCCAGCATCATCCTGTCATCCTGTTTCAGACTCGGCTAGAGTCATAGTCAGCTAGCAGTTTCAACAAATGCCATGGCGCCAGAGCGCCAAACAAACGAGCGCCAAACAAACTAGCTTCAACAAATCCCTAAGGAAAACCCCTCAACATGGCCCGAGAAACAAGACACATGTCGCCTCTATGATGGGACACAAACATGCTGAACCCGATTTATAGCTCAATTTCCACTGCCAAAGCTCAGGTCTACGACAAAAAACCGAGAGACACGAAGCAACTAACTTCTATACGCCTTCCACCAGTGCCCCCTATATTGGCAAAATGATCTATGGGGAGATCAACCTCATTTCAGTGGGGAGCTTGGGGGTGAGCTTAAAAAGGGTCCCTGATTCGTTTTGCGATCATTGGTTCCTGTACAAACAAAGTAGTCATTTAGCCACCAAAGCAATCCAGGCTGATTGTATGCAAAAGGCTCCCAGAATAACTGCGTACCTCCGGCCCTGAACGAGCGGGGAGGCCGGGGGGGGGGGGGGGGGACTTTCCGGATAGAATAGAAGGAACTGAAAAATAAGCCGCAATAGTAAGGGATAATCCCAAGCATGGGTGCGACCGCTTTTTGAGTTCGTTTCGTTGGTTTGGACACCATTGCAATACCAGGTCTTGATTCTGACTCAAATGGCCCCGAACGTCCCAAAAGAAGCTATTGAGCCTGTTTGTTCTAATCCATCTGACTCTGTGGTAATGTTGGGGATGTCCTTTGGCTTTCATATTTTGCTCTGTCAGGATTTGCTTCGGTGTTCCTTTCATCAACATTCAGGGTCGGGACCCCCCTTTTGCCAACCAGGTTTCGATGACGTTTGGAAAAATGCTGCCTGCACCTCCCTGCTGTTGGGCTTTAGCGCGAGAGGCCGTGTCTGTGTCTGTCTCTTGATCACGTTTTGGGTAGATTTGCCCCCGGATTCAGCTTCTGAACAAGTGGGTATGAGTCAAAACAAGCCATGCTTGGGCTGTTCCACTTTGGGACTGACCCAACAAATGGCGGCCTCAAACAAGACACTCCAGGCCTGTTTCCGCCTTCATGGGAACCCAGGATTGACTTATATTCATTGTTTGATTAATAAGGGGCTGTATGTTTCAGAAGGTCCCGGTCACTTGGCGCAATACGCCCTATGAATGCGGCTGATTTTTGTTTGTCAACCCGGGCCTCAGCTTCATGGCGTCTCTTCAGAACCCCATTCTGGTTGAAAGGGGATGAAGAAAAGCACCTGACCAACCTGGCGAAGCCAAAAAAGCATTGGCCGAAACCAAGCCAAAAGGCACTCACTTCACACCTGGGTTCAGCTCAACATTTCAAAACCTGTCTGCACCAGCCCTAAACCAAGACACCAACCCGCCTGACAAAACTCCAAAACCAGAACCCTGACGCGCGGCAACCTCAAGCAACTGTGCCTGACAAAGTGTCCACCAATCCCACCCACCCACCTACCCACCTACCTAGCTGCCACAAAATGACTAGTGTTGCCTGCTACCCTCCCACTAACATGGAACTTGACTGGCCGTCATTTTGGGAGAAAAATGGTCTAGGGACCTTCAATGAGCTTCCATACTAAGAGATAGGGTTGTGGTTGGAGGTTTTCGGAAAACAGAGGCCCACACAATCCTAGGCTACACACACACACACAAAACATGGTTCAGATCCTTTTTGATATTTCGTCAACCTTACAATAAGTGTTCTACAGGATCAGCTATTTCTTGTTTCTTCGGTTTTTTGCTTTTGATATTTTCTGTTGAACAAAGTGTCCATGTGAGCGTAGGATCAGCTGCTTTTTTTCAGTTAATCGTCTTTGTGTTTTTTTTGTTTCAGCAAAGTGTCCATGTAAGCGCAGAAGGGGCATGTAAGATGTCACCCAACCATAGACCGTCAACGTGCACATCGGCTGCCCCCAAAAACCTGGGCTGACTTGGCGCTTCGCCTGGCTTCGGCTGGAAGATGATCATCCTTACGGCCAAATCGGAGGGTCGCTTTTTGGAGCCCCCGGAAAAACACGGGAAGATATGCCCAGTGAAATCGACTCCCTAAACCAAATTCTGCGATGGGATCTCCGGGTATGGAGCCATGATTACTGATGCATATATACATATGTGTCAGGGAACAGTGGGCAGTTTTTGTACCCCTTGTATGAGGCGTATATGCTGCTCGTGGCTGCCAAATGTTCTCCTCTGGGTGTCAACTAGGGGGTATAGAAAAATCAATAAACACCAATCCCCAGTTGCTGTCCAAAAAAACAAAACATCATAAGGCTTTTAGCACGCAGCCTTACATGCCAAGTGGATTCCATTCCAGAAGTCGTCTTCTAATTCAGGGCACCAAGACTCGCTCCGGTCCAGGTGGGTTCTATGAGCCACAGCCGGAAGGTCATCCCGTTTACTGGAGTAGATGAGAGGGAAACTGACCCTTGCTCATATATATATATATATATTGGAATAGAAACAGGGTATAGAACCGCGCTTTAGCAGGGTAAAGTCGGGCTGCATGGCGATGGACTTTCTAGAGCGCAACCTTCTCTATGGACATCTTGGCTAGACTGCCATCCCCATTTTGCCGGAATGGCTCCTGTTATTTGGTTCTTCCAACATCACTCCACGCCAAGGAAACTCCATTCTACGCGTGCGGCGTTGGTACAAACAACAATGATCACAACGATTATTCAAAGCAAACAGTGCAACAGGTAAACATAAAACATCTGACACAATCTGCAAAATTACTCTGCTCCCCTGCAATTCAGCATAAAACCCAAAAGGGGGTCCCTTTGGTGGAGACTCTTCCAGGCATGTTTTCGTGGGGTTCCAGGTCAATCTGCAGGAGGACTGATGAATATTGCCTGCCCAAAAGGTTCGTAACTTGTTGCAGGTCAGGGTCAGTGGGTTATTAAGAAAATGGAAGTAACAGTTTCCCCAAACAGTTAAAGCTTCAAGATCCAGGCCAACAGCATTCAAAGAAATTCAACAACCTAAGGAACCATAAGGCCCCAGCTACGTTTGCCTCCACCCCCCCCGCATCCCGACCCCCGCGGAATTTGGTTCGATCGAATTAGCGCAGAAACAAATCGGAACAAAACGTTCTTCCTCTGTTCGTTGGTCGTTGATACCTCTCAAATCATAAGTGTAACAAAGGGAATCGCGCCTGAGTCATAATTATCTCCCCTTCCTCCTGTGTTTTTCCCAAAGACACGCGCTTCTGGCCTAGAGAAAGGAAAGCCCCCGACAAGTCTGGACAGGAATTAGTTTGGCCCACCTTGAAGACAAGGGCAATGACGCAAGATGGTACCACACGTTGACCCAGACATATCACTTGTTGAGGGTATACCTTTTCTTCCTGAGTGGATTGGCAAAACAATGCAAACTTGTGGTTTGCCACTAACCAAAAGTATGAAGAGTCCAGGAACTCTGCCTGTGAGTTGTGAGGGGAAGCCAACAAACTTCAACACACCGTTCTGGGGGGGGGGGTCCTCTTTCGGCTATCCGTCGAGAGCGGTTTTCACCATTCAGCTCAGACCCTTTGGACCGGCCAACAAAAGTCGCAGCTCTAGGGTACACCAAGATGTTCAGACTCACATGCGTGTCCTTCTTTGAGTTGGTACCTTTCTTTGTTAAAGGACAGCCAAAAGGAAACTACCCGTTTTTCGTGGCTCCCAAAAAAAAAAGACACGCCCAGAAGGAAACCACCATGTTTGGCGGTTCCCTAAAAAGACACACCCAATATTCGCTCCACCCTGAACATGACATGTTCTGGAGAAGACCCCGGCGTAACATCTCCGCTCCATTTTGCTTAGGCGCGCCCCGTTCACCTGCGAGCCATGGCAAGGGCTTACCGTCAGAGGGCTTTGCATGCTTGAGTAGGGAATGAGAAATGGAATGACCCTATAAACCATCCCTTGTGGCTTCCTTTAAGGAAATCCCTGGGAATTAATTCCCACATTCCCTACTGAGCACCAGAAGAAACAGTCAAAGTATAAAAGATCCAACTCAATCACATGTAAGGATGGTATCTGCCTTGCCTGCATGGGTAAGTGGATCTGCGATGGCCAAGACTTTCGGAAACGTGTGTGTTGGGGCGCTGAAATCTAAGACTGGAATTCGGGTCGACTGGCAAAGGGGTGTGGCACTTAGGGAGTGACAAGCAAAAACAATCCCCGATGGTTTCTTTTAATGGGATCCCTAGGTTCATTCTCAACACCCTGCGTCATTCACTGAGCACCAGCACGCTTCGTTGTCATGAAATGGCCCCTAATAGTGAGTGACTAGGTTGTAATGGCACCAATTGCTGCTGCTATGACTCTGAAGCAGCATGTAGACCATCCTACTGTGAATGGACAAAGTCCACTTCGCACCAAATGGGATTGGTGGCGTGTCCCCGTGTTCATTCGGGTCCCATCCCTAGTGGTGCAGAAGTTCGTCCAACAACCATAGTAGTACTAGGGTCCAAATGATTGCGCAATGATTCTCTTATGAGCATGGCATTTTAAGGCCCCGCACACATTTAGTGGGGAACCAGAGTTTACCACATGGTTTCTTCTGGGCATTTGCTATGGTAACTAGAAGCACTTGCAAGGGACATGGAGATGGGCGTTTTGCTTTGTGAAGTCATGACTTATGTCCCGCGGAAACAACCAAACAACTTTCCCAAGGCTCCCGACGAAAGCTTGAGAAACCCAAAATTCAAAGGCCTCGAATTGCCAACCGGGCGGGCGCAAACTGGCCGTTAAAGTGGCCTGCCCGACCTTTTGGAAGAAATATCATTGGCACGAAGGCGATTTTCACCCTTAGAAGCCCCTTTACGATTACATGTGCCTTACCGTGTGTGTGTGTGTGTATGTTGGGTGTTTACTTATTCTCTCTCTCTCTCTCAAAAAATAAGCTCAGGTGATATCCCCAACAGCATGCGGTGCTCTTTTTAGTGCTCGCACCACCCCGCAGCCCTTGCAGTCGTGGAAACCTGGTGGAACCCTGGTGGAACCCTGGTGGGAACCTCACCTCAGGGCCGCCCCGGACCACCCCGGAGCCTATCTGGGCTGAGACCCCAAAGCTTTCAGCTGTTGGGGAAAAAACACATATTATTGGTCCGACCCCAAGTCGTGTGAAGTCCAGAAACTCGCGGAAGAGGGAAAGACATGGTTAAACCATGACGAGCCTTGGCTTCACTGCGCCCCCAGAATCGGAAGTGACTTTCCAGCTCAAGGGACATAAATGGAACTGGAAAAAGCGGGTTGCGTGTGGAATATGATCCCCCAAAATCCAAAGCTCAAAAACCCTGCAGGTCCAAGGTAGGGCAAATGGGTCTTCTCAAAATGGTGGACCTAGCCAAAGGGAAACAGGGTTTGGGAGCAGGGTTTGGCAAGGCCACAGGAACAAATCACCCCCCTTTCTCCACAAATGATTTCAAAGGGACACCTTCTCCAAAGAGAAACCCCAGGCATCACAGGGTGGGACATAGACCATAGACCGCGTCCTGTGGTTTTCTGGTGCCTGCACATCCCCGGCCAAGACTGGCAAATGCAGAAGCTGCTTGCAGTTCTGCAAGTGCAACTCCTGCCGTCCGCGGCATGGCGATTGCCCGGTAAAACTTTCTGCTAGGACCTGGCCAGGTCCTCAGGTAGGGAGGTCATGACTGATGTATGGTGCTCCCCTGTGAAACAGTTGTCGGACAAGACTACATGAGCAGGGTAGGCGAAGGTCATGTGAATTAACAGTTGACGGCTAAAGATCCCGCCAAGTAGCCAAGAGATGCTGGCATACTGGCGACAGACCGAGAGAAAACCAAGGGGCATGATTCGCAGTTTGTCACAGGTAACTTCCTGGACTTGTCATTACCCTCAATCCCAAATTTGTGCATCTAAAAACGAATGGAGACTCCAGGTACAAAAACATGTAAATATGCAAATCCTTTCATTGACACAATATATATATATAACTACACTACATGTGTATTGCTTTTTTAATAAGAGCAATCTCCGAATGTCTGCACCGTGATATGGTCCTATGACGTGTCCTATGAAGTCGAGGATTTCGGCTCAGTCTTTTGGTTTTCATGCGGAAAACTTAGGGCTCCGTCCCTGGTTGTTGTGGGACATGTGGGAAACTTGATGCTCGTCTGATATCCCTCCCAAATAAACTATGGACTAGTGGACGTGAAAAGAAAGGGTCCTGTTTCGGGAAAAGCCCAATGGCTCCGCTATCTATTGGAAAACACATCGATGACACCAGGCACTCCGCACGCCCCCAAGGCAACACTGGACAATTTTGAGAGGTTCACAACCTTCCCTAGGTCCTCCAGTAGAGAGGTTAGAATAAGGGTACCCGAGTTTTTTTCTGTAGTCAAGCCAAATTTTGTAGGGGAACCCTCCCAACCAAAAAAGGGGTGAGAGGCCGGGTACCAATCGCTGGGGGACCTGGTGCCCAGCTCAGGGGCCGCATATCGACCCAGAGCACATGTGGGGAAGAGAGCCGAGTCCGTCGGGCACAAGAACCATCGAGTGGCTTGAAAGGACCAAGACGCACCATTCTTGGCTGACCACTCATGGGCCTTTGTTTTTGGAACTGAGACCTGAGATTTCGAGGGTAGCCAGAAAGCAAACGGCTCAGCCTGGGGCTCACAAGTCAGGGCTCCATTTTTTGCCTTGGTGGAGTTGTAGAAGTACGGAGGTGACCACAAAAGCCTGGTTGATTCCAGCGTAAGCTACTCATGCATGATGGACTAGAAACAAAGTCAAAAGGTTGGCCTCCAGGGAGTGTTCACGCCGATGAGGGGGAGTCTGGGCTGGTCTTCGACGCCACGTAAAAAGTTAAACAGTTGGAACAACTGAGAACTACTGTCCAGTAGTGACAGATGTCCTTTTAGACCAACAAGGGGAGAAACATATTCCTTGCACCTTTGGAAGTTTAGGAAGCCGCCGTTTTCAGAAAACCCGGACACGTTTCCCGGCCCTGCAATCCTTGCAGTTCGAGGCCCAGTTGGTGGCAACGCCGACACCTTGCAAAATTTAATGGCAGGTCGTTCGAGCCATGCGTTGTGTGTCTTGTGATCCCTCGCGCTATTGGTTGAACACCCCCGCCTACAAGTCTAGTGTTTTTAAAGGAATACCCTCAAAATGGTTGGCAAACACAAACCCCCCTGTCAACGATGTTCACCAAAGGAGCCCCTATGAACACTTGCACCCATAAATGACAACCCCATTTCTTTAAGCAGCCCCTGTACCATTGGAGTCTGCTCGTTTTAGCCCAGGAAACGGCTAGATCGCTCGCGAGGTGCGCTTGTGCACTTGAGGGATTATCTTCGTTGTTTGTTTGTCTCTCTGTCTGTTTGGTTTGTTTTGTTTGATTGTTTGTCCGGCACAGACGGACAAAAGACAAACAAACAAACAAACAAACAAACAAACAAACAAACAAACAAACAAACCAACCAAAACGCACGCACGCACAGACACATATAAAACAAACAAACAAACACACAAACAAACAAACCGAACAACCAACCAACCAACCAACCAACCCAGCAAACAAGAAAACACTAGCAAACAAACTAACTAACAAGCAAAACAACACAAAACAAACAAACAAACAAACAAACAAACAAACAAACAAACAAACAAACAAACAAACAAACAAACACACAAACAAACAAACAAACAAGCAAGCAAGCAAGCAAGCAAGCAAGCAAGCAAGCAAGCAAGCAAGCAAGCAAGCAAGCAAGCAAGCAAGCAAGCAAGCAAGCAAGCAAGCAAGCAAGCAAGCAAGCAAGCAAGCAAGCAAGCACACACAGACAAACAAACAAACAAACAAACAAACAAACAAACGAACGAACGAACAAACAAACGAACAAACACACAAACAAACAAACAAACAAACAAACAAACAAACAAACAAACAAACAAACAAGCAAGCAAGCAAACAAACAAACAAACAAACAAACAACCACCACCACAAACACCACAAACACCACACGCGCACGCGCACACACACACACAAACACACATGAACACACATCACAAGCACAAACACGATCACAAACAAACAACAGAACACAGCACACCACATCACAACACAACAGGTTCGGCATCACAACCAGTGTCTCGGTGTCCCTGTCAATCTGAGAACAACATGATGTCTTGTCTTGATTGTAGAGTGGGTACCTAACTCAAAACCTATAACCCCCGAAACCACACCCAAGGTAACAATTTGCTAGCCCAAATCGCAGCCCTCGGGTTGTGTTGGCTCCAACCTGGAACTTGCTTCAGGACAGTGGCCTTGGAACAAAACTGGGAACACAGCCAGAAATGCCTGGTTTATCCTTTGGCCTCCCTTTTAAACCCCAACAAAGCTACCCTCAAATCAGTTCTATGGCCTATACAAGACCATAAATTGGTTCAATTTGTAACCCCCCCCCCAGCCCCTCATATTATATATTATGTTATCCCAACAACGGCCAAATGAGCGAAGCAAGTACCCCCTAGTACCCCCAGAGCAATTCAAAACCCACGCGCCGTGGCCCAAAACTGGGTCAGAGCGAGCGGCGGCCCCGCAGGCTGCGCAGCAAGCCAGGCACGTCTGGGCCTACGGTGAAACTGAAATTTGGCGTCTGAAACCAGGCTGGGTGTTAAATAGTAGAAATACAGAGGAGATACCCTGTTGGTTAGATTCCTTGTGGGAAAGCTAAAGAATATGGGCTAGTTTAGCACCCAGAGAGAGTTCGGGTTGTTTCACAATCCTGTGGCTATTCCATCTGCAGGCCCGAAAAGGGGGCCTCCTCTTCGATTTCCCCAACTCAGTCGCAAGGGGAAGAACATGTGGATGTGAAAGGAGGTTGTGCGCAGTTGTCGCTTCTTGGAAGTTAAGCAAACAGTAGACTAGCCGATTTTATGGTCACTCACATGAAGCCATGGTGTTGGGCGGGTTTTGGCAAACGGTTGCCTATTTTCAGTGACGCCAATCCAGAAATTGATTCCTCTGTGGACATTTGTCACTTTTCACGGCCTTCATGTCAAATTCGGACGGAGCAACAAGCGTTCGAGCAGGTTCCCTGGAAATCCCATGGTGGTTTCATTTATCCCCAAGTGGCCTTCCATGACCTCTGCCACATTTCAATTTGTGGGGTGCCCCAAACAAAGGCTCTTCCAAGTCGACCCCGGAGTGAGAAATCCAACAATTACGAGACAAAAGGGGACGACTGCTCCCACATGGGGGTTTTGCACCGTCTTTCACCCAACTGTACCCTTGCCCTTTTGGTTTCTTAAGAAGACACCTGCCTGCTGTCTTTTTACACCACGGGTAAAACGTTTTAGAGGCTCCGTTGAGGTGAAATCCCAAGGCCATCAGAACATGTCAGATTCGGTGTTTAATATTTTGTCAAGCCTGCATTTAAACATAGTGTTGGAAACCCAAAAGCCAAAAACTGATCTGGGCAAATTGTATTACATCACCAAGGATCGCCCTGAAAGAAACCTTCATCATCTGGATCGCGTGCTAAAATTTTCACTTTTTGGTGGGTTCAATGGAAACCCCCCACGAAATCAACTAAACAGCTAAAAAGCCAAGGAACCGGATGGCTGGGAGCCACCAAGTCATGCGCAACAACGCACCCCCCCCCAGTGACACTGTGCCCACTCGTTTGCCGTCCCAGCGGCGCTGTCCCCGGAAGTAGGGCGGATTCAGCAAGGCGTGCCTCTCGAAAACGGAAAGCCGCCCTTGGTTTCAAAATTGGGGGCCGCCCTTTCACCCGAGAAAAAAAAGAAGTCTGGGAAACTGTGGTGCACTTGTTTGTGATTCTGAGGATTGATGCCTTGCGCAAGCTGACGATGCCTTTGCTAAAGAGTGCTTGTAATTGCGATGTCTGAATCACTCAACGGGGTCCTCTACTTTCGAGTTTTGTAGCATGCCGCTACTTGCTAATGCTCATTCAAGCCCGAAAAGCTGCAACTACCTTAGCAAATGTCTTCATTCCTGCTTGGCAATCGAGTTGAATAGAACTCTAATAGATTCCAGTATGGAAAGGACAAGCTTGTTGTTTCTGCTAATTTGCCTGCCCCTTAAAAAGAGTGAACAACCAATAGAAATGCAAGGACAATGCAACTTCGGTTCCAATGGTTTACAAGCTGTAAAAATTGTCACGCTTTAAGTTTATGTCTTTTTAATTTGCGTTAAATGTAAATGTTATTGTGAATTAGAATTGACATAGGGCGTCCTTTCCAAATATGAGTTTAATTGGGATTTAAACAGAATCTAATAAGCAGAAACAAGCTTGTTTTCTTCTAATGTTCAAGCCCCTCAACAAGCAAAACATGGAACATGCAAATTATGTTCCAATCGGTTGCAAGTAATAGACTGCAAGGCTTTAAGTTTGAATGGGATTTCATTAGAACTCACTTCCAATGTTAACTTTGAATGAGTGCTTTAAATAGTACTTCCCCTCCTTAGGAGTCCAATTCGACTTCACTTAGAACTTGTATGTTTGATCAGATGTTAAATCGAAATTCATACTTGCACATATGAGTTCAATTAGAGCTTAATTCATATATTGAATTATAAGCAGAAAATCCGTCCAAGCCTAAATAGGAATTCCTTTCCATTGTTGACTAGATTTCTATTAAACATATATAATGTAATTAACATCTAGTAAGGAAAGACAAGCTGGTTCTTTCTTCTAGTTGGCTCAAATAGACTTCTTACACTTAAACGGATGTTAAAAAGGAATTAAATAGAGTTATTATTGTGAAAATGTATTGAAATATGAATTCCTTTCCAAGTAGGACTTTGAGTAGAATTCAAATGAACAAAAAATAGAATGTAATGAGGACACGCACACTGGTAATTTCTTCCAAATTGCCTAGACGACAACAAACAAACTCGAGAATAGAAGTAGACCCAGCATAGAATCATAGACACAGACACCCCCAAAAAGAGGAAACCAACAAACACAACAGTGGATAAGCAAGCACAAAACAAAAGCAAGCTCGAGAAAACCATGTCCTTGGTAAAACCAACAAAAACACCTTGTTTCCAGAACTCAATCAAACGGGATCATGTTCTATGTCAATTAATGGGAAGTACCATATACAAACATGTACAAATGAAGAGTTTTCTAGGGGTTGATTCCTTTTCCATTCTTTTCAACCATCCTTCTTTTCAAAAACCGGATCTGTTTCCAACCTGGGTTTTTGCTGGTTTCCTGAACAGATTCGGATCCCTGGAAAGAATGGGGAAGGTACCCCTAGAGCTATGTCCCTGTGGTCGATTTCCACGAATTTGATGTCCACGAATTTGATGCAACCTCTAACGGGAATTTTTGATATGACAGCTAAAAAAAGTGTCATGAACAACATATCCATACCCTTTTGGGACAAGTTCGAAAAAAAGGTGTTCGGCACCCAGCACCGAAAGCGGTGAGCTAAGTCCGGATTGTCCACGACCAGTCTCAAATACCCAGCGTGTAAGATATGTTCGGTCCTCTGTTCGAGGTTGCCGGGTCCACAACCACTGCGCATCGTCGACGGAAAAACCTTTCGCGCCTGATGTGTGCAGGATTTACGAACTCCTCCTCAGGCTGAGCAACTGGCTGGGCTACTTCGTTTGGATTGGCGGACTGGAGGTGATGTCAGTTTCCAATGTACAATCCGCTTGGGGCTTGGAGTAAAGGCGTGGTTTCTCATTTACCTAAGAACCGGGAGTTCAAGCACGTCCAAACCCCCACCCTTAAAGACCCGCCCCCCCGCCCTATTTCCGCCTTAGCCCAGCAACCCTGCTAGAAAAAGGGCCCGCCTTTCTGGTTCACCATTGTAAGTGGGACCCACCAAATGTTTTGCTTTGCTCATTAAGCCTTTTTCGGGTTCCTTAACTCAACCGGTGGAAGGTCACAGCCCCCCTCAAGTCGATGGGTGTAGTTCCATGATGCCAGTGGCCCAGTCAAAACCAGGTTTTGCGAATTCCAATGAGACGGTCCAGACAGCTGAGTTCAGGAAATGAAACGCTCCCCCCCCAAGGCTCCCCCCAAAAAACAGTTAAGGGTGGTTTAAGGATAGCCCTGGTGGCAAGGACAATTGAGCTTAATTGGGCTTAATTAGGCTTAATTAGGCCTAATTAGGCTTAATTCGGCTTAGTTGGCTAAAACCGCATTCTGCTAACTAAGATTAATTAAGCCTAGTTAAGCCTAGTTTAAGCTCAACCGAGCCTTGCCAAACCCGCCCAACACCAGCCCTGTCAGTTGATCGGTGTCTGCGTTTCTCCCGGCTCACGTTTGTGAAATCAGTCCAGACGCTGAAAAGTGATTCTGTGACATACTGAGGATGGTCAGCGTAAGTGTGTCAGAATGGAAACCCCCCCCCTCCCAACAACTTTCAGACGGTTTAAGTCGTGTTTGGCTTAAAACGCCCTTAACATTTTGGGGGGGGGTACCACGAAATGTGTAAATAGCGTCATTTTGTGGTACCCCCCCAAACATTATAATTTGCCTCCCCCCTTGCCCTTCCCCCTGCCCTCCCCTTCACTTCCAGCCCCCCTCCCCCCCCCCGCCCGCGAAACTCACCGGGCTTCACAATACATTACTCCCGCCAAACAGGATTCTGGCAGGCCAAGTCAGTCACAAATAGATCCCGTCGAGGCGAAACGTCGTCATCTCCAAATATCCATGAAAAAGCTCAAGTTCCCTTAACTTTTTGGCGGGGGGAGCCTTGGGGGGGTAGCGTTTCATTTCCTGATGAGTGATTGGTTCCCCTTGATCCCTCTGAAGGGAGCTGAATTGTGGTGGTTAAAACAAATCTTGCCGAGAGGGACGTTTTCCGATTGATTTCGAAGTGAACCCATCCAAACAAACAAGAAAAGGGAAAAGGGCCACTGGAGGTCTGAACCCTGCCGGTTTATCCACAACACTACTCTCTAACGGTTAATGGAAAGCGCCCCCAAAACTCATTTTCAGAAGCCCTCAAAATGGTTGTAACAAGCTTTGCAGCCAGCCCTGGGATGTCCATTTCCATCAAGGCACCGGCCAAAAGCCGACAGCGCCCTTGTAGTTCCCGGCGTTGGTCCGATTCAGCCCGCAAAGGCGATCCCGGAAATTCACCTCACTGCTCCCCTTGCAGGGGCTCTGAGCCAGCATGCGCCACTTAGCAACTCCTCCAGTCCAGGCAGAAAGAAAATTGGTCTTCCAACAAGCTTGCTTTCTCCAGAAACTCGGGGAGCGAGGCGTAGATTGATACAACCCAACTCACAGACCCATGATGTTCCCAGTCCCAAGCCTGGCGAAGTTTTTTACCACCGGTCCATTTGAAGCAATGGAATGAGAGAATTTTGGAGGTAAACCACAAACTGGATGTTTTGCGGGAGGGTACCCCTCTATTGCTGGCTGTTTTAAGGAAAACCACTGGAGGTCTTTTCTTTGTGTTTTGCACGGGGCACAGCCATGATGCCGTAGTCAAAGCGCCCCTGCGTCAGAAACCAGCTGGTGAGCACCTGAAAACGTCAAGCTTCGCTTCGAAAGCCAAGCTGCTGATTCGAATGGTCCAGCTGGGTGATAAATAGGGTGTCTCGAAATCAACAATCCTCCCCCCAATTTTGGGTGTCCTTTTGAACAAAACGAAAACAATTGTACATGGGGTGTGTCACAAATCAACAATCCTCCCTCATTTGGGGTGTCCTTTTGAAAAAAAAGAGGTGTCGGGTGTCCCCTTGCAAAAAACAACAAAACGAAATGCGACTACGTATGTGCAATCCTCCCCCCATGTTGGGTGTCCTTTTGAACAAAACGAAAACAAACATGACTGTTGACAAACATATTTGCAGAGGTCGCCTATTGTCCGGATGTCATGGGCGAAGGGCGGAGCCAGGAATAAGCCCCTAACCTTTGGCCAGGCGTAGACCCCCTGCAAAAGGTTGCTGTTGCTTTGGGAAGTGCAGGAATGCCACAAAGGCACAAAGCTAAAAAGGCAAGCCAAGTCCGGCATTGTTGGTTGTCTTTAGAAAGCTTGTGAGTCCCAGAGATGAACTGGCACCAGAAAGTGCCCCGTTCGTCGGGGCAATGGTTGGAGGTTTGAAATCTGTTTATATATGTTCAAATGTTTGAAACGCCTCGAACATATATACCTACATATTACTTGATTGTTTGCGGAAACAATCCTAAAACATGCTTGGCATTCTCGGTATCATAACAAAGCACAACTAAAGAAAACAAGGGTTGGTGCAAAAACAACATTTGCCGATTCCAAACATGTGTGAAACAACTCCCAAACTTGTCCAAACAGGTGTCAACCATGTGCAAGCATGTTCGAATCTGTCCCAAACACATCCAATCATGTTGTCTAACATCTCTGCATTTCTATACAATATGCAAACATTTGTCAAACACATGCCCCTCGTTTAAACAAAAAACATGTTTGTCACCGGCGCATTTTAGCGTTCCGGCACCGGTGGTTTGCGAAGGGCCGGCTCCCTGCCGGCTCCCCGCGGCCGTTTGGGACCAAGAGAAGCACCGGGCACTGCAGACTGCAGGTCTACCTGGGACCTTTCTGCCAAGGGCTCCGATCTTCCAGTTTGTCTCTTAAGAACCATCTACTGGAAGACAGCAGGGGAACACATTAAGAGCCCATCAAGGAAGATGGCCATTTTTTCTTCGAAGACAGCAGGGGAAAACAACTCCCTCGGGAACTATCCAGTTGCTTGCACCTACGCCTTTGGTGTGCGACCCCAGTTTCGACCTCTCAAAGAGTTGCGGCAGCATTGAAACCCGGTTAAGCACAGCAATGATCTGAGCCTTGGAATCGGATAGCTCACCATAACACGAGCCAAATCCACCGATCCACCTGCTGCTGAAGTTTCATGGGGAACACCTATTTCCAGTGACATATTCCCTTGAAAACCAACAGGTCAACACAACAAGCATAATTAAGCAAATGGAAGATAATCACAACACATCAAGAACCATAACAGCAAACACTGGTAGTACAAGCAAAATGACACATTCTGGCAATAATACATGTATGTCTAGTAATCGTTGTTTTTTTCTTCAAATAGTAACACCAACACTGAAGCAAACACTAATCATGAAAAAAAAACACTGTGTGTATATATATAGACATAAATATATACTTCAACAACTCGTCACCTCAACCGCAACTCGCCTCCCCCCCTCAGCATCTTGGTCTTTGGCGCGTCGTTGCTCGACACGAAGTCCACGCCGAACTTCGAAGCCGCGGCGGCGCTGTCGCGTTTCCGTTGCGCCAGCCACTCGCCGTCCACGCGCCAGGCGCGCCAGCGGTGCCTGAATCCGGGGATTTCCGGCTTCAGGCGCTCGGGCTCCCATGGAACTGCCAAAGGGAACAGAAAAGAGAAATCGAGGGACACCAAAGTGGACTTGGAGAAAAACCAGGGGTCCTTGTTTGAGACAGCGCTTTGAAGCATCCTTTGATTCCTTACCCATGGATTGCTTCACAGAATTTCAAGGCATCCTTGTTTGTCTGAAACTCGATCGGTTTGTTTGCATGCAACTTGGTATCCCCAAGCCCTCCCTCGCTCCGGACCACTGCGGAGCCTATTCCGGCAGAGACCCAATACCTTTCAGCTGTTGGGGAACTAGGGACAAGAGATCGGAATCAAAGAAGCGAGTTTGGGGTATATGCCCACTTCCTAGTAGGATTGGCCCATGCAAGTCCCAACTTGTTGCCACCAAAATGCTCTTCCCAAAATACTCAGGGAGTGAGCGACCTCCAGGGGATTCACACGAGGGTGTTTTAAGGGATAAGAGTTAACAAGGCGCACACTTTTTGATAATAGGTTTTCAAGGATACACTTTTCCAGCAAAAGGGTGGAACCTTCTATGGCCAACAACCTGTTTCATGGGGTAAACCTTCTACCCAACCTCCGGTGGATGTTCAAGAATTCCATGAGCGAGAAGTTCTGGTCAAAGCGGAATTTTCTCCAACGAAAGGAACCCCAACTTGGGTCTATCTGCATAGGGCCGCAAGTTCTGGTTTGAATATGGGGAAACGAGGGAAGGGGGGCCACTCCTTTTTGAGGGTATTTCAGGGTGGAAGTCCCTCCGGGTTTCCATTTGGCCAGCAGGGACCGAACCATCCTTGCAGGATATTGCCAGGTGAGTTGTTTGGAGATGTGAAACTTATATATAAAAAGGGAACATAATACAAAGAAGTGGTTCTTCACCCCCCCTGAACAAGCCACCACATGATTTTCGAAGCCCATGACACATTATTCCGTTGTTCTGTCACTCCTTTTCTTCCTGCCCGATGAAACCAGGCATGCATTAGATCGGTACATGAGTGCTTGACTCAAATTTCAGCCTGTTTGAAACCGAAACCTTTGTTGGATTGCCACAAAAAGCCACCGTCGCACACATCTGAAGTGCTGTGCGACCTCAGCGTGTGTCTGCCGTCCTTTTCAACATTTTGCACAAGTTGGTTTCTATGTGGGAACCTTTTTCGGCCCAACCGAGCATACGGAACATAACGGTTGCTAGCAGAAAGCTTGGAGCGCACAGAATCAATTGGAGCCAAAGGGAAACCAACAAAAAACACGGTCAGCTTTGGACAGGGTACCTGTCAGTTTCGTTCCAACTATATGGTCTCTTATTGAAACCCAAAGAAAAGCCATTTGGGGGTTCCATCTCTCAGAATGGTGGACCTCCTTGGCTGGTTTTTGCGGGGAACTCAGGACAAACCGCCCTGTTTGGACATGGGAATGTCATTGTTGTGCGAGTGCCCCATTTTTGATGGCAAGGGAGACCAACAAACCCCCCCCCTTTTGTTTGAAGGATTCCCTGCGTGAGTTCCATATGGCCAGGGTTCAAAACCAATTTGGGATAGGTGAATTCACCACCCATTTCAGAACCTATTTTGGTTGGATTGGCATGTTCACTGGAACCTAACCGGAATTTTGACTTTTGACCCATGGCCATATTTCCCTTCAGCCGCCCCATCGCCCCATCGCCCCCAAAGCCCCCGAAGCCCCCGAAGCCCCGAAGCGGCGAGAAACCCCCCGCGGCCTGGGCCTGAGAGCGGCATCCAGCAGCGATCCCAGCCGTGCGGCCCGGGAAGCGGGCCAGGACGCCTGAAAGGCGAGCAGTCGGAGCAGTCGGTTTGGGATCCATGTCCGGTGAGTCAAATGAATGTTGACCCCATATGGGGTCAAACATAGGTATCCAAAATGGAACCCCGGGAAACAGGGGCTCAAACCGGTCCCAGTGGCTTAAGTTTGACCCATAGCCATATGAATCAACGTTGATTCATGTGGGGGTGTCCGATTCTGGTTTTAGTGGAGATTGATCACTCTCGAAAAATACAACGCCCATATTAATCGACCCCTTTTGGTCAATGACTTGCTGGTGCGATAGGTAGGGAACGTGGTAGAATGAACCCAATGGGTCCCCTCGAAGGACACCAAACAGGGATGATTTATGAGCTTCATTCTCTGGGTGAATTATACTATTTCACAAGCCTGAAGTAAGGTGGTTGGGGGGCTATTCCCCACATAAACCACCATTTGGGGTGAATTCGGTCGTGTGAGGTCGTTAGAATTCACCCAGGTCATTCCCTGACTCCTTGTTGTGCAGCAAGATGAGACAACGCTGGAATAGCCACCCGTCTTTGGCCCACGCCTGAGTCCAAAGCAACCTTTTTTGAAACTGTCCCATGCTTCGCCCCTGAGATATACAATCGTTTTGGAGAATACATTTTTCCCAAACTAAGAAGTGAAGATTCGGCGAAAGCTATTGATTTAGTACCGGGGAAAGCCCATGTCCTCAGATCCCCTGCTAGAAGTTCAGCTTTTAGTGGGTCAAACGGAGAACCCCACTAAACCCAAGAAAAAGAACAAGAAAAAACAGCTAAGGGACTGGACGGCTGGGAACCGCCAAGTCAAAAGGTCAACTTCCGTGTTGGATGCCAAATGCAAGAGCATGGCATGCCTTCCCCGGTTCCCTTTGACCACCAGGCAGACTGTTGCGCTGTTTTCCGGCTTTGACCCCAAATGCAGGGGATTCAAACAAATACTGAACAGGTGATAGTTTAAGACCACTTGTCAAAACTGGGAATAAGAAGTTAGCCTTTTGGGGCCATGACAAACTGGTTCAAAAAGTGAAACTAGAAGGTCAAAAAAGGTCGGCTTTGGACAAGTGAGAGAAGGGACATATTGGGTTTCCCTGTTCCATGCAGAAAATGCGATCAACACCTGCCGGCCCAACCCTGACGCGAGCCCGAAGAACTTCGTTCACGCCTTCCTCACGCCCAAAGCTTGCGTCATGGCCGCGGGGAAGTCGAAGTTACCTAGTAAGCCCGCGAAAACATCGTACTCACCTGCACCACGTACCATATCCGAACAGGGGAATCCCAAAAAAGGTGGTTTGCCTTGGGTGCTTTCTTGAGGGAACCTTTTTCAATATCAGGTTAAATGTAAAGATGATTCAGCGGAACTCTCCCCGAATTTGGGGTGTCCAATGTTTGACAACCATACTCCACCATTCCGAATTACGGGATCCCCTGCTTCACCAACCAAATTAAGGGATTCCCTAGAGAGATGTTTTTGACGTGCTCAAAATGTTCTTTGGCTTTGGCCAGACGAATTGGTTGCCATTGCCTCAGTCTGTGCGATTTGCGGAGATCACCCCTACAAATCATACTGGAGAAAGGAAGCCACACAGACACCCGAAAGGACACCCGAAATGATAGTTACAAGTAACCCAAAAGGACACCTACAAGGAGACCCAAACACAAACCAAACATGTTACTCACTGTCAGAGACAAACCTGCTTAAAGGTTGATGCACATAACAACCAAAATGGTTCCCATTGAACACTCTGGCCGTGACAACAGCGGGATGTTCTGGGGCGGCTCTTACAAATAGATCTGAGGGCAAACAATGTTGACGTAGGATTACTTGAGCCATGGTATTAAACAGGTCTCACAGCCCCGCCCCCCCCTCCCCCCCGAATACTAAGCAATGTGAACAACTGAGACAGGCCCCCCCAAGCCCCCTAAAATTTTGGATGCCCCACCTAAATATAAAGTTCCCCTTAGTGATGCCGCTCTTGCCTTCTCCATGCTCATACTGCTATACCCCTGCTTCTTGTTTTGTTCTCCATTGTTTTCTTTTTTCCCCAGAAAGCTGCCAGCTTTGCACTAAGCACAGCCATGAAGCACTGCCACACAAAAATCCGCCAGAACTCCCTAAAATCAACAAAACGTTGGGCTTTCTGAAAGTGACATTTCTTTATTAAATCCATGTCCAAAAGTGATGGGTCAGAAGGTCACCTGAGGTATTCCACAAGAGTGCCCGGACCATGTCAATAATATGGGTCCCCGTGGCATTGAGTACGGCCATCTGGGCTGCACACATTTTTGAGCTCCAGCAATACTATATAATCAAATGGATACCCAAATCCAATAATATTAAATCAACTAGGTCCTCCAGTAGAGAGGTTAGAATAAGGGTACCCTTTTTCTGTAGTCTATTTTAGTAGGGGAAGCCTCCCCCCATAAAAGGGTGAGAAAGAGCACTACTGGGGGACCTAGTAAAATAAATGAAAGTTCTAACCAAATTCAAAAGGAACATCCAGCAATACTGGATCACATGGAAACACAAATTCCCCATTGCTAAATCAAATGGATTCTCAAGTCAACATCTCAAAGGAAGCTCCAGCAATACACAATTTAATGGAAACATGGAATAAAGCTTCTTTTGGAATCCTTCTGGAGTCCTGGAATCCTTCCCAATTCAAAAGTAGTATTGCTCAATACTAAAACAGACCTCCCCGAATGCGTCAGGTCCATCTCAGTGTTGGAGGAAAAAACACCTCTGGCAGGGGAGAATCCGATGTCAACATCGTGTATACATATATATATATATATATGTGTGTATTACTATATAAAGGTGTATATATATATATATCACTTCCTGAGTGGATTGGCTAAGACAAGTCCAAACCTTTTCTTTTACTCACCACTAAAATGGTCTTCCCAAAAAGTGTGAAGTCGAACTCAGGAAGTGAGTATGTATGTGTATACAAATATATATATATATATATGTATACGTATTGTACGTAAATCGATTGCACCAATTTTGCTGAGGTGACGTATACCCGCCTTCACACCTTCCGGCTAATCCAAAGCCTGGGAATTCGAGGTGTTCCAGCAAATTCAAGGCAAGCAAGGCTGAAGGGTCATGACATAAGTCTCACTTCTTTGGGCCCCGCGACCTGCTGGTTCGATCAGCAGGGAATAAGAAACGGAATGACCATCCCCTATGGTTTCCTTTGCGGGTCCCTAGGTTCATTCCCAACACCCCGGGTCAGTCTCTACTGAGCAGCAAACCTCGTGTTCTTGGAACGGATTCTTGGTCACAAGGCAAAGTGCAGGAACCTCTCCTGCAAATGCTCCCCACTGAGCCAGCAGAAGTGAGCCCAGATGCGCGCAGGGTTGAGGCGCGCGCGGGCAGGTCCTGCGCAAAGCAAACAAAAATCGGCAGGGAAAAGGGGTTGCCTCCCCCAACAAGCTATGAGCCACGGTCATGGCCTAGGGCCTGTGTCAAGGACAATGGATTTTGGTGAGTGATATGAGGGAAATGGTGGCAGTTTGCATGCGCCGCAGAATCCTCAGGATCAACCCCGATCCGCCCTAAGATGGATTTCACCCGCCAACCAACATTGCCAGTGGTGAGAATAAAGTCGGCGGCATCGCATGTGTCTTTGCGTGTTCTCGTGTGAGATCTCAGTGAGTTGCTTAGTTGGGGCATACGCAACCATGTAGTAAATCCCTGCTCATCTGCTCATCCCAAAAAGCAAGCTTCGAAGCCCCCACATGGGTCTTTGTCAACAAAAAAGGGGTGGTGTTCCTATTGGTGTCCCAGTACACCATTTCTTGTATTTTGTCATATATATATATATATTATAAACGAACCCAACTTCCGTCCTTCACCTGCCACGTACTGCTTGCCGCCTGGCGAACTCGAATTCGATGCACCCAAACAGGGCTCTCGAGATATCCGTAAAGACATGACCCCACATGAGTTTCGCACTTGGAGGCAAAATGCGACCTAGTCATGATTCAACACCGCCTTGGAATGGCTGAATTTCCAGAAATCGGCAATCCTTCAGTTTCCTCCAGTTCTCCACTACTCGCCTGACCTAAAGCCATTTACGAGCAAATGTGCATGCCTCGAGTGGCCATGTAACCCAAAATGTAAAGAAGGAAACCCCTTTTTTGGGGATGAACAAATTGTAGTGGTTCCGAATCAAGCAAAAGGGATTTTCAATGATGGCGCTGAACGAGTCCCTTGTGTATACATGGGCGATCGACAATGCTATGCCTCCGAAAGCAGCCTGCCTTTCGGAGCCCCTACTAGAACACGCTCAACATACCCTGCAAAGTCGCCCAAAGGAGACCACTCTAAAACAAAAAACTTTTGATAGCCGTTGGGTGGTCGTGGTAGATGCTACTTTCGTACTTGATCAGGGTTCCCAAAGTACGGACGAAATATGCAGTGCCAGTCTAACAGGGTTACTCAGGTACTCCAGGAGTTAGCAAAGTGATTCGTAACCCCGAATCAACCTCCAGCTTGCCCGTTGTAACCCTTGCAAGCAGATTGACAAAAAAAATCAGCAACCCCCAAAATCATTAGTGCCTGCCCATATGCCATCCGAACTCCTTGTGTAGTTCGTTTGATTGCGGCCCCTTCCGCCGCCCACCTTACCAAATGTGGCGTCAGGTCAATGACCTCAACGGAAACGTACGTCATGCCTATTTACCATCCTTTGCCAAAAAAATAAAGCATTCCATCTGTTCAGTCCCTAGGAGTTGGTGGCCATCCTACAAGGAAAGGGGTCTTAGCGCATGACTATATGCTCTACATGTTGATCCCCGTGCCTTTTCATTTGGAAGGGGAACCCAAGCTTGATACCTTCTGGTCTTCAATGACCACACCATTCTGTGGGTGTTTTGCAAGATTAGGACCTCTCAGGCGGTTGGTTTCCTTTTGGGTTCTCCCATATGAAAAGCCACTTCACAGATCCCAGGTATCTCTTGAAGGGGTGCCTTCCTTTCGACAATAAAACCATCTTTTTGGCCAAAAAACATCCCGACACGATGTTGTCGGACATTAAGCTTTTCTTTTTTAACAAATAAATCAGCATTCAGCATTTGGGTGTTCTCACACTGATCCCGGATCTTTTTCTGAAATGAAGACGGCTCATAAGTTCATGCTGCGAGGAATAAGCTTCGCAGATAAATGGCAGAATTTTGTCTGGATAGACTGCTGGCTACATAAAAAGAAGACAACTGAAGAGATACTAGGTAGACAGATACTGATAGATAGGTAGATAGACAGATCGATAGATAGAAGGGTAGACAGGTCAGGCGCAGACTGTGTGGCAGGCGCATCTCTTTCACATGGAAACGCGAGAACTGGGGAGTAGAAGTGGGCCGGGCAGACTAGCTTTAACCGGGCGAAAACGGGAGAGAAGGTGCAGAGAAGGCGGAGCGGAGGCGGCGTGGCTCCCCGAGCAGAGGTGGAGTGGAGGCGCAAAGCGAGCGGAGGCGCGGCAAAGCGAGCGGAGGCGCAGCTGTTGAGCGCAGCGCTGGGGCCAAAGCTGATGGGGCAAGGCCGGAGCGGAGCTGGGACCCAAGACAGTGGCAAGTGGTCCACGTAGAATGGTTGCCCCGAACTCTCGGGACGAGGCCATCCCTCGAGTCGAGAAGCATCCGGAACGCCAGCAGCCAGCTCCGGCATCCAGCTAGCTTAAATGACATCTGACTCCGTTGCTAGCAGGGGAGTGGCTTCGTTTTGAGCATGTTGTTTGATGTTGGCACGGTTGTTGTATGCGGTAGTGTGTATGCAAAGGAGTAGCAGTGGATCACAGAGGAAAGAATACTTGCAAGTCCTTGTGACTACATGCTAGACGCAGACCATCCAAACATGTGTGAATTCCACGCCGTGCACCATCTCGTTCCTTCGAAGGTGCTGCCCAGAAGTGGTCTGAGGCCACATTCGGCGTCAAAAAGCGGCGTCATGGAGATTGAACATGCGACCCCAAGTCGTCACCTTTTCTGTTGCGCAGTGCTGTGGCAGCTCTCGACTGCTTTTTGCCGGGCTGATCCTGGAAACTTGGGACCAGTGAGCTGGTCAAGCGGGTCACGTCCCAGGCTCGGAGTCCTTTGTCCGGAGGCGACAAAAAGGGAAACTGGTATCCTGGCCTTTGTGGCACACTGCACTACAACCAAAAGCACCCCGATACAGGCGACCGGCGCAGGGAGACTCAAAGGTCGAAAAACGCTGGAAATGTCAAGAAAGAGGGCTCCATAAATGGTAAATGCATGGAACACGCTTGATGTCAAATCATGTTTTTGCCAACATTTACGGCAACACACTGCACTAATACCGAAAGCATACTCTTAATACAGAAAAGAGTGGGATTAATGTCGAAGAAGACGGAGCCCATCTCTTGAACTCGACTGATCTTTCCCAGTTGGCTGCCAAATGGTCATAGACGAATCTCCGACCCTGGTACTAGTAACTCACGAGAACGGCAGATATCCACCTCTGTTTGCGATTCTCCCCCGGCCGTCACTACCGGCTGTGCGCAACCGTCCCAATATGTCCCAATAAAGTCTTAACCCCTCACCCCTCCCGTTCCCGGCAGTACAGCGCCCTCACCCCCTAACGGCGTGGTGGTTTCCATGGCTTGACACAAATTACAACGGACTGGTAGAACATCATCCCCAACCTGGATGCATTTATTTTCAACATCATCCCAAACCTGGATTTGTTGCAGGATGAAGCAACATTGCTTGAGCAAACACCCCACACTGCCAACAAAAAAACAAACTAGACATTTTCAGGGGCAACCAACATGGAACCACCGGACCACCTGTTTTGACCTCCCCACTGGACCCCCAACGTTTACCCCGGCTCGAGCTCGCCTACGTCCGCCGGGCGTTGGTCCAGCGCGCCGTAGAGGCGATAGAAGGTGAAGCCGTCGCCCAAGACGTGGCTCATGGACACCACCAGCGCGAAGCCCACTGGCGCGAGAGATCCTTTGGACCAAAAAGAACGTTCAGGCAGCCCCGGGGGGAGAGTCTTTCAGGGATGTGAAATGGAATCCACTTCTGTGATACAACAGAAAGGGCTTCCCAAAGACTAACGTGGGGGGCAAACAAAACCCTCTGGGTGGATCTTATTCAGGGCTGTGGGAAATGGAATCCACTTCTGTGATACAACAAACAAGGTGTCCCAAAAACTAACCCCCCATATAAAGGGAGAGATTCCCTTGCATCGCAGAAGTGGGAGATAAACCCCTTGATTCCACAACTCAACCCAGGCTTCCCTTGTGTTGTTTGGTTTGAAGGGAAACGTATGAACAACTGAAACATATGCTGGTTCGATAGGCAGGGTATGAGTGGATTGACCCCGAAAAGCCATCCCCAATGGATTATTTACCCCAGGCCAAAAATGGGTCGGTCTGTGGTTTGAAGGTGTTCGTTCTACGTTTGGTTTAAAGTTTAAAGGGAAACCAAAGGGATAACGTAACTTGCCGGTTCGATAAGCAGGGAATGAGAAATGGAATGATCCCGAAGTACAAAAACAACTATGGTGTCCTGTATTCGGGAATCCCCGTCCGCTTCATTCCACCAACACCCGGAAGGTCATTCCTTGCTGAGCACCAGCAAAACACATCTCCCCCGGTCCAAAACGGGTCGGTCTTTTCGTTCGAAGGAACCCTGTTTATGGGGTGGCATAAAGGGAAACCAATTCATTATTTTTGAAGGGTTCCTTTGTACGTGTGGTTGAAAAGAGACACCATAGGGACGGCCTGTTTTTTTTTTGGGGGGGGGGCTCCCCTATCTTAAGACACACCCAAATGGGCCCTGTTGTAGTTTTGATCAAGACTGGAGGGGCTAGTTTTGTCCAGACATTTTGGGAGTGGTGTTTCAAGAGGGTTCCCTATCATGCCTATATTTCCAAGTACGAGTACTATCACCCTCCCCCCAAAAAAAACACTTACTTAAAATACTGAAACCATTGCAAGGGACGTGTAGGGGGCCCGAAGCAGCTGGTTCGGTCGGAGCAAGATAAGCGGAAATTTAGCTTCAGTTTGAAAGATAAATATATAGCTTGTAACGTGGAATCATGTGTCGAATCCAAAAGGAACCCATTTGTTGGAATCCACTTAGGGTCACCCAATGGTTCCATTGCACTCTACAGATTCTTCGAGGCTCGGTATCCTTTTGGGGCGATTCAATCGGGAACCAACCGGAAGCAACCATTTAAGCTGCTTTACAATTGAGATCCCCAAGCGGGGCATACTGACACTGGATTCATGCCAACACGGATGCCTCCACCGGTGTGCCAACCTGTGGCAAGATGCCTACGCGGGCCTACTTCGTCAAAATGCTCCCCGAGCGCCTACGTGCACATTTTCGCAAGCTATTCTTTGCACTACATAATGTGGCGAAACACGTCCACGCGAACCTCACAATCTTGTTGGAATGGCCTACGCAGAATGTCTACGTGATCCTTGCGGAGAGCCTCCACGGCACAAGACGAGTTCCGCCCGGATACAAAACAAATCGCCGAACAAAACTCTGCCCAAAGACACCATTCAACGCCCTTGTGGGTGAGCTTGCCAATCGATGGGGCAAATGGATATGGAAAAGGCTGGCCTTGTTTAAAGCTGATAGAGAAAAGATGAGACAAGCCTGCGGGCTTCGCTTTCTGATCTCTGCTTTTCCACGGTCAAGGCGGGCACCCGAAAAAAACATAATATTTGCACCATATGAAGCAATCTGGACGTCTGGCTGATGTCTTTGGATTGAGGACACACAAATCAAAGAAGGCTGCCCTGCGGCACACTCTAGTTTATGCGGTTCCTCTGACTAGCCAGGGCTCTGGGAAGCGGAATCCACTTCCATGATACTACCAAAAGGGGCTTCCCAAAGACTGCAGCAACCCACCCATAAGGGCGGGTTAATCCCAAAAGTATCACAGAAGTGGTTGAATAAACCAGGAACCAGCCAGGGCAAGGCTTCAGCTCCCGCCCCCCTTCAATACACGGTCTTTTACGGGTCCTGACGGTTTTGAGGTCCTGAAACACCGGCTCGAAATATGGATTTGGACCTCCAAAATGGTGCGTCCATCTAACCAAGTTTAAACTAAGCCGGAAAGGGTAGTAAAACACACACACACACACACACACATCCAAATGGGTTGAAGCCTTGAGAGCCCGGGGGCACTCCATACAGGGATTGGTCTGTAGTGGTTCGGAGCACGGCTTCTTCTCGACATGGTGTCGGACAAATCATATGGGTATAAACGTTCCTTTGGAGACCCTTTGGTAGACACCATATTTAGGTTGGGATTCATGACTACCAACCACTTTTGAGGTGGTTCCATGTTTCATACATAGCCATATATACTTCCCCAACTGGACATGAGTAATCCCTCAAGGGTTGTTCATCATGGGCAATTTGCTCGGTCCAAGCGAGTCACAAGCAAAACCCTGCATTAAAGAGGACCTGAACATACAAATCATCAACAATTATAGCTTCTTGCCGCGCCACTTTTTGATGGCCGGCACAGTCCGTTTCACTTCGCTTTGGATTCGGTTCCGAAGCTCCGAAGCGCGCGCCGCGTTCCCGCGGCTCGGTGGCTCGGCCGGCCTGCCAAGGTCACCACTGCCACCAGGAACAAAGGCTCCTGCTTATCCACACAGCGGATGCCAGCAGGCACGATGACCTCGTGCCAAAGGAAGGAGATCTCAACTCAAAAGCACTTCACCCCAGCTCAAGGGCAAACCCTGACGTAGCCAAATGTTGACCAATGAACCCGTGTTGATGATTGGGGGGAACCCGATCACGTGGGGTTTTTGAAACCCCCCGAAACGAATTTGCCAGTTAGGTTTACGAATCCCACCGGACAAAAAAATGAGTCTTGTCACCTTCTTCAGCCTCCTGCCAACCACCCCTTGTCGTGAAAAAAAATGCCCAAGAGTAGGAAGCAGTTGAAGAGATGAACATATGGGCATGGGTCAAAGTATCTACCAAAAAACGCAGGTTTTAGTCCTTGTTTTCATTTTTTAGGGCAACCGATTTTGGGGTTACCCTATTTCTGACCACACATATTACATTGCCAGTGACCATGGTCCCGGGTTCTACTTCCATGTGAGCTGAGGACACCATTCCTCAAATCAAATGCCGCCTACTCTTTGTCTGACCAAGCCGAAGCCCAGTAGAAATGCTTGCCTTCAACTTGCATTCTGCCTTCAGTTTTGGAATTGCTCCAAAGCAGTCCTTGCAACCAGTCGATCCACAATGTGTTTTTGTCATCAACATTTCAAACAAAAGAGCAACCGCGTAGCTGAGTAAAGTCGGCCGCAGATTATTAAACCCCTGGTTGATTAATCGGGGGTGTCGCCCTTTACTGGGGGTTCATCACTCTTGGAGGGAGCACCCGAAATCATAGGACGGGGGTTACTAATCCGCGGACAACATTATCTGCACATTTGTTCCGGATGCAAAGGGCCCGCATCACAGTGACATCGTTTTACCCCCGTTGCCATAAGACAATCACGGGTCATCTTCCAATAACCCAAAGAGGCTGCCACGTTGACACGCTAAACCAACTTGAACTTTTGGCAGACCAACATTTGGCAAAGTCTAAAGCTCCGGACAGGGTCCCTGGCCCCTGGTTCTTCCCGGCTGAATTACCAAATCCCCAACCGGTAGCCATGGTTTCACTTAGGAATTTGCAGCGAAGACGTCCGATCGAGATGTGCCAACCAAAAGTCCAAACTGGTTCTGTGTCACAAAAAGGGTGATCCGCAATCCAGTCCAACTCAGAGAAGCTCAGGAATCTTTGTAGTGGTTGTCTGAAATCCCTTCTAATGGTCAAAGCAACAGGCTGTGGTTGTGTAAAACACTAACTTGTTTGACTCTGACGATTTCCTAAGCATGCTTGTCTAAAACCCTCTACCCACGTGTCCCTGATCCCTAGACAATTCAAAGAGGAGCTGGGAGCTGATAGGGGGATAGACAAACATATGCACACTGACCCATCCATCCCCTGAAATTTGCTTGTGGCCTTCAGCTTCAAAGTGAAGGCAGTCTGTTCGATGCTTCTCAAAACAAGACAAGGACCCCATAAGCCATATCATTTTGTCAAGATGCACAGTAGTATTTTCACAATCCAAGTCCTAGAATTCAACCGTTCCAACCACTCTTTCGATAAGTGATTGACCCAATGTAGATGAAACTCCTGCTTCGTGTCTCGCAAGCACGGAAAAGGACTCCTTCGGCTCCTTTTTTGCAGGGCCTCGCACGGCCTCCAAATCCGCTTGCAAACTCAATTCACTTGTGTGCACCTCCAACATACACAACTACTCTTGAAATGCATCCTAAGACAAGTGTTATCCGAGGGGCCAGGGGGGCTGAGTCCAACCAGGGCGCATCTTGCAACATGGATCGCATCTTCATCAACGGGGTCTTCGGGTGCAAACCTTCTCGTCTCGTCCTCAGAAAACTCATGTGCGCCGGGGGAAGGGGGATGGGATGGGCACGCAACACGGAAAACAATCCCCATAGGGTCTGTTATTAAAAAAAAACAACAACCTATGTTTGGCTCTGAGACCCCAGTCTAATGAGCCATACAACCTACGACGGTTGGCCCCTTTTTTGCACCCCACATACCATACGACTTTTCAGACCAACCGAACATATTGATGGAGTGCGCGAAATACAAGCTGAAGCTGAAGGCTAGGGTCCCCGAAGTCCGAAGGCCCAACTCAACACGTGCCAAGTGGTTCACTCCAAAGCAAGGCTGAGCGAAATCAGTAGCAACAAAAGGATTTCTATCCCTGGACGTCATGAGCCCCAGTGTGATCACCATATATAATGTATATACATATATAGAGATATGTGATATGTGGGTTTGTCTTCGTTCTAGCAGAACCCTCGGTTTTCCTGTTGGTGACCCACCCGAAAAAGGGTACAATCAAACTAATCCCACCTATGTATAGATGTACACATACACTCGTTACGCTTGTTTTACCCACCAAGGGAATACATAAGAAGGGCTTTCTCAATGGAATTTCTTGTGGAAACTTGGCTGAAAAAAACAAGTCCCTACCAAATACCCCCTTTCATAACACTAAGGAATAGCAAAGCAATTGGCCTTTAAACAGCGCAGGAACCCGACAGCGGCAGCCCATTGTGCGTGTTTTTTGAGGGTAGCTTCTTGAGCTTGAAAGAGAAGCCGAAAGGACACCCACCATTTTGGGGATCCTGGATTGGTCTTTGGACGTCGCAGGACCCAGTGACTCCCTGCATAGTTGGCAACCAAAACTGTCCTTTGAACATTAGCTTGCTTAGAATCCTCTGGAAAGCATCATACTAACCCTCACATACCCAGAAATTTCGGGGCCGATAATCCAATACTATATTGACCAGGAAAGCTAACCCTTCTTCAAAATAGGAAAACTCAACCATGCAAACAAATCTTAAGTGTATTCGAAATAGTGGAACGAATATGGGCCCTCAAAGCGCTTGCATGTTGGTTTTTGTTTTTGGTGGAAACTTTTTCAGGCAGTTCAAAAGGGAACCTATTGTGTTTTTGGGGTGGTCCCGTACCTGAAGACACAATCCAGTCAAAGCGGTTGCGTTGTTGGGTTTCTCAGATAGTTGTTGGGTCCCGGTTGCGTTCCCTGAAGCCACCTGATAGAGCCTGAATCGACAGTGGCCACTCTCATGTTTTCGGCAGCTGTGACTGTTTTTAGGGTGAAGTGTCTGGGAAAAAGAGCAGAAACTCAGCTTTCTTGGGTCTTTTGCAGGATGTCACATGCAAATGGACCTAGTGCGGATGGACAAAACATTCGATGGATAATTATGTGCATGCGCATTAGGATAAAATAGCCTCCAAACACAGGGTTCCCTATTATACTTCACCCCTGCCAAGAGAAACTCACCTTGCATAGGCCAAAAGGGTGATGCTTGAAACTATCGCGGACCTTTCGAGACTGCTCCCCTCACGTCAGAGTAGCCCTGTCAACCAACCCGAAAGTGTACCCGAAACCAACAGAAAACTCTTAGGAAATTCCCAGGACCACATCTTAAGCAAAGGGACGTCACTCTGGACGAACTTCCCACAGGCCAAGCGGCTGCACGAAGTGTGCTTCCTCCGGCTCCACCGAAAGGCCCACCATGCCGCTCACCCTGCGCCAACGCGCACCTCTCAAAATGCAACTTGGGTCCACAAGTAGTTCCCCCAAACAGCAACCAGCTAAGATTCTGGCGAATCTTCTGCAACCCCCGCCTTCCATAACAATTTGCCGCGAAGTACTTCGCAATACAGGGTTGCTCCAAAGACACGTGGTAAACTTGAAGAGATCCAATATATTCTGGGTATAAGAGGTCACAGGAACAGAACATACCCGGAGGAGGGCCCCTGAAATTGAGTGTGTCTCCGGACTTGATCGTTCCACCCTAAACTAAGGATATTTCTTGGTTCGATCAGCATTTCAGCCAAGGGCAAAGCTACCTCAGATCTCACCGAACGCTGAGCTAGCTGTTGCCACCATTCTGAAAGTCTCTGATGGAAAGCACTGACAAAGGAACAGGCCCGTGCTGTCATTTTTCAGGAGCCCAAGAAATGAGTACCCTCCCTCCAATCATGGGAAGTTTGGCGGACAAGCTTCCTATAGAGGAAACCCCATGACCACTGCCATGCTTGTTGGAGGGCAAGTCTCCCTCTTTGCTCGGCTGCTTTCTGCTCTGCGAAGCTCTCCGCCTCTCGCGCCGGAGCTGCCCTGAGAGCCAGGGGTTGGCCTCCACCAGGTCCTGCCGGCGCCCAAGTCCAGTACCCTCCATTCCCAGTCTTTCCACCCAAGCCTAGTAACCCAAAACCCAGGGTGCATCCTTCTTTCTAAAATAACCACCCAAAAGCCGGGAAACAGCTGGTTGTTGAAAAGAACGATGGTTGGAACAGAATGGGGAATCAACGCCTAGACAAACAATACGAGCCCGCCACGCAGCGCCACAAACCAGCGCGTGGCCCTGAGGTCTGCTAAAGGAGTCCTTGGCCCGCCAACGCAACATGCCCGCGAGCGCTTGCCTGCCCGTGCCGTTTGCAAAATTCATGACAAGCGTACTGCCATGCAGCGCGGTTGTAGGGCCAAACAACGGGTTTGCAGCTTTTCTGGAGCCTTTGCACAACTTGGCTCTCCTCTAGCGCGCCAGTCTGACAAGTGGCGTGAACTGCGCGCGCAGTTTCTCCAAATTGGTTCGCAAAACAGCTGCCGAAACTGCACTAGCCTGGCTTCGCCGTTGTATACCCTCACAGTGTTGCACAACCTTAGTTGCTGGCTGGCAGACTGCGAACTCCAACCCCCTGCCTCACGCGCGGCTATCTGCTTCGCTGCAGCTCTTGCTGCTGGCGCAACTGTCACATCAGCGCGTTGCAGGACGATTTGCAAATAGGTGGGAAGGACTTCCTCGCATGCAGCAACTTCCTCCAACAAAAAGGTTGCTTCGCGCGTTGTGCCTGCGAAGGAGCCCTTCGCCTCAGCTCCGGCGACCTGGGCCTGCGTGCAGGTGCTGGCGCTGAAAATTGCACTGTTGTCGCAGCCTCTGTCCGCAAAGTGGGCCCGCAACCGATGCAAGAAGGTGGCACCATGTTTGGTCCATTTTTTGGGCCCAAGAAATGGGGCCGCGCACGTCGGCAATTCCAGGAGCTCCGTTTGGTCGGCGCAACGGCTACAGTAGCAGGCCTCAGTTTGGCGCCCGCCCAGCTCTACCCGTGACCACGCTCCCACGCTCTGCGGTGGCGACTTCAGTTGGGCCCACCAAGAGCCCAACCAGATGCAGCCAGTCCGGAAAGCTGCAAGCTGTAACAAGCCATTTCGGCTTCCAATTGACACGTTCTGCGGCGCCGCCTGCGACGCTGCGACAGTCGCCGCGACCACTTTTTGCGTCACGAGCAGCCCGCTTCAGTCCGTGCAAAGCAGGAAAGGCAGTGGAAATGTCACACACACACAGAGTGTATGTATATATATATACACATATGTTACGGGCCAGTATATGTATATATATATGTATATATATATATATATGTATATATATATATATATATGTATATATATATACACATATGCAAATATGTTTACACCTAAAACATTTGACGTGTATGATTTCCACCGTCTGCTGAAAGCACAAATTTCGGTCGTTTCATGTCAAATCCGCCGTTTCGATTCCAGAGTGCTTGTTGGGAGCCTTTCTTCCTTCCCTAGTTTTCCTGGAGCGGGCAGCATGTTCAAAGGCAGGAACATCCGTTTTTTGACCGGGAAAATCCGCTTGTGACCGAAACACTCATGTTTCGGTCATGAGAGCAGCAGAATTTGCAGAATTGTCCAAGATTCCATGAATGCGAAGAAGTACTCGCAAAAATGAAAAGCGATCGCAGGTGAAAAAGCAGTTATTGCCGAAGAAGCACTTATTTTACACACAATGGAGGTCCTTGTATACGCATAATACATGTTATACGTGTTGTAAATGTGTATATATATATATATATATATATATATATATATTGTGCATACCATAATGTAACCTGTGTCAACAAAGCTGGCAGATTAACCGGGTGTGTTCAAAGCGTGTGTCTGTGTGTGTGTGTGTGGGTGCGTCCGTGCGTGCGTGCGTGCGTGCGTGCGTGCGTGCGTGCGTGCGTGGGTGGGTGGGTGGGTGGGTGGGTGGGTGGGTGGGTGTGTGTGTGTGTTTTGTGTGTGTGTGTGTGTGCGCGCGTGCGTGCGTGCGTGCGTGCGTGCGTGCGTGCATGCGTGCATGGGTGGGTGTGTGTGTGTGTGTGCACCAAAAGTGAAGGATCCCCTCTGGCAGACTCTGTCATTGGACTTGCTTGATGGATACGCGGCCCATTCATACCAATTAAAAGCCCTGAGCATCAGGGCTCGCTGTGTGTGCGGTGAAAACATCACCCCTACCAAAGCAAACTCAGCTTACAGGGGCCTACAAGGTGACGCTTGAAAGTTGAAGCCAGTGCATCTACATGTTGTCTTTGATGATGATTCCAACACCCAAAGAAAGGCATCCCCAAGTAAAGGACTTACATCGTAGTCAGCTTGTTTAACCCCCCGACTTTCGTGAGCTCGCTGTGACAACAGATTGCCTATCCAAAGTGTCCTGGGTCATGCTGCGCAGGAGTTGAACAGGAGGCTCGCCTTCGTAGAATGTCACCTGACCCAGGGGCCGTCTTTTTGATCTTAGAGGCAGAAAGTTGGCCCCTGGCAAAGGGAAACCAACACGGACCCAACCCAATTCAGGGTTTCCTCTGACCTTTTGGCCAGTTTGTACCTCGCGGACAACTGCGCTTTACGCAGGCCATAGACATGGTTCCCAAAAAGTAGACTACAAAGGAGCACCCTAGAATCACGACTGTTCACAAGCACTGGACTCCTCTCACGGGATAGCTTCAATAAAGCCATGGACCGTGATCCCTTTCGTTCCAACCCTGACCTCAAATCCCGCGACAAGAGGCAGGGAATATACTGAGATTGAGGTCCAGTGAGCCGAGAGGTTTCTGCTACCAGAAGTTTGCACGCCAGCCCTACAGATTTGGGGGGGGGGCCACGTATTTGCCCAAAAAAAAACGATTGATTGCAAGTACACAAGCCCCACACCGGGGTGTCCTGATCCCTTCCAAGATTTGCTTTTGAGGGTGCCACTTCTGGGTGTTTAAAGTCGCAGTGTGGGTCTTGGGTTGGGGGCATGGGAACTCAACCAAGCAAACCAAATCCCATCTCAGCCAAAATTACCATCCGGGAAAAGGAGAACAATCATCCCCAAGGAACGTTCATCATTGGTTTCAGCTCGTTTTGCCCCCGAATGACGCCGACAATCTGTGTTTGTAAGTGTGAGGGCAAAACTTTGGCGCCAAGTATTTCAAAGTACTTTCTTGGTCAATGTTCGGAAATTGTGGGTCTTGTTCGACCACCAATATTAAGCCAAGGGAAACATGTAGGATGTTACCAAACTTTGACCCAGCCCTTGTCCCCGTTCTGGAAGTTTCGCGAATGAGAAAAACATATCCCACACGTGGCAGGCACTTTAAGAGGCACAGCGTGGTCCTGGTGATCTAAAAGCCACTATACGTGTTCAACAACTCCAGGAATCCGGAAAGTTACGTATAGCTCAAAAAAGGAAGCGCATCCTTAGACTTGTGGATCTTGACAAATTGTATCTGGGAAATGGGGGAAACAACAAGCCCGTGTCTGCGCTTCTGTCGTAGGGCCCGAGTCCAAAGCACTTCTCCTCGGCTTTCAATGCCGCGATATTTCCTGTCTTTCCAGACCCCGAGGAAGCCAGGTTCTTGACAGATTCAAAGATACATCATGTGTACATCATATATATATATATATACATAGATACATACATATATATATATATATGTATATATATATATATATGTATACATACACTACACATGTGTATATTAAATGTACGCACAGGCTAACTGCATGTTTTGCAGAGACATATGCACGCATTCATTTCGTCAATCTGCGCTTGATTGAAACCAGCCCTTTACGTCCGTTTACCCCCGGACACATTTGCCCGGATGCGTACCGTAGTGATGGAGGGAAGCATCAGGATAGGTCCCACCTGCGGCCAGGTCAATTGCCTTGTGACCAGCAATTGCTCTTTTCAACTTTAACGGCTGGGAACTTCCTTGGTTACCACAGGGTTGACGGTCAATGGGTTGAAGGATACCATAAAAGGTTACCAAGGATACCATTTGCCTGAAGGTAACCCTTACCAGGGTTAAGAAGGATACTTTTTAGGCAATGGGTCTCACAGGCTTGGCGGTGTCCAAAGATCACAAGCGAGATCTCCAAAACAAATGTGCACAAGTGAAGCGGCCCAGATAAGACTTCCTTTCATAGGGCATCCTCTTGGAGCTGCCGCCTTGTGATTCACACAGATCAAAGGAAGGTTTCTTCAAGGGGCCATGGTTGAGTTGTACTTCTGGCACAGGTGATAGTGCTGAGCTAAACTTAGACCCCTGCAAACAAGTGTTTGTTGTTGGTTGCAAAGGAAATACAGAACAACCAACAGGGCAGAAGGGTTTAAACAGTAAGTGCAGTCTCAAAAAAGTGTTTGTTGTTGGGTATAAGGGAAATAAAGAAAATACAACAGGGCAAATGGTTTAAACAGTAAGTTCAGTCTGGCAATAGTTATTGGTCTCGCAGCAACTCCGACATTGTCCTCCGTTGGCAGCAGCGGCAGCCAGCGCCCGGCCGCCAGGCACAAGCCAGAGCGCGTTAGGCGAGGGCCTCGACAGGCGTGGGAGACATGGTCAATATGCGTTTGAATTTTAAACTATAAAGGGACCCTTTGGTGGTCATCATTTAGCTGGGGATTCATGTTCACCAGTTTTTTCTTTGAGGTGGTTCCTTAATAAACTTCATATGGTATGTGTCAAATCTGCCGAGCCCTTTGCCGAATCCGCCATCCTGTAGCAAAAGGGACGAGGCGTGGTCTTTGTGGTTGCACCGGGATAATCTGAGGGGAGGTGCCTGGCAGACTTTTGACACGACTCATGTCCAACTTCTGTAACGTTTAGCCCAACCTCTAGCTTTTCCAACCCCTGCGTCTAACTCCGACAGCCCCTTCCTACCAACCTGTACATCTAACCCCTAACTCCAAGCCCCCATAACTCTAACCACTAATTCCTCTAACCTCTAGCTTCTCTAACACCAAGTTTGACCTGTAACCCTAACCGCTAACTTCCTCTAATCTTGCACGGACCTTGCACCAACAGGGCACGTGTGTGATGAACCAACCTGGTTGATCTTGGCAGTATGCATATGCTTGTCTCAACACTGATTCTGATCCATTCGTACCGCAGTTTCCTCAAACTCTAGCCTCTCCCTTCCCGGCCTGACCCCTCTTACTCCTCCAACCTCTGCAGCCAACATGTACCTCCTCTCCACCTTTGTAGCATCTAACTTTCCAAACCGCTCGCGGACCTTGCAAAGGCAAGGCAGTCTCAAAAATTAAGCCGTACATATCTCAGTTTCAGTTTCGGCTAACTTCTGTAGCCCCTAACTTTAGTCTGTAACAACTCTAAGTCCGTCAAGATTGGTCGACGCCCTCAGCACCACCAGTACTTCAGTCTAGAAACTTGTCTTTCTACACAATACGTAGTCGACATTGGTGAGTTTGAAACTCCCGTTCAAGCGATGAGAACTGGAAGTATGGCTTTAGGCCTTACCATAGTATATACGCAATAAATTCAGGTAAAACAACTACCAAAAATACAAATCGGAAATGCCGCATGGTCGAACCTCCCCAGATGGGCACCATGTTGATGGACAATTTGGCTGGTTCCCCAATGGTCCAAGTCTCCTTTTTGGGAAAGAAACACTGGAAAATCCGTGGAATTCCGCCTCCTCTAACTTAAAGACTCACATCTATCCTCCCCCCGTTGCCATTCGACTTTCCCCCATTAGGGTGGGTTGGGTAAAAACACATGTCAAGTCTGGCACTCACTTCCTGAGTTGATGGTCCAAAACAAAAGTCCGAACTTTTTCTTTGCCTCTAAAACGGTCTTGAACAAAAGTTGAAACTTCAGGAAGTGACAGGAAGTGAGGACAATACATCCCGAATCCCGACACATCCCCAGCAGCTTCTCCCAGCACTTGGCACCAGCTCCCGAGTCTGGCAGTCCAAGGCACGAAGCCGCGCCGGCCGCACGCAGGGCACTAAGCCGCGCACGCTGCGTGGGCTCGCGAGAGCCATGGCGCATGTGCCGGGGGCGGACTCCGGACTGCCCTGCTGGGGTCACGGCTGCTTTTGAGGGGAAGCCCACAGGAGGATCGACCCCCTCGTAGTGAAGGATTCCTTTTTAAGGGGGTCGCCCAATTTCTCGCAAAAGGTGGCAAAAAGACCCCCCTGGAAGCCCACAGGAAGCTAAGGATTTTGCCAAGTTCGGTGAAGTTTTCGAGTTGAGGGGTCTGTCTTTGTTCAGGGCAGAACCGCTGGTTTTGGGGGTGATTCTGCTGCTTAGCTCAACCGAGAAGCCACCAGCAGCTATCTCCTCTTTGGGGTCTTGAGGACTCGGTGTGAGCCTGAAGGAAGTTGCTTGAAGGGTTGGATTGGTGATATGTGGACTGGTTCATGTATAGCAATGTGCGCAGTTTTCTCCGTAGGCAGCATGGCCCGTTCTCGAATATAAGCTGCAGACCGATTTTAGAATGGTTTGACAAGGTTGTCAACACCCAAAACGGGGCCTCAGACATGGGGTCATCGAGGTATGCATTGGGCGCTTTCCACATTCACCACATGTCAGAATTTGAAAGAGCAGCTCTTTCATGTTGGTCTTTGGAATCAAAAAAGACGGCTTTCAGTCTTGACTGCTTAAACCCACGCAAGAAACACATGTCACCTTGGCAACATGATCTGGGAGCTAATTAAGTGCCCGAAAATTCCCAGCCCAGATATTGCCCCCTTGGCAACAAGTGTCCCTTTTTGTTGACCAGTGAGAACCGCGAAAACCATACATGTTCCCAAAAGCTTCCTCGCTTACACTAGATAGATGGCACTGTCCCTTCATGTCCGTGTGGATGATAAAATGGGAGCTTGTGCCATCTACCTGCACGCAACTGTATAGGAAAGCCGCAGGGCAAGTGTTTTTGTTCGGTTCGCTAGCGGCTAGCGGAAAAAAACACTCGCCAATTCATCAAGAACACTTTGTTGACACATGGGAAAAAAACACATTGTTGCCATAAAACTCATCATTTAAGATGCTACCAAATAGCAGCCAAGCCTACGGCAACTGATATTGGAAGTGGGTGGGTCAGCCCCAGCAAAACCACATACGGGGATGTGCGGAAATAGCAGGACTCCCAAAATTGTGGTTTTCCTTTTGGAATCCCTGAAAAAAGCAAGGTAAAAAGGGTACCTTCAAATGGACCCTCAAACCACAAGACAAACCCTGTACCACCCAAGCCTCCAGACAGGACAGCCGACAACCTGGTTTGGCAGCTTGGCTCAAACAACAATATGTTGTCCAAAAACAGCAACCAACATGAGCAATGCCCAAGTAGGCGCATTCCCAGGGTGAAATCCAAACAGCATTGGAATATTCTCGTGGGAAGGACCAAGTCGGATAACACTTGTGAAACCAATTTTTGGATGTGCCCGATGGTTCTGGATACCTCACCCCCCCCTCCCCAAGACGCTTAAGGGAGGGGCAACCAGGTCCAGGATGTCCTACGACGGAGAAAGCTTCGTGGCTTTCTGGCAAGAACCCGTGCGAGCTGCTGGTCCGGCCCGATTTCTTCTCTCTCGGACGAGCTCAGCAAAGCCTGGCGAGCACGGGGGTTTCGCCATACGTGGCGAACACCGAGGATGAATTACCCGTAATGCGCGTGCCCGATTAAGTAAGGCACCAAAACCAAGAAGTTGTCCGACACATATTCACACCCCCTAAAAGGACAAAAAATGCTCAATGCCAAACAGCACGCACCAACAAAACACAATATGATATCTCCACAATTCGCCAATTTGCTTAGCCGCTTGGACATCACCTTGGAAATAGTTATGCATCTACGATCCAAAATACAAAATCCAGGAACACGTCTGCAGAAAAGAGTACTTCTAAGATGAATTTAGAAACACAGATCCGTACTAGCTAGAACTTCAGAGTTTCAGAAATGCTACCCTTTGTTGAGGGTCCCGGGAACCACTACAAGAACAGAACAAAGCCAAATCTGAAGCTTTCCAATTGTGGTTTGACATGGGTTAAACACGAGGCCAAAAACAGACCATCAATATGGAGGTCCATGTAGTTTCACTATCTTTCACCTCATTGTATTCTGTCGTCATGTCAATCACGCACCCAATCTGAAATGATCACTTGTGCGAACTGGGGTGCCAAACGAAGGGTCTGAAAAAACAAATACGAAACGTCCATCCCTGTCATTCGGTGGTTGTTCGAAACATGTGCTATTTAGCCTTGAGGAGCACTTACCAGAATTGACAAGCAAAACATTGCCTTCTGGAACGGCTTCGAAGGGAAACCAAAAGGAAACCAACAGCTGGAGGGGGTCCCTGATTTTGAGAAAGAACCATAGAAAGACTATTGATGGTTGCACAAAAAGACAAATAAACGCAAAACAATCCAAAGTAAACAAGGAAAGCTCACTCTAAGTCCAACAGTCGATATCGCCCATCCCTACACTCTGTCAGCGCAGAAGCCGCGCGCCTCACTCGCCGGCTATGGCATCCCACTCGTACATGCTGAAGAAACAGACTTGATCCTCGGACGCGAATGCCTTCGCACGGCTACCAGTCGTGAATAACAACTACCGATTCACCACTTGTTGCTCGGCAACGAAGGGATCATTTGGATTTGTCAACAAGCTGTTGCCTCTTAATCTCCTTCAGGGTGAAACTAGGTGGCACAAGTTTCATCATGCTTCCTGCGTCTCGATTTCTTGTTGGCATGTACCTTCAACCTGGTATTTGGTTGTTGGTAGGTAAATAAAACAAGCATGGCAAAGTGTTACCTTGATCCGCCAAGAGTTGCTGGTTCCTGCTGCCCCTTTTCGCGGACAATTCGAAAATCCGGGTCTCCTTGAGCTCACCAAATATATATATTTAAAAAAAAAAAAATGGTCCGTACTAAGTAAGCCGTACAGTGCTTCTGATTCTAAACAAGGTCCAGAAACTGCACAAAGTCCCCATACCCAAAACTCCTGAGGACATTCCTGGAGCTTTGTCTGCTGGAGAAGCGAAGTCCGAAGAGATCCCTGTTACTTGGCCCAAACGAAAGGGCCACCAAGAATCAGATCTTCAGATTCTGTTTTAATTAAAAACAACAAAAAACAAAGCAGGGTATGTGGTATCTAGCCTCAAGGCATAAACGCATGACACCTGAGGGGTGTTAGAGCCCAACCCTGCAATGGCCACGGGAAAAGAAAAGCCACCCTTGTGTGATGGCTGAACTTAAAGGGGTTCCCCTCCAAAACAAGGTTGGAAAAAGAGAAACTCTCCACTGGGTGGATGGGATTGAGTCCACCAACCATTTCAATGGTCGCCAGCTAGTTCATATTCATACGGTTCCCATGTTAATCTGGGTTGTGTTGCTGTTTACCACTAACCCAGTCTGCCCAAAAAGATCAAACCTACTGTGGCTGGACAAAATCCTGCACTGCCTAAGAAATCCTGGAATGATTTGACTCCCCTATAAGTACAGTAACACACCTTTTGGCTTCAACCATGGATTCATTTCGTGGTGCGAAGGGACTTCGCAACCATCCGCTGAAGGGGCAGGGTGCCTTATAAGTGGTTCGTAAGCCTGGTTAAAACTCATGGAGCCATGGCTATTAGCCACTTACCTGACATGTCCCTAGTATGGAGTCCATGAACTCGGACCTCAGGAAGTCAAATTTCGGGCACCCCGGCCTTGGCGCGCAGAATCGCGGCCTCGTTCTTGATGGAGGTCTCCGGGTCAACAGCCTCGAGTTCTGAGAACTGGGTGCATTCGGAGATATCAAAGTAACATGTGGGGCTCGCCTTTTTTGGTGGACCCCCCCAAAAGAGTCAGCCCTTTGCAAACCTCCAAAAAAAGAAAAAGCTGCTCCAACAAAACGAAACAAGCTTGAATTGGCATGGGATGGTCCACACATTTGGAACCCTTCCAAATGCAAGTTTCATTGGACCAATCCCCTGGTTGTTTCACGTGTTTGAAACAACCCCCTTTCGGCTCAAGGTGTCCAGGCCGTCCCGGATTTGGCAAAAAGGAAGGCAACAGGCGAGAAGCGTGCAACGAACAACTCGTGTTCCTGTTAAGACGCTTGATTGATAGAAGGGGCCCAATAACTAAGGAACATGGGATAACACAGCGGGATCAATTTTGCGGGATCCACTGACTCCTCCCATAACTTCCTAATCCGCCCGGGCAGATGGCAGGGACAGGCAGGGGCACTACCCTCTGCCTCACGCCCTCGCCTTTGGCTGTCTATTCTCCAATTTCAGACTTTGGCCTGCGTGGCAGACAGCTGAGCGACGGACACATACTTAGAACGTGTCCTTTGTGCCAAAAGTGTTTATTCTCACACTTAGAACGTTGGCTCTACGGTTACCCGCGGGCACCCTACACCCGCACGGATCTTTTAGGAACACCCTGCAGAAGGCATGTGGACAGCCTATGGAGCTTCTGCTCGTGTGAGGGTCTGTGTCTGGCTGTGGCTCAAAATTAAACTCTTGAGGAAACACAGGTTTTAGTCTACCTTTTTCCTATTTGCCAGGTTCAGATTTTGGACTCCTATTTTTGAGCCACACCCATATATAAAACATATATTATGTATACATATTTATACAGGTGTATCTATATATATATATAATATAAAAATACGTATATATGTATATATGTAATTAAAAAAAGGGGGAACACCTGCTCCCATTCAGATTCCACGTTCCCCCGCCTCGCGCTCGCTGTCTTTGAGCCTAACGTCTACGTTGTTGAAGGCCCGGAAGGCCTGACACACGCGTCGCTTCTTGAGACGCGTCGCGGAGGACCCCTGGGGTTTTGGCTTCATAGGGCTATGGGTCCAAAATTATTACTTAATTTAGAGTGATTTAGAGTGATTTAGAGTGTGATTTAGAGTGATTTAGAGAAATCAAACGAGTGAAAAAGTCTCATCTGAGTGGGTCCCTTCTGGGCCCTCTGAATTACACGACCAGGGGACCGCAGGTTTTAGTCCTTGTTGTTCTTTTCCTTTTCCAGGGCAAGCCGTTTTGGGTACCTATGTTTGACCAGCAATATCGGCCCCTGGATTTGCATGTGGACGAAATCCAGCAAGAGTTGGTATGTGGCTTATCCCAGTATACATCGGGTTTCCTTCTTCTCAAATACGTGCGTAGTGGGTTTTGTCCACAGTAGCCGTGGAGCCCTTTGGCCGGTTCCACTGTAAACTTTAGGAGCCCGATATTCAACGCCCATAAACTTGGGGGCAAGAGGGGTTGTCCTATAATTGTCACCAGAGGATTTCATTGGAGCTCCCAAAAGGGAACTGTGGAAGCCGTCCTGGCTGTTTGGAGTTCTCAAACTGAACCAATGGGACGTCAACTGTTTGAGATGCAATGTTTAAACATCATAAACCTGAAGTAAGCATTTAACATCCCCATGTGACACACTAAGCGATACTTGGAGAACATGGGACATTCAATGCACCCGCTCAAAAAAAAGCTTAGTCCAATTCAAGCTCTCAAGCTAAGCTTGGCACGGACTGCTCGTCCTGCTGCTCATAGTAAACCCAGCAAACCTCAGCGTGTTGGGGGTGTTGGGGGTGTTGGGCGTTGTTTTTCTCTTTTTTCGGCGGGGGGAGGGCGGGGGGCAACCTCCCCCCCCTTTTGCTTGATGTTGCAGAAAAACCAACAGGAAGCCAAGCATTGCGGGGTCGCCTAATGGGGTCTGACTGACCAATCCGGACATTTAGGGATCCTTTCCCCCTGTCCTTCAAAATCAATCAGCCTAGGATGCCCTGGTTTATCAGGAAAATCCGCTGGATGTTTGGATCCAATTGGTGATGTGTTTCCTTCAGGATTCTTAAGTTTCGACCCATATTGTGGCAGAATTCAGGATTTGTATACTGGTTGATTTTACTCAGCGGCTGTGCCATTTAATATTGATTCCGGACTTTGGTTGCACCACCCACTTCATTCACCAGCTTCTTCTTCAATCCGTGGCTAGTAGTCAACAATGCACATTTTGTCACCCCTGGTTTTAGACAGTAGACTATTGGCCGGATCCTATGTAAAGAATCAACAGAGCGTTTCAAAGGACAGTTTGCTGGTAAACATCTATTTGGTTTTCAATGCGGTTCTTCCAAGATCCCACGGCTCCTTCGCTGCACCGCCAGGGGCCACTACAGTGGCCACACTTTGGCCCGGAAAAAGCTGTGTTTGCTGATGAGAAAGAAACATGAAGCAAACCCAAAGGGGCAAAAGGGCTAGTCCGGTCTGGCAATGAATTCCCACCTCGCCCAAACAGTGCACCAAGGTACATCCCTCATGGCAGGCAATGTGTGATCCTTCCACATCGATCCAACATAAGTTTCATGTGCGGGCGGGTGCAACTAAAAAACAAACATATTCTGTACCAGTCAGCATTTGTTTCAGGGTAGCAGAAAAAAGCAACAAACGCAAACAACAGAAAGCGGGTTTACAGAAACTGGAAGCGTTTGGAAAACAAACGCAAAACAAACTCCTGTTCCGGAAGGGTTGATCTTCCTGTTTCTGAAATAAAGTAGTAACAAAACGAACATCACCCAAGAACCCCAAACTCCCAAAACCCCAAAAGCCCTCAAAATGAATACAGCCCCGAACCACCAATGGCGCCCAGTGCCCTGCTTCGCTCTGGTAGGTCTTCGGGCTGCCGGGCGTAGCTGCGGTTGTCCCCGCGCCCGGAGAGTTTGGAACTCTCCTTCAGAGGCCACACCTCACGTCACCGGAAGAAAAACCAAAAAAAACGGCGCCTGCTTGGAAGTTCGCTGAAGAAAAACATAAGCAGAACTCGCATCCATTTCCTTCGGGTTTCGAGTGAACAACTGAACATATCCCAGGCTTTTGGGATTTCCTGAAGAAATGATGGGTCGGTTGGCAGCCAGCCATCTGGTTTAGGTTTGATACATTCCCCCCGTCATTGCCTCCAAGGGGGCTGTGTGAGGTGGGGTTACCACTCATTAACCCCTCAAGTTGCCTTTGTTCTCCAAGGATAGCCCCCTACTCACTTCCTGAGTGGATTGGCCACTAAGAGAAAGAATAATCAACAAATACAACACACCTCAGACAAACCAACCAACCGAACAAGCGAGGGGCAAGAAAGGAACAAAGTGAACACCTGCCAAAACGATCCACCGAGCACCCACCAAAAGGACCCAGCGGTTAAGCTGCAGGAGGGCCCACACTGCATCTGGGGTAAAACCGGATACCTTCTGGAAATATGTTGTCTCCTTCTGCTTCCATACTGATTCCATACTGTCTACCGGAAGCATTTCAACTGGATGAGAGAAAAAGGGCCCCCCCAAGCAAAGGAGCTTCATGTGATCGTCTTGCCAAGCGAGCTCACCACGAGAATAGCGCAAAGGGTAAGGTCCCCGAACCGTCTTTTTTATAAGAGGATCTTGATCTGTTCTGCCCCCAAACTAGCCCCAAGGGAAACATCAAGTATACACGCTTTAGATAGTGTCTATAGTGTCTATGTCCTGGTTGTATACTTTGTAATTTTCTTGGGAAGTAGTGTTTGGGGGGGGGGGGAGGGGGGCATCATCTCTCAAGTCTTAGACGGTTGGTGCTTCACTCCAGGAAACGCTGTATGGATGCTGAATCCAACTGTGGATATAGCTTCCACTCGGCAGGTCATCGCTTACCGGGTTGGCCATTGACACCCTGCGCAGCGCAGCGCTATTTAATTTGCTACTTTGTAGGAAAAGGGTCCAAAAACGTCCGACACAAGCAGCTTCCAAAAGCGTGCAATGGTTTTGGCGTTTCATGCGGAGTTTCTTTTGTAGAGGGTACCTTTTGTTTAGCTTGCTTTGATGGGAAACCAAAAGGAACACCACCAATTTGGGGTGCCCCCATGAGACAGACAAATATAGTTGCGCAACTCAGAGTACTTGGTTTCAACCCTTCGAGGCTCTTTTGATCCTTCCGGCTTGCGACAAATTCATTCTTCTTTTCACTTCCGTGGATTGGCCAAAGGAAGTCATTTAGTTTGCCACTCTCCAAATCAAAGTACAAAGGCCAAAAATATACCCGAAATCACATGGCGAGCAATACTTGAGGCTTTGAAGGGAGCTGCTGGGTTTCTTGGGGCTCTGTGGCTGCAAAACCAAGCAAGCTAACTAGTGAAGTGCGTCTTGACCTTGGCTCTCAGAAAATCACCGCATCGGGTGTTGGGAATGAACCGTTCGGGATCCTTAGAGGAAGCCAGCAGTTGGATGTTTCACTTTGGGATCATTCCCTCTGAGAACCAGCAAGTGGGTCATAATCAAACCCAGAACCATGTAAGGATTAAAAAGCCGGCTGCACCCATTTATGGTCGGGATCATCCCTTACTAACCTTCATCCACCCGGGTGTTGATTCTTGCTCAAGTGATGAAAGCTGCAAAGAAAACGGCCAAACCACTCCCAACGCCCTTTTCGCCCACGGGTTTACAGGGTTTTTTCGGCGCCCTTGGTCTTGGGGAAGAGGAGACCGGGGCTGACGAATTCACTTTGGGCCGTCGGCCATCAACGAGAACTTCCAGCGGCTCATGAAGTCCACGTTGAGGACCTCAACGTGAGCTTGGAAAATGACTGGAGCATTGTGCATATTTTGTCATAGGTATATGCATAATCTATATATATATGGGTTTGCATTTCTTACGGGAGCCGGGCAGGAAGGTTTGAGTACTGGGTATGATTCGCAGGTATGATTCGCGGGTATGATTCGAGGTATGATTCGCTGAAGCAGCAGCAGCAGCAGCAGCAGCAGCAGCAGCAGTAGTAGTAGTAGTAGTAGCACTAGGAGTAGTAGTAGTAGTAGTAGTAGTAGTAGTAGTAGTAGCACTAGGAGTAGCGGTAGTCGTCGAAGTAGTAGTACTAGTAGGAGTAGTAGTAGTAGCAGCAGCAGCAGTAGTAGTAGTAGTAGTAGCACTAGGAGTAGTAGTAGTAGTAGTAGTAGTAGTAGCACTAGGAGTAGCGGTAGTCGTCGAAGTAGTAGTACTAGTAGGAGTAGTAGTAGTAGCAGCAGCAGCAGTAGTAGTAGTAGTAGGCGTAGTAGTAGTAGTAGTAGTAGTGGTAGTAGTAGTAGTAGTAGCACAAGTACTAGTAGTAGTAGTAGTAGAAGTAGTAGTAGTAGTAGTAGTAGTAGTAGTAGTAGTAGTGGAAGTAGTAGTAGTAGTAGTAGTAGTAGTAGTAGTAGTAGTAGTAGTAGTAGTAGTAGTAGTAAAGTAGTAATAGTAGAAGCAGCGGCTGTAGTGGTGCGGCAGCTTTGAAAAGACTTGGCGCTAGCCTTGGCAAGGGCAGCTCATTGTGCGGGTATGATTCGGGTATGATTCGGGGGTATGATTCGGCTAGTTGCAAAACGGAACTAACTAAAAACTGAGAATGATGGACGTAGTAGTAGTAGTAGTAGTAGTAGTAGTAGTAGTAGTCGTGGTAGTAGTAGTAGTAGTAGTACAAGTACTAGTAGTAGTAGTAGTAGTAGTAGAAGTAGTAGTCGTAGTAGTAGTAGTAGTAGTAGTAGTAGTAAAGTAGTAATAGTAGAAGCAGCGGCTGTAGTGGTGCGGCAGCTTTGAAAAGACTTGGCGCTAGCCTTGGCAAGGGCAGCTCATTGTGCGGGTATGATTCGGGTATGATTCGGGGGTATGATTCGGCTAGTTGCAAAACGGAACTAACTAAAAACTGAGAATGATGGACGTAGTAGTAGTAGTAGTAGTAGTAGTAGTCGTAGTAGTCGTGGTAGTAGTAGTAGTAGCAGCAGCAGTAGTAGTACTAGTAAGGGTAGCGGAAGCAGAAGTAGAAGCAGTGGAGTAGTAGTAGCAGCGGCAGTGGCGGTGGTAGTGGTAGTGGTAGTAATAGTCGTAGTTGCGGTAGTAGCAGTAGTAGTAGTAGTAGTCGTCGTAGTAGGAAGTAGTAGTAGTAGTAGTAGTGGTGGTAGTCGTAAAAGTAGTTGTAGTAGTAGTAGTAGTAGTAGTAGCAGTATCAGTAGTAGATAGTTGCGGAGGCAGTAAACAACACAAACGGTAGAAGAAAAGTAGCATCTTGCAGCATACGTTTTAAGGGGTATGATTCGGGGGTATGATTCGGGGTATGATTCGGGGGTATGATTCGGGGGTTTGATTCAGGGAGGTCCCGCCTTCTGCCTTTTGAAGCAACTCAACACCAAAAAAACACATATATATATATATATACATATTTGTCAGTACTTAATATATGTACATAGATACGGTAGATGGTCCCCCCCTTATGAACTACATTTAGGACAATTTGGTTCATCTCACCCTTCAGAAACACTGCGATTCGTAAGCAGCATGGTTCCCAGTCCGTTCTCCCCTGTGGTTCTGGTTGGGGTGTGATTTTGATGGTTGCTGCAGGAGCACCCCTCCCCCCCACTGTGGTGGGGTTGTGGCGGCTTTATGTATATATATATATATATGTAACCATTTCTACCTCTAGCCCCTAACAGGAAATCCTACAGGAAGGAATGTGGTTTTGAGGCTCGGTGTCTTTTTCGGGGTTGGTTTAAAGGGAAGCCAAAAGGAAACCAATCATTCTACGGGTCCTCCTACGTTGACACACCCACACATATACATGAAATATATATATATATATTAGTATAGTATGTTATATTATATTATATTACATTATATTATACACATATGAGTAGCAGACAAAATCCTTTGCTAAATTCAATGCCATAATTAAGAAAGTTGGGTGGTCCCCTATGAGTTGTCAGTGCTCTGAAGTTAAACACAAGTTTTGGTTTTGGGCAGTACCCTATCGGTTTGTATGTGGGCTTTTGCTAACCCCAAGGCGCCGAGAATACGACTAAAGCCTACCGACCGTGCTCATCGGCCAGAGCCTAAAATTCTTGCCAACTGTGATTATCTATGCAACTTTTATGATAATGTCCAAAACCTCAAATAACAGACGACCACGAGAAGGATCTTTACCATGGTGAGCTCGGTTTACCCCCAGGTGAGCTCGCCATAAACTATGCAGAATAATTTTGGTGGCGTGAGCGCTGGTAGAGACTGCCAGACTCGACAGCGGCTAGCCTCCAAGCAAGCGCGCGCTACTGCTGAGTATTTTGGCGGCGTGGCGCTGGGGCGGCACGCCAATCATGCTGATCCCCAAAAATGGCTGGTTTGCTTGTCGCATGAAGCAACTTGACCTATGGCGATACAAGGGTGTAAATAAATAGAACCGGGCTGTGAGGCACTTTAAGTCTTGGTTTGTAAGTACAAACCAAACTAGGATTCATGTTGCCCCTCTATTGACTTAGAAAAGGAACCCTATGTTTCCGTACCTTCCCACTTCTCTTCACGTAACCTTCTTCCTTCAAATCTAGGCCAAAGCCTGTCGACAAATGTGGCTTCTAAAAATAATGATGGGTGAAGAGAAGGAGGAATGAACCCTTGCGATAATTCGCCTTCCGAGCTGCTGTCTCGATGTGCTTGCCCTTGACAATGGCGGTGCCTAAGACACGGGTCCCAAGTTCCCGAAGACAAAGGGGGCGGGCGGGCATTGCCAAGCACTGCGTCTGGTGATCAGCAAGGAAGGCGAGGCGAAGAGGAAGGAAGTCGCACCTTTTGGCCCCCCTGGAAGTTTTTGAAGCAGTCTTCCCAGGCTTCCTCAAAAAGTTCACAAACGCTTGGTCTTGACGGTGGGAGTTTAGCTAGGATCCCTATCTATTTCGCTGACTCAAATCATCCGAGTCGGGCCCCCGTCTAGGAATGGAATGCTCAAAGGCTGATTGCTGGCATGAAGGCTTTCATTTACCTGGGTTCGTGTCAAAACATGTGGATGCCCAAAATAAGGCTTTATTTTTTAAATATATTTTTTCCTCTGTGGAACTCCCTTCAAACCAAGGCAAAAGAGTAACCTCACAAATGCAGACACGCACGCACCCACACATGGAAACTCATGTCCACCAAACATTTTTGAGGGTGTCCTCCAAAAAGTTCCTCTCCACACGGGAACGTTGGGTTTGCCCACCGGTCTTTCAATAAGAAATGTGTGGGGACCCAGTTGATGGGCCGACGGGGGCCCTCAAACACCAACAACCTTGCTACGTAGTTGCACTCTTTCTGGGTCTCTTGTGGAAGAAACAGGCTGCCATCTGAAAATAAATCGCAACAAAGGACACCCGTGGCTCTGGTATCCAGTCATATCTACTCAGTAAATAGTAAATGACACTTACTCCCTACCTCGACTCTTTCACCCCGCACCGCGCCAGGCTCAAAACTCATCCTGTGTGTGTGTGTGCATGTGCGTGTGGGCAGGGGGGGTGGTGCTTGTCTCTGTGTGAGTGTCACCTCAAGAGTTGTGATTCACTGGTAGTTTCCAGTGATGAAACAACTTTGGAGGTCCGAAAATTGGACTGATCGTACTTGCCTTACTCGCATGGAGCGATGGAGCGGTGAACACAGTGCCTTCCAACTTGGGCCGAGGGGCGTTTCACCATGCTCCGAAGCTTGATCTTGTCTAAGCCCTCTTTGGCACTCAGATCCTGGCGAAACGCTTGACCCATTCATCCTGCCAGGCATGGCAGCACAACTTACATGGAGGAGCCCAAAGGGTCTTTAGGGCGAAGTCCAAAGAAACTTGTCAGGTTCCATTGAAAGGGTAGACATCCGTAGTTCACCAATTCGGGGGGGTATCCCATTCTAGCGCTTGGATTACTATGTATTATGTATATTCTCATTGGCATTTTAGCCAGTCATGTATTGATTCATTGATTTATCTGTTTATTTCGGGGCGGGGATGGGACGCGCCCCGATTCATTCGCCTTTCAAGAGGTCCCAACGCCTAACTTGACATATCAAGGCTCCATGAGGGTGACAGGTCCCATGGGCCCAAAATGGTTGGCCCTATTTGACATGGTTTATAGCGAGGCAAGTAGGCGATCTTGCTGGTGTGATAGGCAGGGAATGAGAATTGGAATGACCCCAAGATACACCATCCAACTGGTGGTTTCCTTTAAGGGGACTCCTGGGCTCATTTCCACATTCCCTATTGAGCACCAGCAAGTTAACTGGCTTGCCATGGACCATCTAAGCCATGACAAAGGGGGGTGGGGGGCCCGATCCCATTTTCCCAGCCTGCCAACCCCAAAATGTCAGGGTCACCCTTCCGCACTTCCAGTTTGAAGGGACGTATACAATCGGAACCCAACACTGTGCAAATATATGACATTTCGACTCAATTGTTCAGACTTGCATTGCTAGCATAGCATTGTTATGTTCAATGTTCTTGACACAACAAGTCTGAGACCATGCAAGACAAAAACCAAGGTTGCACGCTGATGCAGCAATCATCGCATCTCGTTAAAAGTGTGCGCATGATTCAAAAAGCCGATCTGAGGGTGTCCCATTCTAGAGGGGATTCGGAAGACCAGAGCTTGCTGTCATAGCCCTTATCCTGCGAAGTGCTCCCTTTCGACCCATAGACATTTGCGGATCCCAAAGGAAGCCGAAAACAAATTTCTAGAGGTTGATCATCTCTAAGGAACGGCTCGGAGCAACTGGCCATGGTGCCTGGTACCCCATTTGCTTCAGCCCCCTGAATAAACATAACGCATATGTCCAGTAGTCATAGATTCCCTTGTACTAAACATATTCTTAAGCAAGTGGAAGGGTGGAAACCTTCTGGAAACGGCCACTTCAACCACCTGGTGTGAAGCAGGATTTGGAAAATTGAAACCCCAGCCCCAAAGACCTGGCAATCAAAGCTAACCTAAGGATTCTGAACGGTTTCTGGGAGAAACAATGTTGTTTCCCCCCCCCCCATAACGGTCAACAGACACGCTCAAGATCCGGCTGGAGCCAAAAACGACCCTTTGTGGAATTTGGCGACCCGTTTGGGCTTGCGGCCGGATCTGGCTTTGGGTTTTCCAGTTCGTGGAACGCAAAGGCGGGTGGGTAAGGAGAGCTTTTGGCAAACCCAGGTTGTCTCCTCCACGAACTAGCAGGAGAACGGATAGGGGCTAGAGAACCACCGGAAACACGTTGGGGGGGTGAGAAAGGTGGCAAAGTCCTGTCAAGGGACCATTGAGGCCTAGCCATGTTCAATGGAGAGGCGCTTTGGCGACACCGCATGGAATTCCATTGCTCCATTCGCCTTACAAGATATGCGCAACGCCAAAAAATAAATAAACGGTCCAAAATCTCCTCTGCCGCAATTCTTGTTTGGCATGGGCTTGGATTTTTACATCCGGGACTCCTCTTTTTGCGACTGACTTCGCAACACTGACCCTGCTGGTAAAGCGATCGGTGCCACGGAAATGAACAGAGCGAAGGGACACAGCCAAAACATACCGTAGGTTTCAGGTTCCTATTTTCTTTGTTTTCTACCTGTTCAATAGAATCCAGATGTAAGCTCAAGTTCAATGGCATACTAGCCTCGAAGGGTATCCTCAAGGAAGAACAACTGGACAACGGGTGGCCCGGAAGCATAGAAAAACGTTGATTGCGACCAGGGCTTTGGCTCACAACTAAGACTATGCAGATGCAGTTTTGGGTGACGTGAATTAGTGGTCGAGTGCTTGCAGCTAAATTGAGATTGCGTGATTGGTTACTTACGTACGCTACTTCTATACTCCAAAGATGCCATGATAGAGAAGGAGCTGGCGGAGCGTACTAAGAGAAAGCAGCAGGCTCAAGCCATCACCAAGTACCATTATCAGTTTGGCAGAGGGCAACCAACCAACCACTAACCCACCAACCCACCAACCCACCAACTTACCAACCCACCAACCCACCAACCCACCAACCCACCAACACACCAACCCACCAACCAACCAACCAACCCACCCACCAACTTACCAACACACCAACCCACCAACCCACCAACCCACCAACCCACCAACCCACCAACCCACCAACCCACCAACCCACCAACCCACCAACCCACCAACCCACCAACCCACCAACCCACCAACCAACCAACCAACCAACCAACCAACCAACCAACCAACCAACCAACCAACCCACCCACCGACCCACTGGCCGATCGACCAACCAACCTATTGACCGACCGACCAACCAACCAACCCACCCAACCAACCAACCCACTGACCGACCGACCGACCGACCAACCCACCAACCAACCCACCCACCTACCCAACCAACCAACCAACCAACCAACCCACCAGCCCACCAACCCACCAACCCACCAACCCACCACCCAACCAACCAACCCATTAACCAACCAACCGACCGACCGACCCACCCACCCACCAACCCACCAACCCACCAACCCACCAACCCACCAACCCACCAACCCACCAACCCACCAACCCACCAACCCACCAACCCACCAACCCACCAATCAATCAACCCACCAACCCACCAACCCAACAACCCACCAACCCAACAACCAACCAACCCACCAACCCACCAACCCACCAACCAACCAACCAACCAACCCACCAACCCACCAACCCACCAACCCACCAACCCAACCCACCCACCCACCCACCCACCCACCCACCAACCAACCAACCAACCAACCAACCAACCAACCAACCAACCAACCAACCAACCAACCAACCAACCAACCAACCAACCAACCCACCAACCCACCAACCCACTGGCCGATCGACTAACCAACCCACTGACCGACCGACCAACCAACCAACCCACCCACCCACCAAGAACCCCCACTGACCGACCGACCGACCGACCAACCCATCAACCAACCCACCCACCCACCCAACCAACCAACCAACCAACCAACCAACCAACCCACCAACCCACCAACCCACCAACCCACCACCCAACCAACCAGCCCACCAACCAACCAACCAACCAGCCCACCAACCAACCAACCGACCGACCCACCCACCCACCAACCCACCCACCCACCAACCCACCAACCCACCAACCCACCAACCCACCAACCCACCAATCGACCCACCCACCCACCAACCCACCAACCAACCAACCCACCAACCCACCAACCCACCAACCCACCAACCCACCAACCCACCAACCCACCAACCCACCAACCAACCAACCCACTAACCCACCAACCCACCAACCCACCAACCCACCAACCCGCCAACCAACCAACCCACCAACCCACCACCCAACCCACCAGCCCACCAACCAACCAACCAACCAGCCCACCAACCAACCAACCGACCGACCCACCCACCCACCAACCCACCCACCCACCAACCCACCAACCCACCAACCCACCAACCCACCAACCCACCAACCGACCCACCAACCCACCAACCCACCAACCAACCAACCCACCAACCCACCAACCCACCAACCCACCAACCCACCAACCCGCCAACCAACCAACCCACCAACCCACCAACCCACCAACCCAACCCACCAACCAACCCACCAACCAACCCACCAACCAACCAACCAACCAACGAACCAACCAACCAACCAACCAACCAACTAAACATACAATCACAAGGAAACCCATTAAAAACAAAAAAAGCAGAAACATCGAACAAGCTATAGGTTCGCCTCCAAAAAAACCGCTCCAGCCGCTCCAGCTTTGCCCTTTTGGATTCCCTCGCCGCGCCTCCTTGCAAGGCCAGGCTGGGGGCACCCAGCCATCCGCGGTGGGGTAGATGCCCTCCTGGGCCTCGAGCATCGGTTCACTCGGACTCGGCTGATCCAAGAGGTTAGAAGTCACATGTCTATCAAAATGCTTCAGGTAGCAGCTAGGTAGCCTTTAAGGTTTTGATTGCGCCTCAACTGGTCCTAAGGAGCCCTGCAAAAAAATATCGCTCTAATCTGGGTTGCTCCCTCCACGCAAGACTAGGTCCTCCAGTACAGAGGTTAGAACAAGGTCTATTTTAGTAGGGGAACCCTCCCAACCAAAAAAGAAACGGTGAGAAAGGGCAGCTAGCTGGGGGACCTAGGTAGGCTTCCCGTTAAACAAACAACCTCTTCGAGCCATCCTTCCCTTGAGCTCTGCGAGGATCCGCTGCTCCTGAAGCTCTCATGGACCACCCCCGTGGTCCACGCAGTTTTTTCTGCCCTCAACTTCCGTCTTGCTTACCCTTCCTGCAACAAACATAGCACCTGTGGAAGGGCACATGTGGGAGGGCATCTGGAAGATCAGTTTCCTCTTAAAGCAACACCCTGTGAGGTGCTATGTTCGTGGGAGGGAGGGTAAGTCCCATTCCATGGAAAACATCATCAATATGTCCTGTAGTGACAGACTCCATCTTACACCAACAGAGGAACATAACACATATTCTTAAGCAACTGGAAGCCAACAAATCTGTAGCCAAAAAACAAACATGTTTTGAGGCTTTCATGCTGGCGTCCAACCCCCCACACCCACACTACAGGGTGTTAGTCGGAAATATAGCCCGCAAAAAAGCAACGGCATCAATTTGGCCCCGGACCCCTTTGCAGGCTGGTGTTCCTTTGCGCCATAAGAACAAGTTCCTTGTCCAAGCAACTAGCGGTTAAAAAGGGATCGTGTATGGGTGCAGGGAAGTGGTTTAGTGGTTTGGGGCTCAGGACTGTTCCCTGCATAGAAATGAAGCAGCATAAGTGTTTGATCAGCTTGCCAGTGGCGCGTTTTCTTTAAACATCTAGGTATGTCAGTTTTTAGAAAAAACCACCAAGCTTCAGCTTGTCCTTCGGTGTCCCTTCAAAAACCCACCGCAGGGGTAATTCTCAACTCCAAAAGAAGACACACCCACCTTGCGGATTCAAATGACTCCGGAGACCAACTATCCCTTGAGGGCCCGGGCCCACATGGCCATGCCCCCAGCAGCGGGGAATCAACCCCCACTGAGCCAGTCGAGTCAACATGTTCGAGTCGCAGGGAATGTGACGCGGCTCTGAGAGACTAGTGACAGCATACCCTTCGGCCAGGTCCTGGAAGACAATCCTTCCCTTTAAAGGGACCCCCTGTCAGGTTCTGTGTACTCAGCAATAGGGCAGTGGCAATAGGGCCTGGTTGCAAAGGCGACCTTTCACGTTGCCAAGAAATGGCGCCCCTACAAGGAAAGCATCTCATCAGTTTCTCGAGGGGAAACTTGCTAAGTACCCGGTTCGTTAAAAAAAAAAGTTCACTGGCCCAAAAAGTCTGAACTCTTTATTACCACTTAAATGGGCTGTCCAATTAAAGTTTAGTCAGTTTAAAGTCCATGAACTCAGGGAGTGAGGAATCCCACCCCCCCCCCATTTCTTCAAAGGTCGTGGGCTTTTCCGATTTTCGATGGTGTCCTAGTTTCGTGCCCCGGTCTGGTGTGACGAGTTGGTATGTTTTGCACTTAGCACAAATATCCATGTCTCCTGAAGACCAAAGAACCACACGTGTTTTTGCCAGATATGGGAGTATTTTTTTTTGAGGCCACCCCTTTATTAAGGGAAACCAAGAGGACAACTTGTTGTGTTTCCCCCTGAGAAAAAAAGCAGAAAAACCCGGACCCTTAAAGGGCCCTCAAAGACAGCCCATGTTGAGGGTCCAAAAACAATCGGGAGCCTTAGGGAGGCTGCGAAATCCCCACTTTTCCTGCTCGCCCGACTATACATGTGTTGTCCATTCAAGACAAACGGGAGTGGCATTGACAAGCTCAAAGGAACCCTTGATGGATGTGGAGTGGAGTCCTGATTTTGGCTTGGCGGCGTATTTTAATCCCAGCTATTTGGTTCGCTCCAAACTTCTAGATACCCTGAGGGTTTGTGGTAGACCCTGGGATTCCTTTTTGGTTGACGTACCAGTTTTGCCGAACCTCGGCCCCTCCGATGCTTTGCTTCTTTTCTAAGCCGCTCGCAGCTCGCGAGCGAAACGCGTGGCGACCTATTTGGGCTCAGCGCCATTTAATCTGGAGACCAAACACTTCCAGATCGGACTGGCCAAACTTTGACTGAAATGGTGCGATACTCACTCGAGTTCCTATGAAGGGAAACAAAAAGTTAAAGTCTAAAGGTCCAACCCAATAGCGGTAGAGATACTTAATATGATGTCAAATCGGAACTCGAGTGAGTATCGCACCCTTCATGCACTGGATAGTTTGATGAGATCTTCAGGTGGGCAAAGGGGAAATCACTTGCATTGGTCTCTTGACCCAACCAAGTCTCACGTTTATCCCCAGAAATAATGTAGCTGTGTGGCCACCCGATGCTTAGAGTTCTGCCCTCTTTGAAACAAACATGCTGTCTTGGTTGAGGGTAATTCTGGCTGGTTGTCATAAAGGGCCAACTAAAAAGGCCACCAGCCATGTTGATTGGTAAGCCGATTTGAAACACGGCCATATTATTTTGTGTGCTTCACCCTTAGTCAGCTGTGAAGCATCAAGGCCAAAAGGCGGATAACTCTACCCCGAGTTCAGACTCACAGAATCACAGAATGGACCAAACCCCAGCGCAAATACGCGGCACTTCAGTCTTGACTGGGGCGAATTCACCTCTCATATATCCTTCATTGCTACCTGTTCAATTCGCTGTGTCTTCTGGCTGTTGTGGGTTTACCCCTTGTTTATTCCTTAGTTGGGCTTGGGAAGTATACTTCCACGGCTGCTGGAAGCGCCGAAACAGAGCAACCCTCAGGGAAAGCCTTGAACATCTCCTGAGCCATGATCAAAACCCCAGATCAGGATTTCTGGGCTGGGCGCCCCTTCCAAACGTGAATGATGCCCTGGCAATGGTTTAGTGCGTCTGCGCAGAACCCATTCTAGGGCTTTACAGCCTACACCTCAAGATCCATACGAGCGGGCCAAACCACGTCACGTAACTGGACCTGCAACAAGCGAACCGAAAGGGGCAAGCGAGGCAAGAAGCTGTGTTCAGTCAGGCAACGAAAGGGTTATCTCCACAATGTGTGATGGCCAAAGTTCCATATCCAGAATAAGAATGCCTATCCTGCCTGTCCATGATGACCATCAGAAAGCCACCCAAGTGAGTGATGTTTTTGACCATGCACCTTTCCCATGTTCAGGCATCCTTCAGTTCAAATGGCCCAAATCCTTGGGAGGATGTGTGGTTTCTGAAGAGAAGGATGGGTGAAGCGAATGGGACCTGGGAAATGGTTTAGGCGCCACAAAACACAGCCACGGACACCAACCCCTTCGAAACCAACAAACATTGTACCTTGGCACGGGAAACCAACCAAACCTCGCTTGCTTTCTGCTCCCCTGCTAAAAGTTTAACTTTTGGTGGTTTAATGGAAAACCCATTAGTTGGCAAAAAGTTAAAGTCCTAACATCCAAGCAACATGCACCAAAGAAACAACTCCCGATTTGGGGTCTCCCTATTTTCGCACAATCCCACATGAGTGTCATCTCAAAGCTGGGCCCACCTCGCTAACCTGACGCATGTTTGGCCAGCACTCGCTAAAATCGATAGGGTGGAATCCGCTGCTTTGGCTCAGCCCCGGTCATCACCAGGCCAAAGGAAAAGATCGATCGTTGGACTTTGACCACGTGGGTCTGCCTAATACCCCGAAAATGGAATTGGTTTTTGCTTAAACCACAAACAAGGGGTCCCCTCAACAAAAAACACTCCCACATTTCCCAAACACGTGATTCCACCGTCCAGCTCACATTGCCGGGGCAGCTGAGCCTGCGAGGCAAAAACGGGAGCGGTGTGTGCGTTGGAGGCGTGGTTTCCTTTGTCAGCTTCAAGAGAAGTCAAAAGAAAGCCCAGCCTACTGGTGTGGAGTCTTGGATTCCTTTTGGGGGCTTAAGAGGAGTGTTTTGGAGGCCTGATCTCCTTTTTCAGTTTTAAGGGAGTCAAAAGAAAGCCCAGTCACCTAAGTATGTGTCCAGAACCCTAGGCGCGAACCAGTGGTCCATGGTCTCTGAGTAAAGATTCGTTTGTGCTTAGTTGTGGAAGCAAAGCCCCATGGTCACCAAACTACCATGGGTGCATAAAAGGAATAGACTTGGCCTTCGAGCCGGTCCCACGAACGTCCAGAAGGGTCCCCGTGCGCACGAAGGCCGTGTTGAGGCTTCCTTGGATCCATGGTTCATCCTTGCATCATGACCTCGGAATCCGAAAGGCCCCCCGGGTAAGGATCTTATATCTATTTCAGGGGGATCTTCTGACTGGGGTTTTCTGGCTGGAAACCCCCTTGTCATCATGTGCGATGTAAGCACCCAGCTCAACAAAGGCTTTTTACAACATGACCGTTACCACCCCCCCCGAAAACGACCAAAGCTCCCTAATTTAAGAAGCCGAGACGCGACTTGAGATCCGAAAGTCATCTGGGTGAATCCAAGAATCTACCAGTTGAAGAATCCCGTGCTGCGGACACCGATGTGCCAAGGAGTGACTTGACTCTGCTCTCTCCGGGACAATGCCAGTTGACGGCGCAACAGCCTGGTAGTTTGAACGATTCATAGGCGCCGGCGTCCCTTTGAAAAACAGAGTTTGCGCTAGCAAATCACCAGAAACAGACAGACACAACTGCTCTCTATTGTCAACCAAACTCACCCCAAAAAGGATACTTGCACGGAGTTGAATCCTGCCCAGAAGCCAAAGCAAAGCCGATCTCTTCCATTAGCAAACGGCTATCAGCACATCCGCTGACCAGCGTCTGGTAGACCCCGGGATCGCACCACAATCATTCTGGATGTGTCTTTTTGAGGGACCCCCAAAATGGCTACGATTGCCCTTTCCTTGTGGTTTTCTGTTAAAACCACCCCCAAAAAAAGGTGTGCCCTCAAAAAAAAAAAGACCCATATTTCCACCGCGCGGGAAGCGGAAGTCCTCCTCCAACTCAGTGAGCAAATATGCAGCAAAGGCGCCCCTTCTGCCAACCAGACGTGACTTCCCAGCAATCCGGAAACAAACGCAACTAGGTCCTCCAGTAGAGAGGTTACAATAAGGGTGCCCGATTTTTTCCTGTAGTCTATTTTAGTAGGAACCCTCCCAACCAAAAAAGAAAGGGTGAGAAAGGGCACCTAGCTGGGGGACCTAGTCAAGATCGGACTGCGCGCTCGAAAGGTCCTTGCAGAACTTGATCAGCCCAAACCGTCGAGCTAAACATCAAATTTTCAGGGTACCCTTTCAAGCGCCGAAGGACAATCAGTGTAGCATCCCCCATTCAACGAGTCATCCACATCTTAACTCCAACCCGAACCTGCAACCCAGACCTCCGGCGGCCGAAAAATGGCGCCCCCTTCTTTGGCATTTGATGTTAGCTGGAATCCCGCCCTACGCGCACACCGCGCCACAGATCTTCCAATCCGTAGGAAAACCAACTCTTCCCAAAGGGTGGTAGCTTTCATGTTAGCCGGGCAGCGGCAAACTTCTTGAAGAAAACAAGTCCAGTGAGGCAAGTCCGAGGCCAACTACGATCTTCAGTGTCACCTTCGCCTTTTTCTGGCTTCTCCACCAAAAATCGTCAACCCCCCCTTTCGGGCTGGTAAAAAAAGGAAGAAAACATCCTTTTTGTTGGGCTCCACTGAAAATCCTCCAACCCCTTTTCGAGTTCTTAAAAAACAAAAACAAAAACTATTTGCTTAGCTCCACTGAAAATCCACCACCCCCTTTTCGGGTTCCTAAAAAACCAACAACTTTTTTATTTGGCTCCACTGAAAATCCTCCACCCCCTTTTCGGGTTCCTTAACACAACCCCCTTTTGTTTGGCTCCACTGAAAATCCTCCACCCGCTTTTCGGGTTCCTCAAAAAAAAACTTTTGCTTGGCTCTACTGAAAATCCTCCACCCCTTCTTTGGGTTCCTTAAACAAAAAAAACTGTTGCTTGGCTCCACTGAAAATCCTCCACCCCTTTTTTGGGTTCCAAAAAAAACAACAACTTTTGTTTGGCTCCACTCAAAATCCTCCACCC